GCACTCCTGTCTTCCACTGCCACCCGCAGTTTGGGCAAACTCATGTTTGTATCTTCAAGATCACTGTCCAACCATCTCGTCCTCTGTCGTCCCCTTCTCCTTGTGCCCTCCATCTTTCCCAACATCAGGGTCTTTTCCAGGGAGTATTCTCTTCTCATGAGGTGGCCAAAGTATTGGAGCCTCAGCTTCAGGATCTGTCCTTCCAGTGAGCACTCAGGGCTGATTTCCTTAAGAATGGATAGGTTATGAAGTAAAGTTCCCCATTATAAAGAACTTATTCTAGCCGGAAGCTGGTGGGCTTGAATTTGTGATATCTGGGTTTGTGGACCGAATAAAATATTGTTTTATAAGTGGAATAGTTGGGGGTTACCTTGGAGTGCATGTTTTGAATATTTTTTTAATATAGCTGACAGACGAATAATAATAATAATAATAACAATTTATTATTTATACCCGCCCCTCTGGCTGGGTTTCTCCAGCCACTCGGGGCGGCTTCCAACAAAACACTAAAATACAATAACCTATTAAACATTAAAAGCTTCCCTAAACAGGGCTGCCTTCAGATGTCTTCTAAAAGTTTGGCAGTTATTTTTCTCTTTGACACCTGGTGGGAGGCCTGGTTCCCTGTAACTTGGCTTCTCGCAGCGAGGGAACCGCCAGTAGAATCAGAATCTCTCCCCTTCACTCTCTCTCTCTTTTTCTTTCTTCTTCCTTTGTTTTTTTTTTATAATTTAGATTAGAGTTTTTCATGCTTTTTTGCATTGTAAAAAGTTATTTTGTAGTTGATATTAACATTTGTACATGTTCTTTTAAGCTTTAATAAAATCTACTGGAGATGGGGAATAAATGGGTGGGCTTATTTACCCTTTTGTCGTATTTTGCACATCTAACTCAACAGTAATCAAGACCAGCCCTGCCATGAGGAAAGAGTGAGGATTTATTGTCTTTATTGGCCAGTAAAGTTGACTCAGAGGAATTGGTTCCAAATTCTGAGCAGTGCTTACAGAGCAGGCGCTCTCTGATATACAATTCTTAAGGCATGAATACGCATAAGCTTCTGTCCAATCCTAGAATTACACATTCTACTAATGAGATCCTTATATGGGCAACTCTAATTGCATATGCATTAGAGGCAGAACAAAGACTCTAAGTATCACCTTGCAGCACGTGAAAGAGAGTGGGCCTTATTATGCATACACTCTGGTTTGTGGTAAACAAGATAAGGAGTAAGGCCTTTCCTGGTACCTTAAGGACAGAATTTTTCCTGATACAATGGGGCAACTCTTTATTGCAAAGGAAATTAGCTAGAGGTCTTTGCTTCAATTGTAACTTTTATTTTGAGTCTATTCTGGGTCTAATTTAGTCCAATATTAGCAATGGCTAATCCTCTTCTTTTAGTCTTGATTTTTAACCAGCTGGTGTCTTTCAATAAAGCAAGTACATAATTGTAATTCCATTAAGTTGAACGTCTTCAACAGTCAAATAAATTCTGAAACTCTTTCACAGAAGTGAGATAGTTTCCAGAGAGTCAGTCCAGTCTTTTTCCCCAGAAGGGAAAATTTAAAGTACTCTTGTAGCAAGGATTTTTAAAGTACCTGTGACCCACTCAAATTGTGTCCAAGAATTGACAGACGCAGCAGTGGAGAAAAAGAAAGTGGTATTTTATTGCTGAGCAATAATGACTCAGTGGAATGGTTTCCAAAGGCGTCATAGCTCTAGCACCCTGAGGCTTTATACCTGAGTACATACATCATAAAACATGACATAATCGTATACAATCGCATATGGCAGCAAAAATAAAACCAATGAGCGGATGCATAAACCTTGCCCTTGACCATGTAAAGAATTCCTCCCAACTTCTGCTTTCCCCAGATGGTACATCAGCCTGACCTTTCCCCTGATTTATAGTAAGAAAGGAGAAAAGAAACTTATTCGCCCCTTACTGTGTTGATAACCCTCCTACACAACATCTGTTATAAACGGGGACATTGTGGTTAGCGTTTTCCTGTTTTTAGCTGCTGAGGAGCTTGCCTGGACGGAGGAAATGGCCAGCACATCAGCTTTATTGCTTCCTACTATGTTTGGGTGCATTAGAAGAACAAGGGGAGAGAAATGGGACTGAGGCCATTTTGGAGTTCTAAATTCTAAGCATTTCGCTCTTAGCTCTGCAGAAGCCTTCATGATTCAAACACCCTTCATATACATGAATATATAGAAATCATCGGAGGGCCGCTAGGGGCGCATTGGAAGATGACCGACAATACCATCTCTCCGGCTCACACGAGGTAATTAAGCGGCTGATATGGGAGTATGCAGCCTCCCTTGTTACCCCAAGGGAATGGGGAACACTGCCTTGCCTGCGGTTGCCATAAATCACCCCCAAGTTCGAAAGAAGGGGGTGAGGGCACAAGGCGCACAGCACCCGTGTGGGTCGGCTCTCCCGGACGCTATCTCTGATCGCGCGGCCTGGTTGCAGCAGCTCAAAATAAACAATTAGAGAGAAGCAAATGCACATATTTCGAGTGAAGAACGGGAGTTAAGACTGCTAATTAAAGTGACCTCTGTGAAGTGGAGCGACGGGTTGGATTCAACAGGAATAAATCAAGAAGAAGACACATCAAAGGGTCGGTATGTCGGAACGGGACGGAATGGGGGGGGGACTTTTCTTTTTTTACCTTATGTGATTACCTAACAATCCCCCCCCCAGGAAGAATCATTGCAATTACTGATTATAAGAGGGAGGATTAAGAACTGTGTGGAAATGAATTACTAATCAAAGACATGGCTTGTGAAATATTTGGAAAGGAATGAAAGGCCTTTGGAATGACGCAGTTATAAAAGGAGACTCGTTAGGAGGCAGGCCTGGCGGCAAGATTTACGATCGAGGGGGAGGAGACCATGGTTTTGTTATTATATCGGACTGTGAGTTTGACCTGGCAGAACCCCCTAAGAGAGGAGAGAGCGCAGGCCTGCGAGGATTAAAGGGCAGACTTAAAGAATGTTTTGTACGGAAGTGCTGAAATGGCGTCTGTCTGTTTGAATATGGCTCTTGGAGGAACGGAAAATTCACACACGATATAACAACATTTGTTTTCAACCCGCTTGGGAGACTATCAGAGGTCACAAAGAAAGGAATATATGATAACAACAAGAAGATGAGAAAAACAATAAAGAGAAGATTGGACAGAACTGTGAATACTATTTGGACAGAACTGTGAATATTAAAGCAGCAGCAAGAGAGATGTTTGGGTCCCTTTCTGAGCTCGAAGCATGGGTACCCCCAACAAAAATTTTAAAAAATTGGCTTTGTAATTTGGAATTAATGTGATTCGATTGGTTTGTTAATAAAAATTATATTTTAAAAAAAGAATATATAGAAATCATCATAAAGATATATGGTTATACGGTATATAGATATATATGGATAGCTGATTTTATAGAAACTGTAAGGGTAAAATTCATCCAGGTGATCCTGCTTCACTCTTAACCTTATAATCTTCTCGGGTTTAACCTCCATTTTAAGTCAAGTTCAATCTCACCGTGTGCTATGTCCAAGTTCAACTAGAGTTCAGGTCAAGATCATAATTTTAGAAAATCTTGGCATAAACGGAAGCTGGGGGCAGTCTTTTAATCCTAATTGTTCATTAGTTAACTTCTCTTCCAAAGTAAATTTTATCCACACATATATTTTGTGCCTATAGCACCAGTAATGGGAGCGGACTTCCTTTTATCACTCCCATTTTCTTGCTGAAATTAGGCAAATTAATTAATTCCTTAATATTTCCTCACCTTCCAATTGGCACAGTATGCTGGAAAGGTAACCACTCGTGACTGGATCAGAGGCTTTGCTTCTGTGGAGCTGTGCTGGTGCCTAGCTCACCAGCGCCTTTGGCTCCTCCCCCCCCCACTCTGTTCCTTTCACTGCAGCGCCATCAGTGAGCTGCAGGATCCCAGGACACCCCAATGCTCCTCTTGGGGTTTTGCGGGGAGGCGTATCACCTCTTCCCCTTTACTCCACAAAGCCGAATCTGCCATAGCTGTCAGATTCGTGGTCCGCCTGCCATGTTGTGGAGACCCGGAAGTGGGAAGTTTTTTTAATGTTTAAAGGTAAAGGGACCCCTGACCATTAGGTCCAGTCGTGGCCAACTCTGGGGTTGCGGCACTCATCTCGCTTTATTGACCAAGGAAGCCAGCGTACAGCTTCCGGGTCATGTGGCCAGCATGACTAAGCCGCTTCTGGTGAACCAGAGCAGCGCATGGAAACGCTGTTTACCTTCCTGCCAGAGCGGTACCTATTTATCTACTTGCACTTTGACGTGCTTTCGAACTGTTAGGTTGGCAGGAGCTGGGACCGAGCAACGGGAGCTCACTCCGTCGCGGGGATTCGAACTGCCGACCTTCTGATAGGCAAGTCCTAGGCTCTGTGGTTTAACCCACGGTGCCACCCGCATCCCATTTAATGTTTAATGTTTATTATTATTGTTGTTGTTGTTATTGCTACTGTTATTATTATTATTATTATTAGTTGGAAACCACCCAGAGCAGGGTATTATTATTATTATTATTATTATTATTATTATTATTATTGAATGAATGAACAGGGCATCCCTATTTGGAGAAATGATGGAGGATATGCATTATGATAACACCCATTGGCACATGTATATAATTTATATAAAATAATCATTTATATAAAATACATTTGTATAAAATAAATTTATCCCTTTCATCTTGTTCTTATGTTTGGCTTTGGGTTCTGAGGGGCATGTTCTTCTTTTTTGGTGTGTGTGTGAGATTCAGCATGGGATTGGCATGCAGGTGGTGAGTCCTTCCAGGTGCCTCAATGGTCCTGGAAAAAAGACTCTCCTGGAAGCAGAGTCCCTGCTCCCTCCCCTCTGTTTTAGCTGGATGACGTAGGCGTTGTCCCCTTCCTCTTGTGCCACACCCTCCCCAGGGAAAGGTAAATTGCAGCTGACATGCAGCCAGAGTATTCTGTCAAAGGCAGCTGGTGACCTTGAGTGAACAGCGCCTCAGGCAGGTAAGTGCTCACCTGAGAGAAGAGAATGGGAGAGGAGTAGAAAGGCCCTCAAGGAGGGAGAGAACAAATACCTGGAGCACTGAATGAGATTTCCTTTGAAATTGATGATGGCAAAGCAGAGCAGGCATGTATTTATTTAACCATTTGCTTGGTCACCAAAGGTGACCAGGAGATGTATGCGGGTGAGTGGGCTGGGGGCTGAGCCCTCTGTCTCTCATATGGCAGCCCCTTGTGTTTTTATACTGTCTCTGGAGGAGACCTAGTCTAAGGTTGCCATATTTCAAACAGTGAAAATCAGGACACAAAAGTTGCTGAAGTGGCTTGGGGGGCGGCAGTTGTTGAATTTTTGGGGGAGGGAAACGTTGTTGAGTTTTTGTTGAGGGGAAGTTGCTTTTTGCTTTTTGGCAAAATTGCAAGAAAGAAAAAAGACGTGGAAAGACCCGAAACAAGCGCAGGTGTGTCTGGACCAGTTCTCCATATTCAGCAGAAAGCTGTTGCTTCTTCTGGTGGAGAAGCAGAACAGGCAAGTCAGCTCAATCTGTACTGGAGCCAAGACTGAAGTCTGGAGAAGGGCAAGGGCAGCAAAGGATCTCAGCAAAATGCTCGCGAGTAATTAAGACCTGTAAGTAGTTTATCAAAAACTATATTTAACAATAGGGTTAACAAGTTCTTGAAGCAAGAGGAGAGTCTCCAGTTTACTGAGCTGCAAATAAACCAACCTTTTAAACAAATAACATAAAGAACAGAACTAGAGAAGTGAACATATGAATCACTGTGAATCTGAAAGCAATACAGTGGTACCTCAGGTTAAGTACATAAGACAACCATATGTCAGGAGTGCTCTGATGGTGTTTCCTGCTTGGCAGGGGGTTGGACTCGATGGCCCTTGTGGTCTCTTCCAACTCTATGATTCTATGAAGTACTAAATTCGTTCCGGAGGTCCGTTCTTAACCTGAAACTGATCTTAACCTGAAGCACCACTTTAGCTAATGTGGCCTCCTGCTGCCACTGCACCACAGGAGCACGATTTCTGTTCTTATCCTGAAGCAAAGTTTTTAACCCGAGGTACTATTTCTGGGTTAGCGGAGTCTGTCACCTGAAGCATATGTAACCTGAAGCGTATGTAACGCGAGGTTACCAGAGAAGGGAACATATTAATCACTATGAATCTGAAAGCAATACAGGCACAACTATTGGTCCATAGCAGCCCACGAGATAAAACCCAAAGAGTGACAGCAGCAAAGCTCCTTTATTAAGATGGATTGAAAGTAATGAGCAAGCTTCTAAGTTCATCAGAATTCTTCTCTTCAGGAGGGATATTAACCAAAAAGAAAAGGGAAAGGGGGGTGTTGATTGATCTATTACTATTTGGACTCCTGTCCTGAGATGGAGAGGAGAGCAGGGCCCACATTCACCAGCCCTACTGAAAAGGCTGATAATAATAATAATAATAATAATAATAATAATAATAATAATAATTTATTTCTACCCCACCCATCTGGCTGGGTTTCCCCAGCCACTCTGAGCGGCTTCCAACAGAAGGTTAAAAATTTATTAAAATATCCATCATTAAAAACTTCCCTAAACAGGGCTGCCTTCATGAGGCCGGATAACATTGCTATGAGGAGTGAAGGTGGCTCCCTGCAATGCCCTGTCCACCTGGCCTAAGGGGTGAGGCCCACACTCACCCAGCCCCACTGAAGAGGCTCCTCATGAGGCTGGAGGAACATTGCCTGGTTGTGAGGCGTGAGGGCCTCTCCCTGCAAGGCCCTCACTAGCCCTACTGAAGAGGTGAATTGTTATTATTATTATTATTTATATCTACGCTGCCCATCTGGGTGGGTTTTCCCAGCCACTCTGAGTGGCTTCCAACAGAGGGTTAAAAATACATTAAAACATCAGTCATAAAAAACTTTCCTAAACAGGGCTGCCTTCATGACGTCAGAGGAATATTGCCCGGCCATAAGTATGAAGGCCACTCCCTGCAAGGCCCTGTCCATCTGGCCTAGGGGGTGAGGTCCACACTCACCAGCCCCACTGAAGAGGCTCCTCATGAGGCCGGAGAAACATCGCCCGGCTATTGTTTTATTGTTTGCTCTTTCCATCGAACCCTTAACAGCATCAATAAAACACAATGTAAAGTTTTGGAGTGTTGATATACAAGGTTAAAGTCCACACGATCACTTTCTTCCCACATGAAATTGTGCTTTTATTGTCTAACCCAGAGGAAATGATGCCTGAAGTTTGGGGAGAATTAGACTAATGAAGCAAAATCTGATTTGCACCTTAGCTAGCTTCAACGTTTCCCTTTGATAACTAAAGTATTTGGGAACATGTATCTATAAAGAAAATAAATTCTGTTCTTTTGCTCTGGCAGGGCAAACAGAAAATGAAAACTAGGGGGAACCTAAATCTCTCATGCCTTGGATGCATCACCACAGTGAAGATGTCAATTCTTGCAAGGTTTCTTCCTTATTATTCCAAGTTTTACCAATTGTGATTGCTCCTGAGTGACAGGGTCCAATTCAGAAGTACCCTCGAGCTGTAGACCTGCTCCTTCCAGCAGTTTATAAAAATTATGCATAGCCTAGAGAAAGCAGATTCAGAAAGCCTTTTCTCCCTCTAATAACTCTTGAACTTGTGGACATTCAATGAAGCTGAATGTTGGAAGATTTAGGACAGATGAAAGAAAGTACTTCTTCACTTCAAACTATGGAACTCTCACCCCATTATGAGGCAAGACTCGTAATTGCTTCGTTTTTCATTAATGGTATTCCGAGGCCAAATATAGCCTACGTAGCCTGCCAATTAGGGCAAGTACAGGAGGTTGTTGACATTTCTTCAGCAATCTTAATTCCAGTTTGGGATTCATCCAGTCCAGCCTTTCACATGATGAAATCTGCATATAAATTAAATAATACAACATACAACATACAAATAATACAATAAATTAAATAATACAATTAAATAAATTAAATAGTACAACAATATACAGCCTTGTTGTACCCCTTTCCCAATTTTGAACCCATCAGTTGTTCCAGTTCTACCTGTAGCGTCTTGTCCCACATAGAGATTTCTCAGGAGACAGATAATATAGCATTAATAAATAATTCCACCCAATGTGTATAAAGTTTGCCATTTTAGCATCACATGTACAACGTGTAAGCTATTCCTGTTTCAGATGAATAACGTAGTGCTCTGAACATGTTGAGATTTAGACCACCTGTGTTGCTTAATTTGCCTCCTGCACCTGCTGAATTTTTGTTTATGCTGCTGCTCTTTCAGTGCATTCCAAATTTTATGGCCTAATTTGGAAATACAGGGAGGAATTCCATGTAGCACAATGCCAATTGTTCCACCAGAGCAAGCTTTTCAGCTTACCAGACACCCTGGCACACACCCAGCTGGGCCCTTTACCCAGAGTTTGTGTTTCCTTTTGAAAGTGAGGTACAGTGGAGACTGTGTGGTCTTTATATGGTTAATTGACACATACATATATACAACCTGAGCCTATGATGGAGTTAATGTTTCTCCCGTAGCCACAGCTGTGGATCCCAGCAGAAATCAAACATCATGCTCTGCCTCTGTGCCTTTCCAGCCTGCAGCTTTTCCTCTAGTTCACACCACAGTCCCCAAAACGTTAACTTTGTCTTTCTAGCTGGGGGAGGGGTCCCACCCATTTGCTGTCTCAGACAGAGCCCCTTCCCTTTCTTTTCCTTTAATGGCTCATCACCCAGGTGATTACCTCATCAGGAAGCTGGTCTGGCTTATATTTTAACACTTATTGTATCCAGGAGTTCAGGAGTCTGGCACCCATAAACTCATAAACTTTATTCTGATTCCAGTAGATGTGTAAATAGATGGGTTGAGTGAATAATGCCAATCCCTGAGAGTGCATATTTTCCTTCCAGAAACAGATTGCAAGGGCAAGAAGGCAGGTGTTATGAGCAGGTCTTGAGTGTGTCGGCAGTTGGCAGACTGATTCTCCATGCACCCAGCCTGATCCCCAAAGCTCCCCTTGTGTGCGTGCGCGCGCGCGCACACACACACACACACACACACACACACACACAGAGTGAGAGTGAGAGAGAGAGAAAAAACAGAATTCATCTCCCTTTCACTGGGCTTCTCTTTTGCAGGTTGCTTTTGGAAACAGGATAGAGGTGGCCAGGATCTCTCCCCCACCCACGTAGTCTGCAAGTGCCTTCCTCCTGCCCACCAAAAGTATGGAAGGTGCCAGGAAGATGCTCATGACCAAGCTGCAGAATTTGCCCACTGTGGTCCTCTTCTGCTCTATCTTCCTTTTCCTACTTGTTGCAAAGAACAAATGGGAGTCTCTTGAGACGCTTTTCTCACCGCACGACATCAAGCTCAAGAGCGGCCCAGATTCCACAGGCGATCGTAAAAATGCCATGGTATTTGAATGGGAATCTGCAGTGGAGAGGACAAAGGAGACCAAGCCCTCTGGTCTGATTTCACCACCACAACCAGTGGCCAAGCGGCATCCCTTGGAGGTTGTCTATTCCACTGATTATAAGTTCCTTCTCAACGAGCCAAAGAAATGCCGGGAGAGGAGCCCTTTCTTGATCCTGCTGGTGATAACTAAGCCCCAGGATTTTGCCACGAGGCAGGCCATCCGGCAGACGTGGGGCAACGAGAGCTCAGTGCCTGGGGTTTCCATTCTTCGTCTCTTTCTGACGGGTGTCCACCCAAAATTTGGATACCCGCTCCAGGCCCTTTTGGAAGAGGAGAGTTCCATCCACAAAGACATTATTCAGCAGGACTTCCTGGATACCTACAACAACCTTACCCTGAAGACTCTGATGGGCATGGAGTGGATAAGCAAGTTCTGCCCCAATGCCACCTACATGGTGAAGGCAGACAGTGACATCTTTCTCAATGTGAACTACATGGTGTCCCAGCTGCTGCAACCTCACCTGCCACCCAAGAAGAACTACATGACAGGGTACATCTGTAGGAATTCAAAGCCAATGCGTAACAAGGCCTACAAGTGGTATGTGCCACAGGAGGTGTACCCCAATGAGACCTACCCGCCCTACTGCGCAGGCCCAGGGTATGTGTTCTCTGGGGATCTGGCCAAGAAGATCTACCAGGTAGCAAAGACCATCAAGGTCATTAACATGGAAGATGCCTTCATGGGAATCTGCCTGTATGAGCTGGGCATCAGCGTGACAAACAGCCCTGGGGGTCTCTTCAAGACGTTCCATGCCAAGTATGAGAAGTGCAAGCTCTCCAAGGTGGTGGTGGTGCATCCTCTGGTGGTCCCAGAGGAGCTGCTACAGATTTGGCCTGGCTTTCGGGACCAGAATCAGACTTGCAAGAGTTAAAATGGAGGGAGGTGAACAGACACACAGCCTCTTGTGGAGAAGTTGGCACAGAGGACTGGCAACATGCGGGCATGTTCCTGTACAATGGACAAATCCATGCCAACAAATTGCAATGAGGAAAGGGAAGGATGGCTCAGAGAAGAAGGAAGATTCTGTGCTCTCCTCCCCGTAGAATCTCTGCAGCTGCCCATAGCAACTTGTTTGGTCTGCTCTGAACTGACCACTGCGCTACTAATGTGCCAAATTGACAACCTCAAAGTTTTGAGATCATCACAGCCACCACCTCACCTACTGGAAGAGAGCAACCCTCAGGCCATGCGGATGTGGCACTACGTAGGATTGCCATACGTCCAGGAATTCCCGGAAATATCCTCTTTTTGGGGGTCCTGCATGCCCATCCAGGGGGAATTTTACATTTTAAAGCAATTGTTTGGGATTTTGGGTTTTTAAATATATATACATTTTTTGTGTGCAATAGCTGGGCGTTGTCCCTCCAGCTTCATGAGGAGCCTCTTCAGTAGGGCTGGTGAGTGTGCACCTTGCTCCCTAGGTCAGGTGGACAGGGCCTTGCAGGGAGTGGCCGTCACACTCACAGTCGGGCAATGTATATTTATATATATGAAAAAGCAACAGAAGTTGACAAATAAGTCTTTTGCACAATGCCAACAACCCAAAGAGGCATGTGCTATGTGGAGTATGGCTTCCTACTGTGAAGGAAACTTCTACTGATCTGCTTTAAATTACTCCCCAAATCAACACAGACTGTGGAAACTTCACACTGGACTTCAAGCATCTGGCATTGTGTGCCTCCCCTTTATTCCTCCAGACTCTGGGTCCTGGGTTTCCAAATGAGATGCAAAAGGTGCTCTCATCAGAAAAGAGATCTGGGGAGCCATGTCATCAGCTGGTTTTGGTCCCCTGTGCTTCATTAAGTCCAGGGTCCACACAGCCGTCTACCAGGAGATTTTGGAGCACTTCATGCTTCCTTCCGCAGACGAGATTTATGGGGATGCAGACTTCATTTTCCAGCAGGACTTTGGCACCTGCCCACACTGCCAAAACTACCAAAACCTGGTTCAATGTCCATGGGATTACTGTGCTTGATTGGCCAGCAAACTTGCCTGACCTGAACCCCATAGAGAATCTATGGTGCATTGCCAAGAGACAGATGAGAGACATGAGACTGAGCAATGCAGAAGAGCTGAAGGCTGCTATTGAAGCATCCTGGTCTTCCATAACACCTCAGCAGTGCCACAGGCTGATAGCATCCATGCCACGCCGCATTGAGGCAGTAATTGATGCAAAAGGGGCCCAAACCAAGCACTGAGTACATATGCATGCTTCTACTTCTCAGAGGTCCAGTATTGGTCTATTTGCAATCCTTGTTTTGTTGATTTCATTTAATATTCTAATTTTCTGAGATTGTTAATTTGGGGTTTTCATCAGCTGTATGCCATGATCATCACAATTATAACAAATAAAGGCTTGACATACCTCACTTTGCATGTTATGAGTCTATCTCAAATATTCATTTCACCTTTTAAATTGTATTACTGAAATATTCTAATTTTCCGAGTTTCACCTGCAGTATAGGGATGTTTTTAAATGTTTGTTTTATTATGTATGGAAGCTGCCCAGAGTGGCTGGGTCAACCCAGTCAGATGGGCAGGGTATAAATAATAAAATGATTATTATGGAATAGGACGTCACATCTCTCTTTTCAACAGAGAAATGTTGGAGGGTGTGCTAGTGAGAAAGCAGATTTGATCCTGGAATTGTGTCTTGATGTGGCTGCAGAGATTGTTTCGGGACTGGAGTGCGAGTTTAGAGCTTCTGACCCACAACCAGAGGGGAGGCCAAAGCAAAACAGATGAGGTCCAGGAAGATTAATTTACTTGGACCGAGAAATTTGTGATGATACCAAGACAAGGAACTCTGTGGAGGCCCCAAGACCATGCAAGCAGCTGCCCACTGGGGGAGCAGGGCAGAGGTTTGAGTCTGTTAATCGGAGACTCTTTACTTTTCCTGCTGGCCTTAGCACTGGATTTTGTAGCACAGTGCTTTTTTGCATGTTTATGATTTTTTACTATTAAAAGTAATTTTTAAAAAAAGAATTGCTCTGGTAACTGTTGGTGTGTTTGAAAGCTACCTTTGAGATGTAGTTCTGGCTGAACTACGCACAAAGGAGGAGGGAGGAGGAAGCCTGAAGAATTCCTGAGGAACTGGAAATTGCTGGGTTGGTCTAAAAGTATTGTATTATCTGCTTTGATTTGTTCTAAATGCCTCTACTTACATTTTCTGTTACTTCTTTTCACAGGAAAGTTGTGTACTTTTCCTTTCCGTCGGCACCTCTGGGTCAAATGTGTGCCTTGGGAGGAGGTTGATGTTATGGGGTTGCGGGTGCCCTGATCCCCTCTAGATTCCCGAGTGATGGGGTTTGATCAGTACTTTTGAGAATTAAGATGAGCTGACATTTGATTCAGCAGTTTAAAAATGTGGGCCAACCTGGTTTCCCTGGACCTGGGCATCCTGGGGAGATAAGTCCTTAAGCCCAGTTATCAACTCATGCATGCCAAAACAATTGCCACCATAGTGGCTTTTGGGCTCCACCTTCTGGCCAAAAGACTTGCTGCTCATATAAATCAATATGTAGCTATTCTTCCAACTCCTACACTTGAAACTACTTTTCTCAGCTCTCTTCCTTCAAATCCCTGCTCAACGTTATGATTTCTTTGTGGACTCTCTTATCTGCATTGCAACAGTAGCAAAGCTGTAAGTCAGAGATGGAAAACATGTCCATGCCCTTCAATATGTTGCTGGGCTCAAGCTTCCATAATCTCCAGCCAGCATGGCCAATGGTCAGGGATGATGGAACAGTCCAGCACCTGTAGGATCACAAGTTCCCCATCTGTGCTTTAAATACATGCAATGCAACCTCACCTTCCCACATTTTCTATCTTGCATTAAAGGAATGTAGGACTTTGATTTTAGAACAGTGCCTTGTTTTATTTGGCCATACTTGGCCACGTTCGTTGGTGCAGAGGGGGCAAAGGCTAAAAAATGTAGGCACCCAAGACAAACTGAAGTGAGTTGATGGAGGGCATTTTCCTAAAGGGGGAAAGAGGCAAGAAGAACTGTCCAGCTTCTGGTGCCATAGCAACACCTAGTGGCAAAATCAGGCATTTTGAGTACCTTGACACTTTTGCCTTTTCTTTTCCTGGAAAAAGGGAAGGGGGTAGTGCTGGCTAGAGCTGGTGAAAATGTTTCCATCTTCCTCTGTTTAAGTTGCTGAGTTGCAGCACTTCAAACAAGTGCAGTGACAGATATAGTGATACCTTGGTTCTCAAACTTAAATCAGTTCCGGATGTCTTCCAAAACCATAGCAGCTTTCCCATTGAAAGTAATGCAAAATGGATTAATCTGTCCCAGACAAATAAAAACAACCCCTAAAGCAGCAATTTAACATGAATTTTAGTATCTAACGAGACTATGGATCCACAGAATGAAAGCAATAGACCAGGCTGCAATCTACCACCCAGTTTAAAAAACTGGAGTTATATACCCGTTACCATTGGAGGGATGAGTGTGCGGGGTGCATGAAGGGGGAGGAAAGGGAGGCAAAAGTTCTCCGAGGAGCCAGTTGGCTTCTCTCCATCCGCCCCAGGCCAGCTTTTCTGGATCCCCCCCCCCCCAAGCACCCATTCCTCACCTTCTTCAGGGCTAGCAGAAGCAGAAGCAGCCCCTGCCACTTGGATGCGTTCTCCTCACTGAATAATTTACTGCAGTGGCAGTGACAGCATCCTGCCCACGCTGTCCTGTGCCCTGTGAGGGAACGCAGCGGCAGTCACTTCTGGGACAGCAGAGGGACCAAGCGGTGCAGGGCAGCAGCAAAATCCGGAAGCCGAGAAGGGGGTCTTTGATGCTCAGCATGCCCTTCCCCAACTCTGTGCCGGCCGTGGGAACAAAATCCAGAAGTAGAGACAGGGGTCTTTGATATGGAGGTGTGCAACTCCCCCCCATGCAGCTGCGAGAGGTGTACACTCTAGGGAGTGTTTCCCGCAGCGGCCGGCGCCGAGTTAGGGAAGGTTGTGCTGAGCAGGCAAACAATGTCGCTGCCGCCCGTGCCGCCAGGTCCCTCTGCCGCTGCCGTTGCTACAGCATCAATGACCCTCTTCTTGGCTTCCGGATTTCGCTGCCGCAGCCGGTGCTGAATGAGGGGAGGCCATGTTGAGCAGGCAAGTGATGTCGATGCCTCTGTGAGCCGCTTGTTCCCTCTGCCACTGCCGTTGCTGCAGCATCAGCCGCCCCCGCTTCCAGTACTGGGTGTCGCCAGTGGCTGGCACTGAGTAAGGGGAGCCCAGGTCTGGAGGCAAGCGAGTGTGGCACTCAAAATGGAAGTGTACCCCCCAGAGTACGTTTGGGTTCCAAAAAAAGTTCGAAAACCGGAACACTCCTTTCCGGTTTTGAAGCGTTCAGGTTCCAAATAGTTTGTGAACTAAGCTGTTCGAAAACCAAAGTACCACTGTAGTGTTGAAATTACCCAGTTTCCAACTGGGATTTAACCTTGAAGGAAATGTAAATGAAATCCAGTAACTGCACAGGTTCCCTTTCCAATGACAATTCTATTCTTCTATGAATCTGTACCTCAGTATCATCGTAAGAACTCTGATAGGGAGGGTGTGTGTTAGGAAATGGTACAAACACTATTTTTGGCTTGTATTTACAGCTATTTGTTAGTATTTCCAATTTACCAGAATAGCTAGAGTACGCTTCATCAGTATCACATGCAAATTGTATCTTGTTGCTTCAGCTTTGATGTGCTATTAATTAATGACTGAAGACTCAAAATAAGAGTTGGACAAAATCACCAGTGTTTCTTGTTCCTTACCCCATTACTGTTTCATTGTTACCAAAGCTGCCTCTCATTCTTCCACCATCACTTCATCAAAATCTGTAATTCACATAACTGTTTTCTTGTGAAAGACTAAAAAAAGGCCGTTAGAGATGTTAATACAACTTGAGTGTTACTGGCCATGCAAAGTTTGGGCCTTTATAAGGGATTTTTTGAAAGTTACCACAAATTATTAGCATACAACAACCTAACGGCTTGCTTTGAAAGCTGAGAGGCAGTTGGTAGCAATCAGGTTATGGGATTTAGGCAGAATAAGAATCTAGACAGACACATGAAGAGTTTGTGTTTATTTGTCTACATTCAGCATAATCCAGATGTGCTGTCTGAATGACCCAGACATACAAAACCCACTCTTTCCCACAAGTTTTAAAATAAAATCCTCACTTATAAAACTGAAAAACACTAAAGCATTAAAATACAGAAAGCTTGTTTAAACTCACTTCACAAAAGCATTAGCAGAAGATATCCCTTATCTATTTAAAGCCATACTGTGTTAACACATGAATGTCATTTAAACAGAAAAAGGATACTGAACTCAAATTCTATTTAGACAGAAAATTGAAATGGCAAACAAACCATTAAATACACCATTAAATGTCCAAAATACAGCTAAGTATGGAATTACAAAGTACTCAACCATTAGTGACTGATATCACAAAGAGCACTGCAACATGGAAACAGGGTTTACATGTTTACTGTGATGCAATAAAACTCAATATTCAAAGGGTATGCAAGTTTAGAAGGTAACAAAGCTTCACACCCAAGAACAGACTGGTTTATCTATACTGATAGTTCATGCTGTGGTCATTTCTGCCATAACCAGCTTGGGAGACTTGGTAGGAATTGGGAGGTCCACTGTAATTCTGGTTTGAACCTGGGGAGTTGTAGTTTGGCTGAGAATATCCTCCTAGGGTGAAAAGGGAGAGGGGTCACTTTAATATATCATTATAAATCTCTACTTTGCTTATATAGTCTAAACTATCACATACACAGCAAGCAACACACCACGACAGAATGAACATCACCTCCCCAAAGTTTGGTAACTGAAGAGCACTTGGGGTACAATAATCTTTCCCTGCTGCACTTCTGTCTGCTCTGGTCTATCACCGCCTCCCTTTTTAATGTGATCTAAAATTATGCTTTAGTAACAAAGGCACTCCCATCAGCTTTTGGAAAAGAAAAGCAGCAACAGGAGTCCCCTCCCTGCACTGCTAATCTTTCTTGAAACTAAAGCCTAATCAAGTGAGAGTGACACTCTTCCACCTTTGTTCATTGCATGTTCCGGAGGACTGACTGAAGGAAGGAAGGGAGGGAGGGAGGGAGCAATAGCAGTGATCACATATAATGGATGGCTGATTAGCAAAGTCAAGATTTGTGGATTACCAAACAAAAGAACTTATTCCACTCAACATGCAAACACTTCAGGGTTGCTGTTATTCTATACGGACATTGCTTACCTTGGTAAGATGACCCTCCTCCAGCTCCGCCCCCATAGCCACCATGGGAACCAGCATTATAGGCGGCTCCTGAGCCATAACTGTTTGCGCCACTACCGCCACGTCCACCACCACCACCACCACCGTAACCTGGAATTAAGAATGTATACTGAGGAAAGTCTCACATCAGGCTACTTTGGAAACATTCAAAATCAGATGTAAATATATGAAAGCTGACTTCATATAATACCACCATATAATACACAGGGAGATTATCAGCTCTTATCATAGATGTCTCCCCTAGTTTCTCGCAACACAGCAGCAGTGGAGAGGCTATACCGAAACTAGCTGCATGATGAACGTTTCCCAACACACCTGCTCAAAATTATTAGATGCCTTCATTTATCTCTGCAGCTCAACTCCACTGCCTTTTAAAAGATTCTCCTCTGATCTGCATCTCAACCCAGTTACTGGAATATCTCCTGTCCACAAGGGTCTTTAAAATACAGCTACTTTACTTAAGCATACAAAGTAACACAGAATCACATCAGTTCTTAAACTATCATGTTTCCTTTACAATTCCAATCTCTGTCCTTGCACTCTGGGACTTACATAATGATAACAGCCCTGATGTGCAGTGTACGAGACATATGCTTATGCTAAAAGTGTATTAAGGGCTTTCACAACTCCCACCCCCCACGAGGAACACACTGAATTTACTTTCGTAATTGTAGTCTGATCCTCCACCGCCGCCGCCAGGAGAGTTGTAGGAATTCGAGTAGGAAGCGTAGTTGCCTTGGTTATATCCCTTCTGCTTGCCTGGCGGTGGCCCATAGTTGCTATACTGGTTCTGGTTATACGATTGCTGTTGTTGGCCTTGATGGGCTTGATACCCTGAACCATAGGCGGGCTTTTGCTGTCCTCCATGCTGTGGCTTCTTCCCAGCGTGTTTAGGAGGGGCAGGAGAGCTGTAGTCGCCACCTTGGTAGTAGGAACCATACCCTGCGGATCCACCACCGCCTCCTGCATTGCCGGAATGGCCACCATTGCTGTAGAACTGACCTAAGGACAGGACAAAAAGCAGTCACTACACTTGTTCAAGTTATCTGAAACTGCTACATGCTCAGGAAGAAACGGGCCTAAAATGTGACTGTGTAGCATGACTTGTGTCGAGCTTCCCCTGCATCCTAGAAGAAATCCGGAGCAAACTGACACGTTACCCCAGATGTCCTCCCTTTCCTAAAGGGATACTTAGGTTTGACTGGAGCCTTATACCTCTCTCTGGAAGGGCTATGCACTCTCCCACAATATTTGACATGAGAGTAACCCATTTTCTGTAGCAGTGACAATTCAAAATTTGGAATTCTATAGACTTGAAGTCAGACTTATTACATCAGCCATCTCAGGCAGATGCTTTTAGCTGGGAGTGAACATCCAACAAAGCAGTCTGGTATGATTTCAGTTCCCCATGTACCAGACTGCAAAATATCCCCTGGTGTGTAAAAGGAAGTGATGATCACAGCTGGAAACAATAGCAGAAGACACAGAGTTACTTGGGTACATCTAAAGTCTGTAAAGATCCTGTTTTGAAATACAATTTGAGCACATAAGATTTGAACCCCCTTTTTACCATGATCTAAAATTATGCTTTAGTAACAAAGGCACCAGCTTTCAGACCCACAACAGGTGTTATAAGCCTATGGTTAAAACTGCACAAGAATGGCTATTGTCTAGTAAGGTGACACATGCAGCCAATCTGCACAGCATGGTATACTGGAAGGAACACCACTAGTTTTAAATAAAAATTTGGATAATAATTTCTGGAAATAAGTCTTGGCTCCCCAAACCATCTTCACACTAACACCCACAGAACACCCACAACACAATGGGTGTTAAAGTGAGTTTTCCCTCAGTTCAGAACTATGAAAAACACAGTTTCTCTTTAAAAAAAGAACATTTAACAACAAAATTCATTGGGGAAAACAATTCCCTCACCACAACTACTTGTAGTTACCATGTTAACTATTTTGTAAACTGCTTATTTAGTAATGATTTCATTTAGAATTCATTAACAAATAAATAACAATGTGTGTGCATGGGGGGGTATTGCTTTTGTTTGTTACTATGTTATGCAATTTTGTGTTTTTATATTGTAAACCACCCCTGTGATCTTTGGATAAAAGGTGGTATAGAAATTTTAATCCCTAGACAGGGATCAAGATACACACATTTAAATCAACTACTGAAGCAAAGACGACCAAACAGCATGTTTATTAAAAACCTCAACAACTAGTTTATTCCCTGTGCCTTTTCAGTGTTTAGTAGCTTTCATTTCCTGGACATTACATACACTGCTTTTGGGGACATGCACTGCAAAAAAGATAAGTAGCCATACCCTACAAGAATTTGAACCAACTTGCAAAGTGCTTTAGGCCTTTTATCTTTAGTTGCAAAAAATGCCCACTGCAACTAATGAAACCATTCAATTTTAGAGGAATCGCAACCCAACCATTGTAGCTGAGGCTGTAGGTCCTGGATGTTATACCAATACAAGAAGCACAAAGGATGCAGATATTAAAATTAGCACATACTATTTCACATACAAGTCAATATCATGCATGCTTAAAACACTAAGTTGTCATAGATTCTGAATTGTTCAAATGTCTTTCCCTTATTATTAGAGGCATCTATCCACTTCAGGGAACCAAAAAGGTTAAGTTTTGTACAAAATCTGTTGTAAATTAAATCAAGTAGTTCACACATTATCATGTTCCTTAAAAATAAAGCGATGCTTTCCATAAAAAGCAAACAGGGGCCTTTTGCTTGTAAGCAGAACAGAGTTGGCTCTTTTTGTGCCCAACGCACAAACACATTCCTTGAAATTTAGCTCCCCCATAGTGTACATCAATATGACCAAAGGCAAGTCACAATAAAAACTGCCACTGTTTGTAGGCTAACAGTTTCAGACAAGCTGCGGTGAAAAGCCACTGTTGAGAAACCCAGTGAAGCACAGGGACACAGCACGAACACTTTGGGTTTTGGAGTTCGAGAAAATTGGAGTAAAAAGCTGTTTTATGTGCAATACTTTTAGATGATCTAGGAAGACCCAAAATCATGATAGCCGTAGCAGTCTGTGAAAAAGTCACCTACAAAAGGGGGAGACAGAGCAGAGGAAAAAAAATTAGAATTTTTGGAAGATGGCAAAATGTGCCACATTTTTAAAATTTATTTTTATTTCTCTGCTCCCGTCTTCCCCCCCTCCCGAAACAAACCAAGCTGTGTATTTTAAAATTGTATTTTTTTTAGGGAAAATGCTTTTCAGAATGGTGATTTGCTTCACTGGCATAAAGCAGAGAAATGTTTAGTTCATTTTAAAAGCAAGTGAGATTTGCTTTCAACATCAGATTTTCCTCATTTCGCTATGTAAAATAGAACTGAGCTTCACTACCCCCAGGGTGTTGTGTTTATTTTTTCCATGAACACTTACTATAGCCTGCTGTTGCAGAATTGCCACCGTAGCCATAGCTTCCATATCCAGCTCCTGGAACAAAATGAAGTATATATTAGTCACCTGACAATATTGCAAAAAAGGAGCGAATTAAGTAGACCATTTGGTATGTTTGCACCACGGATTTACACTGATGCTCAGATTCAGGCACATATATAAAAAGTGGACTCCACGGAACCACTGAGTTCAGCAACCATTAAATGGTCCTGCGCTCTCTCTCTCTCTCTCTCTCTCTCTCACACACACACACACACACACACACACTATATATGCAATGTTATAATGCCGAGGTGGTGAGCAAGTACCCCTCTAGATGTTGTTGATCTCCCAATGGCCATCAGCTCCAGCCAACATGACCAATGATGGGAACTAGAATTTAACCAAACCTGTTGGGGTACAGGCCTCCCACCCTTGCTATGAAGCAGAAAAGGCAGCATGTGCAGGATGATTAATGCTAGCTTTCACACTTTAAAGTATGGAACAGAAAGGAAGTAACTCACCAGCATTCATATATCCTCCATGATTAGCACCACCAAATCCACCTCTTCCTCGACCGCGGCCTCGGATATTTCCTCCTCTACCACGACCCCGCATGTTTGGAGGGGGTGGCACTTCAGTATGCATAGGGCCTCCCATACCATAGCCTGGATTATGCTGTTGAAATTAGTAAAAATCCAACCAACAGAAAGTCAACTAACTTATTTTTGATTCTTGCTATGTTAAGTATTTTGTATAATTCATTGCTAAGCAGCTCCTAGAACTGTAGCCACAAGCTATGCTTTTCAAATCAACCGCCAAATAGTCTGTTAAGAGTACAGTCTCTCTAGGGGATTGAGTAAGTATTATTAATCTACCTGAAAGCACAAGTTATAGGGTTAAAATTTACCTTTACAGGAAATTTGGGTCCACCTCGCGCTGGCATAGGGGCCCTTTTCTTCTTTTGCTCCATTGGAAGGGGGGCATCTGGAAAAAGCTTTTCTAACGCAGCCAGTGCAGCATAAGCTTTCGCCACTTTTTTGTTTGAACCAGCTCCTTGGAATTTCTGACCATCAACCTCAACCTTTGAAGTAAGGAAAAGTGTCAGGGAGAGAACTGCACGTTCCCATGTTGTAACAGCATTAACTAATAGTAATTCTGAATGCAGCTTTGTATACCAGATCATCTCACCTCCATCACAAACCGCTTATCATGACTGCCGCCAGTTTCTGAGATCAGCTCATATTTTAAGCCACGTCGTTTCTCATTTAGCTCCATAACTGGGTTTTTCCCATGCTTTGTCAGTATTGGTCCCTGCTGCTTCACATTCTATGAAATTAAAATACCACTGCATTGGTGCCATTTCCACTTTTTAAAAATGTCGATCAATAATTGGGGGGGACGGGTGTGTATGTGCTAAACCACTACAGAAAAGCCGCAAGCCAAAATGCTGAGCACAGGGAAGCAAACCATGTGGCATTTGCCCACTAGAACAAGGCATTGGCTTTGTGAATGTGTAGTAGAGGAAAAAGTAGACTTTCAAAAGAGACACTTGGGTGCTGGTGAGAAGTGTACCAGAAACTATAATGTACTGACTTTGTCTTCATCGACTACGTACAATTGATTAGTAGAGTACACTTAAAACTATAATGTCAGATTTAGTTAAGCTATATATATATATATGAGAGATAATTGTATCATTTGAATCACCTCCATAACCATTTTGTGGTTATTGATTGTACAAGAGTTTCTAAAACGAAGTAGGCACTTGGCATTGATCTGGAGTGACAGGGATTCTAGCCTGAAGAGCAATGACCAGAGCCTAAAAGAGGCACAAGTAATGTACACCTACCTCTGTTTGCTCTGAAGGAGAAGCAGCACTGGGTGTACAAATAGTCTCCACTACAGGCGGAGCAGTTATAGCTACTGGTTTCTGATCTGTTTCCTCTGCTGATTCATCACCCCTCTCTCTTCCTTCTACACCCGTAGGCAATCCCATATCTTGTAACACCTAAGGAAAAAAATTTATCCTGATCAATTTAGAAGCTTCTGTACAACTTCAGACTACTGTTATATACTCAGTAACATCCATTAAGCCATTCAGCAACCACACCTAACTAGAGTTTCACAAACTATAGCTTGAGCTTCCAAACACAGGACGTAACATGATTTAGAGCTTGCTTATCCAGGCCCCTGCAGAGCATGTCTGATGCCCAGTTTGGAAGTCATGTTAAAATAAAGCTATAAATTAAAAAAAGAGAAAAGGAGTTGGTTTCTAGAGGCCCCCCAGACAGCTTAGCCCTCCAAAGCATGGGGCAAGTATACCTGGCTGCCAGCTCTCTTTTGCATGGGCCTGTGCTCATCCCTGCCAGCTTCTAGGTAAAGCACCCTCATAGTCAACTGATACCATGGCAAATCATAAAAGCACAAACTACCTTGATTACATGTCTGTGTCAAATCATGGTTCTCCAATTTTGTCTTGTTGGTCAATTGCAAACTATGTGTATGTCAATACAAACAAGACTAAATCATAGTTTAAGCTTCCTTAACCATGGTTTGTAATGAATGACATGGATGTATTCTGGCAAAGGCACAAGATCCCCTTCCAGACGAAAGGAATTCAAGTTACGTTCAAAGCGAAACTGTATGTACTGACTTACAAATAACAGTTACGCACATATTCATAACCACTTCCTACCTTTACAGCTACATGCAGCTTGGCTGTTTTTTTGGAAGGTCCTGAAGCTTCATATGTGATGCCATCTACTTCCACAGACATGGTAAATATAGGCGCATGAACTGGACCTGTCTGAGACACTAGTTTATACTGAAGTCCTGGTTTCAGTTGGTTCAGTTTCATCAGTGCATTCATAGCTTGCGGTGGTTCTGATTTCTCCTCTGAACAAAAGAAGATATTAACATATTGACTGAAGACCCCACATTAATGTCTTTTGTGCTCTACGAAGTGCACGGTGTTAAGTTTATAGCTATCAAACAAATCAGCCAAAGCAGAAGAACAACTCGACATTTTTTCTACATCCTACCATTCACTGACATTTACACATCAACATGAATCCGAAACATCTGGATTAGCAAGCACTTGGAAAACTATGTATACCTACCTCTTGCCAACTCAATACCTTTTTTCTGAATCTTCTTTTTCTTTTTGCTTGGAGACTTCTCCTCTCCGTCTTCTTCCATAGGACGTTTCAACGGAGCAATGGCATATGTGGTGCTAGGGGGAATCTGGACTGTAGACAGATTTTAGATTGTCAATAAAAACACCAACATATTTTCTGTCAGAAATAAAATTCCAGACTACTGAAACCTACCAGTGTAATCAACTGGGTTTTCATTTTTTGGTTTCTTGGGCATCTTTGATGGCAACGGATCCATCCCCAAAACTTTATGAAGTTGGCCAAAAGCAGCAAGCCTTAACGCATGCTAGAGAGATAGAATGTGTATTACTGAGGTGTCCAAACTGCTCCTAGCTTTTCCCACATTCATAACAAAACCCATTCCCAGTATTTCAAGCCAGAAATTTCTGAAGACCAAAGCCAGCAAGCACTCTGGAACTTACTGTTAAGTTTTAAAAACCTGACATCTTATTTTTGGCAAATCAGCAAAAACCTCCTGCATTACTTAATGGGACCCTTTTTCTGTTTCCGATTAAAGCCAGCCTCATTGGGAAAACTAGCTATCATTAAGAACTCATTGCGGTTTTGTAACATCTGTAATCAAAACTATACCTGAGCACTCTGTGTGATATCTTCCCTTTGTTGTCTGTCTAGATGCCCAATAGCATCAGTGGCTTCTTTTTCACAAGGATCATAAATACCAGAACCATCTGAAGGCAGGAAACAAGGAAGATATGCAGAGAATTATCCTAGGGTCTCTACGTAGACTCAAATATTCCCTCAGCATCACCTATGACTCAGAAATGTAAGTAGCTCAATTGAAGTTCTTGATCCAATGGGCAATAATTTGATCTAGTCTGCAATACAGATCATTAAGCCCAACACTGTGTGGCAAGATTGCCAAAGTCTTCAAGCACTCCAAAAGCAACCTGCACATTCTGTCACATCCCCATTAAGGGAGTTGGAATACTGGGTCCATAATTTTAAGAGCATTTGTTTAAGGTAATGTCATGCCCTATACATCAAGCCTTAAGTGAAAGAAACAGATAAAATATGGTCATGCCTAACATGGTGGAAACACAAAACCTTGACTAGAGCCAATTTCAGTCACTTCTATTGAAATTTCTCAAGAGTTGAGAACTATCTAACCTGGCATGACTATTCCTGATGCAAGGCATTCAAGAACTCTTCTCAGGGCCTCACCGGCTCCCATTGGTCGATTGGCTGTTCCAATTGATTTCTCACACAGCAGTTCTAGAGGCTGAAAAGACATTTCAGAAATTTGTAAGGAAAATAGTAGACGGTTATCGGTGCCCATAGTACAGATGCTGGCCTACCTTAACCATTAATCTATTAAATAACTCAGTTAGAGACACATGTATGACTAGAAAATTGGGTGTTGGATCTACGAGACCTTGGTACAAGCTTGCCTATCACTGACTAAATGGGAAAGTTAACATGCGGATGTTAGTGCCCTTTCTGTAAAATGGGAATCAGTGAATGAATAAAGTTTTTAAACTTAATAAGCGCAACATAAATAGGAGAAATAACAAGCTCTCTATAGCTTTAACATATAGAATGCTCATACCTCACATATTAATTGCTTCTGCTTCGAAGTGGCTTCTCTGTTGCAGCTTCGGGGGGGGGGGGGGCAGGGAGAGAGAGACTGTAGTTCCCTAACCTCACCAGCAACTTGAATTGAAGCATTCACCTCATAATATTTTAAGTGTTTGAAGTCAATGGTAATTGTTAAAAAAAGGGGGGTTTTGCACTGTTCATCTTGGTGAAAGCAAGAATGATCTGCACGTTAAATGATACAGACACTTGCAGTTTACTTGCCCTGCATTTATATTCCGCTCAAGCGGAATCCAATGAAGGTTGGCCAAGTTTGGTTGTAGGGGATTGCTGTAAGGCAGGCACAGGCAAACACCAGCCCTCCAGATGTTTGGGACTACAATTCCCATCATCCCTAGCTAACAGGACCAGTGGTCAGGGATGGTGGGAATTGTCGCCCCAAACATCTGGAGGGCCAGAGTTTGCCTATGCCTGCTGTAAGGTGTGTGGTCGTCTAACCTGGACTAGAGTCACTTTTAGCTGTTGCCTGGGCATAAGCTTAACTGAAGGTCTGAAATGTGTGTGAGGGGCTGTCTAATAATGCCTGTGAGGTATTAGAATGGCAATCTGCATTGAAGACTGAATAACCTCACCACGTTCTCAAATATTCACTGGCTGCATAGACACATAGGCCAGACATTCTGTGTGCTGGTGCATGTGGTCTGATCACTCCTCTGGTACAAGTGGGATAAACACACCAGGAGGCCCTTGGCTTCCTTTTGCATTCTAACAAGCCACAATAAGCAAGTGAACAAAGCATGGTTTAAGATGGGCAGTGACTATGCTTTGTTGTCACAATCAAACTAACAACTTCCTGGTATACATATCCTGCTCACACCAGGAGAGGTTTGAAGTGGAAGTAAGCAGGCAGCATGCACTAGCTCACTGCTTGTTTACAGCTTACCATAATAAACTAGAAACTGGCTCATGACAATGTTCACAACCATTATATCTATAAAAACAATGGAAACTTCCTAAAATAGCATATATTCATTGCACATTCAAATTATTTATATGCCACTAAATAGGTATTATTCCCAAGCAGTGATTTCAAAACTATTCTCTCCCCCAGGCTACCTGAAATTTGCTAAGACTCTTGGTGGACTACTTAATGATTTTTCTGCCTCTTGCAGCAACTGTGTTAAATATTGTAATATTTATAATTGTATTTTCATTATTTAATTCCTTAAATATTTTATTGTATTATAATTTGAATTCCATAGAACCCAGTTGCATTACAAAATACAGCATAATAAGTAATAAAATACAAACACAATTGAAATCAATATAACTGCTTAATAGGATGGATATGCTGGCTCTTGTTTTCAACCACAATCCAGAGATCTGCCCTGAACCATCCGAATGCAGCTTGCAGACCACTCCTATTCTAAAAGCACAGAACAAGTCAATTTTGAGCCTCAACAACCTGATGAGCCTATGCCATGAGGATACTCTAGCTATAAACCAAAGCAGACTTTTGGCAAGCATTTTAGAACTGTCAGGCTTCCACAATCCCTAAAAGCCCACCTTACACTAGAACCTTTGGTCACATACAATCAGTCTCATTTAACAACCTAGGCAGTCTTACAAAGATTACGCTTTTCTTAAAAATTATCCAAATTTTTCACATTTTCATAGTAAAATGAGAACTGCCTTCCTCTCCATAGGATATAAAAAGCACCTGCTTTTTCTCACATACATTTGCATATTAAAAAAGAAATAACTTGAAAGATTACCCATCCTCTAAGTGGAGCCCAAGTAGGCACACGGGTACACAGATCTCTCAGCACTCTGATGACTATGACACATGATTTCAAGCCATTTGCCCTGGCCTAGAATAAAGTAATAAGCAACACAGGTTCAGTAATATACTGCATACCAGGACCAAATTGAGACAAAATATAAATTTCTTGTAGTGCTACTTTGTCAAGGGTAAACTATGTATACATCTCCATAGCTTTATTTCTTTAGTTTAATTACTGTGTATGAAAACTTACTCTTAACACAAAGCAGCAGCAATGAAATCTACTCCATTCCTTCTCTGAAAAACTAAATTCATTCAAGTGCTTCTTTAGCAACTGTGCATTTAACAGATGCTAAGTTCTGCACATCTACAGCCCAGATTTAAAACATTTTAATGAAGTTAGACAATTACAACTTACAAGTTTTCTACTTAAAGACAAATATAAGAACAAAATGCAAACCTGGAACCACTTGGCGTGTCGGAGTGACGCCAAGGCAGCAAGGCATTTCTGCCTGTCCAGAACGTCCGGTGAGTCGTTGACTGATAGCGTTTCTATTCGTGGGTGGAATAAGAAGACAAGGTACAGTTTGACCAAGGGGGTTCTGTCGGGTGGAGAGGGGATGAGGCAGTTTCCTAAAGGGCAGCTGAGGCTCCCAGAACTCTGATCTACAGCCCTGTACCTGAAAGTATAGCCTCAATACACTTTACTTTGTCACCCTTATGAACTAACAACTACATAAGGAGAACAATGTGAGGCACTAACTCACTCTTACAAAAGGAAAGGAAACCCTACAGGGAAGGACAGAAATCCTAAACTATTTTAACCAGGTTACAAAAAGGTATAGAACTATGCTAACCAACAGAATGGAAGGTTAAAATTATATCCCCACTCTATATCCGTAGAGGTACATAGCTAAATGCTTTTCTAGATGGGAACCCCCTCCGCCCACAAGGCTCGACTGCCCTGGCCCCAGCCCATGACAGAGTGCGTCCTGTTGGTCAAAGGTCCAGCGTCCCTAAAATCGACAAACTAGAAGGCTTGGTAGATGTGGTCAGATATCAGAACCATAAAACAATCAGTAGCGAACAAAATTACTATCCAGTCTGTGCTGCAGCAAAACTGAACATAGGAAGAAGCCAGGGTTTTAGATAAGGCTAGTTCAGTCATTTGAAATGTGAGACCCTTTAAGCATTGTGTTCACCTGGCTACTGAAAAAACCATTCTAGATTTATTCAAATGTGAAGATTGCTTTTAATATTAAGGGTGAATTCACACATCCAAGCTCATCTCTGTACGATCAAGTGATGTGCATGTATGAAGACAGCTATCACACAAACACCGGATAGGTATTTTGTAGCATTTGATATCACCTCAAATACTTTGTGTGGACTGCCTCCTTTAAACTCAGCTGCAAATAATCAGGCTGAGTTATTATATACATGCTTGTCACTCAGACCCATAGATGTATAAGTAAGATGAAGGATGGAGTAACTTTATCCAAAACTCTGCATTACATTCTTGAATTCAGCTGAACAGGCTGAAACCCCAAAACGATCAAAAATACAAAAAGCAACTATCATTTTTGCTGCAACACAAACTGCTTTTATGTAACATATCCAATTTCATGAACATGCAGAAGTCATTTAAACTAAGACTTCATCTTAAGAGGTTTTAGTTTACATTTATAACGTCTGTATCCATCATTAAGGTCTGATGAAAAAAGTTATACCAGTGAGTTAATGTACTTGTACAAGGCCATACAAAAAGGCCCAAACATTTTAAAAAGTGATTTAATTTGGAAGGTGGTACTCAGATTCTAGAAGCCTATAATCCAGTTGTTCATAACCATGACACTGTGTAGCATTGTGACACAAAGTTGATTTGCATGAAATTGCTCTGCCTAATCAAAAACAGAACACCACAGTGAACAATGAAGTCAGTCTGGAAACTTATTCTGCGGCTGCTAGCAGTTTTCAGTCCTCCATACCTCCAGCTAACATTTTTTCCATTTCTTCTCTGACAACAGGGGATGTCAAGTGGATGGTAAGTGTCAGTGGAGGCTCTTTTGTATTCTTAATGATAATTGCAGCATCACTGATAGATTGGATAATTTCATATTTATCTTCAGTAATAGCCTGAAACACAAAGAAATGCCTTAGACTTTTATCAGAGTCTCTCCCTTTCTGCAGTGCCAACATCCAACTTAGAGCTTTGGGGCAACTATGTCTGATTTTGGCGTAGTTGGTATAGCTAAGAGCAACATAAGGAAATTCACTTCAGGAGCCCAAATGCTCCTTGAGCAAGCTGCCCAAGATATGGAATCCACCACATCTCCCTGCCCATCACACGTATCTCTCCACCCCCACCTTGCACAATGACTGGAAAGGTTCTTCAGGCAGAAAACCCCTTTCAACACTACAACATTTCCTCTTATGAAGGTTCAACTAAAACTTCCTATTTTGTCTGAGCAATGAGTTTATCTAGCCCATTCAAATATCAGACTAGTAAAAAAGATTTCAAAAGAGGAAATATTGATAATGAAATCATACTATGGTATCTAACTAGTTTCTCAAATAAGCCAGTGGTAGCAAATGCAGATGAGCTACCAAGTGCTGAGAAATGTTCACCAGCTTAATTTGTAATGTTCTGGAAGTTCTGAAGGGACAGACCCACAGGGCTAGTTACAAAATGAGGTGCCAGCAACTGGATACAGAAAACTGGCAAGTGGTAGGCCAAGTACTTGGTAGATCTAATTACAGTGGGCCCACCACTTATGTGAAGGTTCAGTTCCAGAGCTCCTTGCACAAAGTGCAAAGTATGGAACACCTGGAATGGCAACCTGCAAGGTGGATGGCTGCTTACTGGACTCTGGGAAGGCCACAGGGCCACTTGGGAGCTTCCCAGCCCCCTCCTGCAACCTTCCAGAGCCCAGTAAGCATGGCACTGGGCTTTGGGAAGGAGGCACAAGGGAGAGCCATAGCAGCTCCTAGCCAAAACTTGCTCAACTTTGGGAAGGAGAAGCATGGGCTCGGGCAGCTCCTTCCCAAAGCAGAGCTGCAAGAGAAACCCACTAGGTGCATGGGTTGGGCAGAAATAAATGAATAAATGGAGAGTGGGGAACGGTGGGTTTTATTTATTCTCCCCACCCCGTATAAGTTTGTGTTTGCAAGTGATTGCAGGCTCAATGTACTACATAAAATGTTCGCTCCGGAATTATCCCATGTCAGCAATGCTTTGATTACAAGGGAACTTAAAATGCTACAGTATATGATAGCAAAATGCATGATTTTAGATGTTATAATTATTTATTAAATTTCTATACTGCCCTTCATGAAAGGAGTACAGGGCAGTTTACAATATAAAACCACAAAAATACATTACATGGTAACAAACAAAAACTATAACACCCCCCATCAGTTTTAAAAGCCACACATTGTTGAATTAGCCAAAGGCCTTGGAGAAAAGGAATGTTTTTGCCTGGCACCTAAAAATATGTAAATAGGTGCTTTTTACTCAGATTAAGTAACTTTATCCAAAACTGCATTACATTAGAGTACCCAAGTTGGCAGAACAGCAAAAATTCTGTGCACTCTTTGGCATGAAACCCCATAACGCAATAAAGTAGGATAACATTGTATTTGTTGCACAAACAAGTAAAAAATAAACAAGATAAGCGGTGGCAATTATAAACTTTTAAAAATTGCATATTTTTCATACTCACAGCAAGTTGGGTTCCAAGATTATCTGCCACTTTTTCCAAAAGACCAATAGTAGGCTTCTCCTTGCACAACAAAACCAACTCAAGATCCAAGTCTCCCTTAAGCAAGAGCCCCTTTGCTACAAGACCAACACGCATCACTCCACGAAGTGTCCGAGTTAAGTGCTCTGTGGTCTTCGGCTCACTAAGAAACGATGAAAAGAAGCTTTACAGAAAATGATGAAATGACAAACTGCTCTTTTATTGTGCTAAGTATTTGTTCAAATCAAACTTTCAGCACACAATGGAAACACTGGGCTGTTTCAAAATAGCCACCAAACTGTTTTGCACTACATGGAGGGACCCAAATAACTTTAAATGTTGATTCAAGTAGAACAAACACCATGACCTGGTATTACATCTCTATCAGCTCATTATTTCTAATAGTTTATCATCATGTACAGGTCTTTTAATCCCCAAAGTATTCAATCTAACTGCCAGGGGTAAAATACAGTATTAGTAAAATTTTAATTTCAAGGAAAAAATACAAATAGAATATGGCCTCTTCTTCAGCCAAAAAAATTGGAAAGGGTACTTTCTTGCCATGGAATATGGAGTCTTAGAAAAGTCAGGAAGCAATGAGGCATAACAGCCAGTGTGGTGTTGAAGTAAGTGTCAGACTAGGATCCGGGAGACCAGAGTTCAAATCTCCACTCAGCCATAAAGCTACTGGGTGCCCTTGGGCCAGTCACTGCCTTTTGGCCTAACCTACCTTGCAGTGTTGCTATGGAGATTAAATGAGCTCCTTGGGGGAAAGGGTGGGATGTAAATGCAATAAATAACTGCTTCCAGAGCCTCTGAGGCTCAGCATGAAGCCTAGGAGATTCCCCACCATCCTAAACAGGGCAGAGGTGTGGGCAGAGAAGAGAGTTGCATTGCTGCTGTCTGAGCCTTTTAAACATTCATCAGAGTGAAGCATCCTACACCCTCCAGCTTGGTGTGTGGGCAAGTGAAAAGTTGCACTGGGCTCTAGAAACACTCCTAAGTGTTTCTGAAGTTCGGCAAGATGCCATTCCTTTCCTCTCAGGGTTGCAACAGGGCTGGTAGCAATCATAAATTCTAGGTGACTATGAAGGCTTCATGTGCTTATGGGCCCCTGAAAATGGATGATCTGGACTACAGGTAACAGAAGATGATGGGAACTCAAGTATAGCTCATGGCTGAAAGACTGGTCGAGAAAGGCACTGGGAGATACCTCCTAATCCAGCCCTGAGCAAAGACCTTCTTCTAAAGTGTTTCCCTCCTAGACGACAGCATGGAGAGCGCACCAGTGTCCTGGAGTCTAGACCACTGGGTACCAATGAACTGTGTATCCTTAGTTTAGTGAACAGACAGAAGTGCAGCCTGTGTAACGGTTATAGTGCAGAACTATTAAACAGAGAACATTTAACTGAATATTTTAGTTTGCAATTAATCTAATCCTGTGATGTGTTCCTCAAATGTTTCTACCACCTTTGCATTAAAATGCAGAGGTCTACATACTGTTACCAAGCAACAATGATAATCTTCCTTTTATTTTGTTCAATGCTCTTAAGTTGAAACTTTTCCCCCCAACTGGAAAAAAAATAATTAGACACCTTTGGATGCTGTTCCATTCCAGATACATGGAATATCTGTTAAGCACTGTTTGGCTAAAGAGTATTTGGAGAGGCTGAGAGAGAATGACTTCCCAAAGCTACTTAGTGAGTTCATGGCAAAGGCAAGATTTGACCCAGCAATGTCCTGATCTGTAATTCAGTCTCTTATCCACTATGGTGCAGCAACTTCAAGAATGCCTTCTCCCAGCCCTACTCATTACCCACCAAGAAATCAGCCCTGAGGTTGTGATGTAGGGAGGAAAATTCTATATACATTCTACAGCTTTATTTTTTCATGGAATTTTCAGTTTAAAAATAAAAATACAATGCCATTTTAAACTAAACCACTATGCAAATGGAATGACTTCTGTGAGCACAATGGAAATTGTACTCCCCCTGCATTCACCTATCTTCCCCAGAGGAACCCCCACATCAAGGCGGAGGTGGGTAGCTGCACAGCACGAGAAGCTCCATTGTGCCCGCATAAGTCATCCCACACACAATGATTTAATTGGATGCAACACATTGTTTCAATAGGTTGCATCTAAATAAATACACTAAATATTTAAATTACTAAATACACTAAAATGGATAGACTTCTTCTGCTTGGTTCAACTAGTATATATTATCCATTTAGTACTTTACTAATTGAAGCATCTAAAAAACTGCACATGCGGAATGACTTTTTCTGGGGAAACTTACCTGAACCTTTTTTTGGGTGACTAACCCTAGTATGTCTGTGTGCATATATTATAGACATACATAGCTCTTTAGTGTGCAAAAATTAGCATATGAAGTTTTCAGCACCTTTATTACCTTTTAGAATTTAAACACTATAAGGAGGCATATGTGGTTGTGTTGCCACATCCCTAAATATATTTACAACGCATTAATCATGATTTCTCCCCCTTTCCTTGTCAAAGTATTTAATTTCAAATATTTTTGGCTATTTGAAAATTCTTTGATAGTTATACAACAGATAAAATTAGCATAGCAGATTTCTAGATTGCTTACTAAAAATAAAAGTCAAAGATGCAAAATGAGATCCCAACCTACATAATGCATCAGAAGTTTCCAACTCAAACATTTTCAGAAAAAAAATCCACTTTTTTGATGTTTAAATTTATGCTGTACTAGTAGAACCCCAAGAAATGCAAAGGGGTATCATATCCAAACCATGTTTTCTCCTTGACAACACATACCCAACCTATACTGTATTTATAGGGAAATCTAGTGAAAAAACGTGACACTTTTTAGTTCCAGGAAGACTTCAACCCAAGATTCAAGAAAACACTACTCACACATATGTATGTGGTAATGTAGTTGGGCTGCAATCTTATACTCTTAGCTGGGAATAAGCCCAACTGGCCTAAATGACACATTTCTGAGTAGATGTGTATAGCACTGCACAGTAAGAGATTCTGTGGTAGTGGCAAATCCTCCAGCAGCAATTAACTGAGTTGATGAAATGTTCTAAAATGTTTGTGACTGTTCTATCAGCTTAATCAGGGATGGAGAACTTGTAGTCCTCCAGATGGTGTTGGACCTGAATTTGCAACAGTCTCAGGAAGCATGGCCAGTAGTTAGGAGTGATAGGAGCTGGAATCCAACAACATACGGATGACCACAACTTCTCCTCTCTCTGTGGTAAATGAAACAACCAAAACTATGGACAACAGGAACAAAATCATGCTTACTGTTTCACCTACTGTGGCAACTGGAGATTTGCCTTTAGACGTAGAGATGGCTGCTTGCAATTGTGCCCTTTGATTTCTACTTAAGTATTTAGCAGCTGACTGATGAGCAGAAATGTTACTTACCTTCCTTCTTTGTTCTCTTCTTCAGCTACAGTCTCCATGGTCTCAGGTTCTGGCTGATCTCCGCTACCTTTCTCTTGTTCATTAATCCAGTCAGATACAGCCTTGAGAGCACGTTCAGTGTGAGAGACCATGTTCTGTACTGCTGTCAGCTCCTCTTGCGTTGGATAAACTGCAGAGTGTTTTGCCATAACATGGCGGTCATCATTCACAAAAATACGCATTGGCCGCTGAAAATAAAAACACAAATAGTAAACCACCAGTGTATGCTATTGGCTTTCACCTCTGAATGGCAGTCTCTTACCATTTTTGCTTTTGAACTTTGGCTGAATTTTTCAAGAAATATTTGCTTCTTCCAATTTGTACTCGCTCAGTGTATTCAGTACTCTGGGAAAATGAAAAGGATAAACAATATCAGAAATCAATCAATCAATCAATCTTTATTGCGGTCATAGACCAGACAGAAAATTTAACAACAGAAACACACACTTCATCTTCATCCAATAATATCAGAAAACAAACTGGTGGACTTGTCACAACATGGTACAATTATGAATTTATATTATAACAGAATATACCCTGCTACATTTTATGTTAATCAATGATTTATCATGTTTACAGAGGTCTCATTCTGATCTCCCCATCAACAAACCATGTTGCAAACCATGTGAGCAACAAGCTTATGCCCCCTGGTTTAGCATTATGTCTGAGCTAGTGATCACCGTTTGTTTCATTCCAATCAAACCACAATGCAAAACCAAGATTTACTCTTGGCTTTCTGATTACAATTTGAGTGAAATGCTAAGCCAGAAATTGTGGTTTGTTGTTCCTTATAGGGAAGGGGTAAAGCCAGAGCCATCTCTGCATTCATGATAAACCAGCAACTATGGTGTACAGTGGTACCTCAAGTTACAAACACCTCAGGTTACAAACACTTTGGGTTACAGATTCCGCTAACCCGGAAGTTGTACCTTGGGTTAAGAACTATACCTCAGGATGAGAACAGAAATCGTATGCCATTAGCTAAAGTGGTACCTCAGGTTAAGAACGGTTTCAGGTTAAGAACAGACCTCCAGAACGAATTAAGTTCGTAACCAGAGGTACCACTGTACTACAGGGACAGGAAACCTGTGATCCTCCAGAGCCTGGACTCCAAGCTCCCTTAAAAAGCATGGCCAACGGTTGAAGAGAAGAACTGTGATCCAGTAGGATCTGGAGTGTCACCCATGGCTTGTTGTGTTGTGAGAATGGGGCAATATGTTATGTGTTGCCATGAGAACAAATTGCTTTATTGTAGCAAGAACTTTGAGAAGTGCAGGACAGACACATTTTAAATACATAAAAAGAACTAAAAATAGAGCTTGTTGGTCACAGGAATGATTTAAGTTCGTAATTTGTGAAGTTAAGCGTACTGGGGCCTGGCAGAAGACGTTCACCTTATGCTATGCGGTCCTTTGAGCACAGCAGGATAAATATCTTTAGGAACAAAGATAAAAATTTATTTCAGTTTTTAACAGTAACAAACCATTTAGCACAACCCCCAGACTGTTCTGTTAAAAAATGTTAAACCAAAGTGACCCTACCTAGTAGAGATGGGGGGAAGGCAATCAATAACAACACATTACACTGTAGCATGAAGTTGATGAGGCAAGAAGCAGTGTCTTGGACAAATGTTCAGATCACAGACAATGATGCTACACTAGACTAATACTACTAGCACAACTTTTCATACAGTAAGAATATAATTGATGTTGTAAACAAATAAAAACTAGTCTCAGTCTAACTTAGCTTTTAAACCACAAATTAAGCACCTGTTTTAGCTAAGCTTGTGAAGCTGCACAGATTCAGTTGTATTCATCAAACTCAAATGCTCTGCAAGCCTATTTCAGAGCTGGTTTCTTGTGGAAAATGAGCTGCAAAGTTCAGGGAAGAACATTTTGTTTTCATTGTTGCTGGGGGAAGAGGAAGAAAGCACAGAGACACTGGAAAATGCCTGGTCTGTACAACACTATTCAGTACATCCTATTGCCTTTAAGCCTTCCCCCAATTTGTGCACTACAGCATATAATCCTGGATTCAGCTTGCATTAAATTATTTCAAATTACGGTTTAGTGGGGCTATGATTTCTTGACGCAACAATCCTGAGTAGCTGTACACCCACCCGTATTTCTCTTTCCATGGGCTCAGGTGTTAACCCACTACTTTGAAATCGTAATTCCTAGCCAAACTTAATAGGAGCGCTACTTTTGTAAACGGAAAGCCAAGGCGCCTAAGCTTGGGAAACGCCATCACCTCTTTTGCTAGTTAACGGACAAAACAACAGGCTGATAGTTGCCTAGAAGTCGCAGACTCTGAAAAGAGCTGATTATCACAAACTTAAGAGCCTCACTCGATCAAAACGTGGCTCTCCCCCTCCGCCCCCCCCCAAAATGCACGCAGGGGCTCGGCCATTTAAACCTCACATCTGCCAGGAGATTAAAGACCAGCTTCACACCTGCGACCGTTCAGACGCGCGCGAGAAACCCGGCGCGGCCCAAGACCCCTTTTTCCCGTAACCCGAAGAAGGGGACCCGGCCCATGCCGCATTTTTAACCACGTGGAGGGAGCGCGTGCCGACCTGGGCAAGGTTAGCCAGCAGGCGAAAGCCATTACGGTACGTACCGGGGGTCAGGGAGAAAATACGGCGGCGCTTCACTTGGGGAAGGGGGTCGGCACGAAACGCGAGTCCGGCGGAGAGGAGACCAAGGGCGCCAAGCGAAGGGGGCCGGCGTCCGCCGCTGCGAAGGTGCCACCCGGGGCTGAGGCGAAGGTCCCCTTCCCCTCTGCCTTCAAGGGGAACTCGAGGGCGGGATCGGCACTTATAGGAGGGAGGCGGCGGCGGCACACGTGAGAGGAGGCATCGGGGAAGAGATGGAGGCCGGGGACCGGGGAAGAGCGCACCCACGTCCCCGGGGCCACTGGCTCCCCTTCCGTCGAGCCGCCCCGCGCGCCATGGCGCTTCTCTCCCTCCGATTCCCCCCTCCCTCCCGGCCCAGACAACGCTGCCGCCGCCGCCGCCATTTTGTTCGCTCGACACAATGGAGCGCGCGCGCGCGCAAAGACAGAGACACAAGCGGGAGAGGATCCTCTTCGGAACGCAGGGGAACGTTATCCCCCCCCCCTACCCCCCGCCGCACGTTCCCTCAGAAACGAGCCAAGCTCCCGCTGCCGCCTCAAGAGAACCCCGTGTTGTGGGAGGCGGGCCTGAGGCTCGGGCTTCTCCCTCATTCCCTCCCCTCGAAGCCCCTTCACTCACCGAGCGGGCTGGGCCCGTCGACAGCGGCGGCCTCTACTAACGGCCGCCCCGCTCCCCTCTCCGCCACAGAAAGCGGGCGGTTGCCGGTATCGGGCTCGCGGCTTTCCCGCGCAGAAGGCGGTGGCGGCGGCTACGGCGACGACGTTGACGGCGGCTTCTCCTCCTCCTCCTCCTCCTCCGTCAGCCTCTAACTGCAGCGCGGTAGCGGCGGCGCGCGGGAGGGGGGAGGGGAGGGGCGGGGCTGCGCGGAGGAGAAAGGCAGGTCGCCGGACCACGTGGTTTGCGCCCCTCTCCTCCAATCGCGGCCGGGCGAGGAGGCGCGCGCCTTGCCTGCGGGGTGGAGGAGCGCGGCGTTCTAGTCCTTCCGCCCCGCCTCCTTCCCCGCCGCCATCTTGTCTCCTCACACGCGAGCCGTGCGGAGATGAGCGGGGCGCTCGACCCCGCGCGTCCCCACATGCGAAACGGGACGGTTGCTTCCAAGTATTCGAGGAAAAAGGGGGTTGTGGAGGCGGATGGAGGGCGCAACTACCTTTCCATATACACTATATCTTTTTTTATTTATTGAACTGGTCGGTCTCTATATCTTGCACAGGCAGGGCGACCCAAAGCGTCGTAACAGACACCGGCCAGCCCACCTCCTTCCACGGAGCGAAGTGTGCGCAATAAAGCTGCGATCCTAAACACCCATAGCTTCGGCGTCAGGAAGCTGCTCATCAGACCATTGTGGAGGTCCATCTACCTCAGTATTGTCTGCACTGGCAGCAGCTTCCCAGGATTTCTGGCAGGAGCCGCTCCCAACTCTGATCTGGGGGTGTCAGGGATCGAACCCGGGATCTTCCACTTGCAAGGCGGACGCTTTGCCACTGAGCTATGGTTGCTCGGAGTTCTTCAGTTCCTACGGTGCCCATCAAATAATAAAATACTCCCGTTTAGGCACGCCCTTAATCCTTTTGTAGTCGGACGCCTTGTTAATAATCCGCCTGTAGCATTTATAAATTGCACCCGTTAGACGAAGCAGCCGAGCCGATAGCAAACTTCCGCTCAAGCGGACCTGCCTGCTTTACTTGGAAGCAAGTCCTATTGAGATGAGTGGGATTTGCAGTGCGATTCTAACCATATCTACACCCAAGCAAGTCATGTTGAATTTAGTGGCATTTGCTACCAGGTACTGTAAATGGGGATGGGATTGATGCCTTTGTCTTGTTATGTCTTGTTTAGCCGCTGGTGGCGCTCTCAGGTGTGATACAACAAGGGAAACACTTAAGGTGGTCGCCACATGGCTGTAGCCACATTGCAACTTAAAAGGGATCTAGGGGAATGTCCAGACCGAACTAGTGATACTAGGTATTGTTTTACTGCTTGTATTTTCACATACAATACTGATTTTTGGCGGGATGTAAATTAAAAATGGAAGTAAGCGTGGAAAGGATAGTATAAACAAGCTGCACACTACAGTTCTTATAAAATCCAGTAAAAATCTGGGAAACAAGCCCCACTGAGTAAGACTTATTTCTGTGTAAATAAATATGCTTAAGATTGGGCTGAAGAATGAAATATTAGAATAAGAATTGTGGGGTTGGAAGGGACCTCTAGGGTCATCTAGTCCAACCCCCTGCAATGCAGGAATCGCAGCTAATGCATGACATGATCAACCTCTCCTTCAAAACCAAGAAAGGACAGTCCACAACCTCCCAAGGGAGTCCATTCCACTGTCGAACAGCTGTCACTGTCAGAAGGTACTTCCTGATGTTGTCATAATCTCCTTCCTTGTAAATTGAATCCATTGGATTGAGTCCTACCCTCTGCATCAGAGAAAACAAGCCTACTCCATCTTCCATGTGACAGTCCTTTCAATATTTGAATATGACTTATCATATATTCTCTCCGTCTCTTTTCCAGGCTAAAAATAACCACTCCCTCAATCATTCCTCATCAGTCTTGGTTTCCATTCCCTTGATCATCTTGTTTGCCCTACTCGGCACATGTTCCAGCTTGGCAATATCCTCCTTAAATTGTGGCACCCAGAACAACAGTATTCCAGGTGGGATTTGACCAAGGCAGAATAGAGTGGTACTATTGCATCCCTTGATCTGGATACTATACTGGTTGATAGCATTAGCTTCTTTTTACTGCTGCATCCCCTGTTGACTCATTAGCTACCCCCCCCCCAAAGTTTGGCATCATCTGCAAATTTGGTGAGCATCCCTTCAATTCCTTCATTCAAGTCGTTTATAAAGACATTGGACGACAATGGGCCCAAGGCAGAACCCTGAGGCACCCCACTTTGCCACTTTTTTCCAGGATGATAAGGAACCATTAATGAGCACTCTTTGGGTTTGGTCAGTCAACCAGCTACAAATCCACCCAACAGTTACCTAATCCAGCCCATGTGTTACTAGCTGCTCTGCAAAAATATGTGGAACTTTGTCAAAAGCCTTACTGAAATCAAGATACACTATGCCCACAGCATTCCCCTGATCCACCAAGCTTATTACTTTATACAGTGGTACCTCGGGTTAAGTACTTAATTCATTCCAGAGGTCCGTTCTTAACCTGAAACTGTTCTTAGCCTGAAGCACCACTTTAGCTAATGGGCCTCCTGCTGCTGCCACGCTGCAGGAGCACGATTTCTGTTCTCATCCTGAAGCAAAGTTCTTAACCCGAGGTACTGGGTTTCTGGATTAGCGGAGTCTTTAACCTGAAGCGTATGTAACCTGAGGTACCACTGTATATATAAAAAAGGAATGAGATTCATCTGGCATGACTTGTTTTTTTTAGAAACCCATGCTGGGTCTTAGTAATCACATCATCCTTTTTCTAACTGTTCACAGACTGACTGTTTCATTAGTTAATAGGAACTCCCATAGACCTCAGTCTGCCTTACCCTTTGAGTCGTTCAGCCTTTGAGTATTATGTTCCAAGCAATGTTACTAGGTTGTTCCAAGTTTCTGCACATCTGGCTTTGCAGAATGACTGCTCTGAAAATTGGATTTAAGGAGCCAGTCCTTCCCAACTACAGATCACTGATGCCAGCTTACATGGGAGCAAAGACCAGAATTATTTGTATGGTCCACATCTCTGCAGCTTTCTGTGGTGGGGTGAATATCCCACAATAATATGGGGATCCATTATTATTTTACAGTTATCATGTCATTCCTCCCAAAGGATACAAAAGCAGCCATATAACATCATACTCAAAACATCATTAAAACAATTACAAAAAAATGGAATTATTTAAATTTTTTGTATTGATTCCTCACCCAAGCAAGCAGAAATGTTGGGATTTTATTTAATTTAATCTGGTTGTGTTGACCTGTTAATTGTCTTAAGAGGGATTTATTGAGGCTCATATTTTAAAAAACAAATCTAGTGAAGAAAATATAGAAGTTAAGCTTATATTTCCAATTTTGTTCTGGTTTCACAAATCATTTTTGAGGGAGAATAATACAGTGCAAAATAAGAGCTCCCGTTTAATACACTGACCCAGTGTTTCAAATGCAATATGCACTTACATCAATTGCATTTTGGTCACTACTTGGGAATGCCAAGTACTGCAGTGCTGATTCCTTTCCAACCAACATTCCCTCTCACAGATTGTAGCACTTAAAAGATTAATCTTTTGTTATCAGATTTTTGCTCAAACAGATCTGGAAAGAAATAATAAATTGGGGAAAAGGGATACCCACAGAAGATTGAAAAGGCACCCTAACACTTTATTAGAGTTTTTACTTTTTTCCTCTTGAGAGGTTTCTAAATTACTTTTTATTTGCACCTTTCATTTCTTCTCTCTGAAAATTCCTCTCCAGTCTCTGGTGCTTCTTTTGTAACCATGCTCATCACCTCCAATTTGTAACCATGTTCATCACCTCCAAAATTATAGAGACCAAATACCCGGCCTGGTCTGTATTGACCATGAGGCAATGGGAGGCAGAGGCAGGCTCGACTAGGTGCCTAATTCCAAGTTAGGCATATATTAGAACCCTGGCAGGGCGCTTGAGAGCAGAGAAACAGCAAAGGGTACAGGGCTCTTTTCTCACTTGTATACAAATTCCAAAGCCCCTTTAACTGCGGTTTCATATTTCAAGGTTTTGTTCTTGGCTGCAGCTCAGGGTTAGAGATGAAAGAGCTTTCGGAGAACTGCTCTCTAAACCCTGCACAGTCGCATGATCCTGGTAAGTCATAGTTTTGATTGCCTTGTGTGAAGAGTGGCAGCACTAGAACAAAATGTCAGAGGGGAACATAGATGGGGAAACATGTATTTCTAGGTGGGTGAGTTGTGTTCCACATGTTAAGCTTTCCGAAAGAAAAATAACTATATGTTAATGTAGGAATCCAGTCGTGGTGGCAAGCTCCTTGTTTGTGATCCAGGCCACACAATGGCCTTGTTAATTTATGGACTAAGAGGCTAACTTTAACCACTGGTGCACATGCACCCCAGGAAGGTCACTTTGGTGCCATTTGATTTCACACCCGGAGACGCACTCCATTGTCTCTCGAGATAGGTGGAGGCCAACAAGTATGAGACCATCGAGTGGACTATCACTTCACCCTGTGGATGGTGCTGCCTTAATTCTTCTCACACACAAAGTATCGCCTGCAAATAAAAGCCTGTTACATCAGAGGAGGATTCTAGCTCGCCCACTTACAGCTCTGGCAGGAATTATCAGCAAAACAATAATAGCAGTTAGCAGCTTTATTATTAGTACATAGGGGGATATTCAGAAACATGATCCCTGCCCCCAATCTGCAGATTAATGAAGTCCAAAGCCATCCTACCACCTTATTCCTGTTTTGTACTGTTGCATGCATAGGCAGTCTTGGTTAGGTTTATTGAGTTGTGCCAGCGGAGGTGCGGGAACTGTTGTTAGGATCCCCAGCTCAATTAACCCTAACAAGACAAGCATATTAGCCTTGATCCCAGATAGTTCCTTTCTTAAGCAGTCCAAGCTCTGAATCCGCCCCCGCCCCCCGTTAGTTTGGGCATTAAGGAGACAATGGTCTCGGAGGTAGCCATACAAATCTGCAAATCTTTCTCGCTCTGCCCTATCAGTTCCTTTGGCTGTGGACTGAGCCTGTTGATTACAGGTAGAGCCTGTGTTGAACTGCATGTTGTTATGATCCACGTGTGTAATAAAATAATTTTCACATACTAGTGCTGGGTCAGGAGACCAGTTACCCAGCTGTTCATGGTCAGAGGAGTTTTGACAAGCATAGGCGATATTAGTTTCTCCCAGGTGTTTTCCAATACCTTTCCCCCTCTGGGATTTGGACATTTGTGTTGCCTCCCATTCTATCCGCTGCTATGTCTAGATTCTCTCTTTTCTGATGGAGGCATGCTGTAGTCTTTTTAGAACATTCTGCCTTTTCCTACTTCTACTGCCTTCTGGGACTTTTGGTCTATATTGGGTCCCTTTGAAGTTCCTTTAAGGGGAAATGTTGCAGCAACACGAGTCTCCTATTCAATCAGAGAAGCATCATTCCAACTCCTGGATGCGTGTGCAAGCCTTATAGAGGCATGGGATCACTAGCAGAGCCAAACTGTGCTCTGGGACACATGACTTCTGTGCAGAGGAAACAGTCTGGGAAACAGTTGCGTTGAATCAAAGGTGACCTGTTCCAGAAGCTTCGCTAACACCATCTTAGTAATCAAGATAACCCCACAATTAATTGGTAGTTCTTGCAGCAATGAGCTCATATATATTCACTTGCTTTGATATAAGCTAATTAGCAGGCTCTAATGTTATCCTTAGGGATGTGGGTGGCGCTGTGGGTTAAGCCACAGAGCCTAGGATTTGCCGATCAGAAGGTCGGCGGTTCGAATCCCCGCAACGGGGTGAACTCCCATTGTTCGGTCCCTGCTCCTGCCAACCTAGCAGTTTGAAAGCACGTCAAAGTGCAAGTAGATAAATAGGTACTGCTCTGGCGGGAAGGTAAACGGCGTTTCTCTGGTTCGCCAGAAGCGGCTTAGTCATGCTGGCCCCATGACCTGGAAGCTATATACCGGCTCCCTCGGCCAGCAAAGCGAGATGAGCATCGCAACCCCAGAGTCGGTAATGACTGGACCTAATGGTCAGGGGTCCCTTTACCTTTAATGTTATCCTTATCTGTCAGCTTGGGGTGCTGTGCTCTGAGCCCAGAAAGGTTAACTATCTGTAAGATTTGGGTGTTTGCCACCTATGCTCTCATCTGGTTAGGTAAAGCGATGGGAAGTTGTGGCCAAAGTGACGTATGCTGCTTTGTGTATAAAGAATGTATGCATGCACTGGTGGAGGAAGAGGAGTGTGAGGGGAGCACACTGTCCCCGGCAACGCAATCCCGGTGGGGTACCTGCGCTGGGCGTCCCACCCCCAGGACGAGTTCCAGCGCCAGCTCCGCCCCCGCCTGCTCTCCGCCTTCCCGGTGCCAGAGCATGAAGCTCCACCACTGTATGCATGTTTGCTTGGGTGCGGACAAGCCATCTTGCTGCGGTATCCATCCTAAGTCTGTAAAGGCTGGGAGACCTAGCAGGCTGATCTGCTTTAAGTCTACACTTTACTTGAATAAAGCATTAGAACTGATCCCTCTGGCATTTTTGACACCCTTCTTTGGTATCCCTTCACCCAACAACTCACATGAGCCCTCCTTTGGGGCAGTGGATCACCCTTTTTCTGTTTCTTTTTTGCAGACACTGGCTGCAAGGGGTGATTTCTTCCATGTGCATCTGATACCTGCTAAATGTAGGCTTCTATTCTCATTTTCCTGTCAGCTGATGGGGAAGCATTTTGCCAGGACTTGAGCTTGGGGCTTCCCAGGCACTTGGGAACCCCACATAAGGGATTTTGACAGGTGGGGTGAGACAACCCCCTTCTCAACTGTGATGTCCTATTGAAAACATATGCTCAACAGGTAGGTTGTTCCCAATGCCTGAGATCACAGAATTAACCGTTTTGGGTGGTATCTTCTTTGAAATGAATGTCTCCTTAAGATATGCCAAGATACATTTAATTACATCTGGGATTATCTCCAGTTAAAGTGTTGATTTCCAACCTGATTATGGATCATGGAATCTGCTTACTCAGGTTCCTAAAAGAAAGAGGGCTGTGCCAAACACATAATTCCCCGTTTCTATTAAACTGTTTTTTGAACTAGAGTTCAGGTAAATAAATAATATAATAGGTTTTCCTTTAATATATATTTGAAGTCCCCCAGCAATTTAAATGTAGAACATCTTCCATGCAGTGGATGAATTTTGGGGTGGGGGAGAAAGACACCACTAATTACTTTGATTTCTAAAAATACAAATTGCGTTAGACTTCATAAGTTTTGTTGGAATTACAGATTGAGTAAAAAAGAAAACCACACTAAACAGATGTACAAAACAAAATGTTTAATGTTTCAGTTATAAAATAATTTTTGAAAGATACAGGGATGTATAGGAGAGTAGAAAAGGACTATAAAAAGCAAACACAAAATTAACTGCCCAGATTTAAAAATTGATTGATGGTATTATCATTACCTTTGTGGAAAGTTACCAATTCCTGTAGCCACAATTTGGAACTCTTTCCAACTAATCCTCCTACATCCTTGCATTTTAGTGATACATTTTTTGCATATATTTAGGTTCTGCCTCATATTTAGTTATTCCAAAGTTCATACTTACTTTGTTTACTTCCCCCCGCCCAACAAACACACAGCTTTTTTCTTGCAAATAATATTTTGAAGACCTTTCCCTATTTAGCAAGTCAAAGCTGCTACAACCATTTTGCCCCATCCTCATTCAAGAAACAACAGCGCTATTACCCAAGCTTTCTTTCACCGGCAACCCCAACAACAGTTGCCTATAAGATTTTCTTCACAGCATTTGTATGAAAGGCTGCTAGTCATTTGGAAGAGGTTATAAATTATCCACCAAGACAACGTGCCATGCTGAAAGGCAGCTTGCTCCTTTAAAGGTGTCTATCCCAAGTGGCAAAGGGTATATATAATGAAGTAAACGCCACGGCAAGGAGAAAAGACACTTAGTAAATACAAACGGTTAAAAAATGTGTTATTGGAATGATCCAACTTCTCAAAGATTATTTGTTTTAAGATTAAGCCAGAACACTTGGATTGAGGCCAGTTTGGAGTCTACTGAAACAAGTTAATGGAATGAAATCAGCTCAGCTGGCTAGCGGGTTACAGCCTCCCTGGACTGCTGGCAACTGAAATCTACCGTTTCTGCAAACTGCTTCTGCACTGGCAAGCAAGAAACCCAGCCACTCCAGGCTGATCGTGAGCAGGGAGGCTTTGACGTAGTAGCAGATACCTCTACACTCAAGACTTCAGATGGAGCTATTGTGACAGAAGTTCCTCGTTTTTCAAGGGGGGTGGGCCAAGAGTGTTTCCAAATCTACTGTTGTTCTGGCACAGCAAGTGGAAGCAGGACCCCACAGACTGCTGCTCTTCAAAGAAAAGGCTCGACAAATCTCAGACTGGTTAATTCCAGTGCGTCTGCTGCATGCTACCAACGGAAGCAACAGGAATGAACGGGAGGGTCAGCTATGCATCTGCTTGCTGTTTGTTGGTCTTCTTCAAGAGCTTTCTCAGATTAGATGACATGAAGTAAGGCTTTTCGGTAGAGCCATCATTACGTTCCAGATCTTCCACTGCAAAGAGAGACAAATTCCCCCAGCAAAAGGGATGTGAAAAAGTCTGTCTCCCAAGTACCAAATGGCAGGTATCTGGGATCAAGTAAGGCCATTACAAAGGGAAAGTGTTAGCAATCTGAACCTGTGAAAACACAGGGAAACCTGACACCACTAACTGGAGGCTGGGACTCCCCCCAAGCAAGCTAGTGTTCCCTACTCTAGATGCATGTCCCAAACTGAGAAGGATTTCGAACTGACAAGTCAATCCTTCCACTTTTCCTCAAGGAAGATTGAACAATTCCTCATAGTGGAGGATATGGTCAGGATGGGTTTCCTCAACCATGTCTCAGTGCGAGGAGATGGATCACCCCATTCTCAAGGCTCTGGCAGTGTCCTAATGATTCCACAGATGTCAAGATCGAGATGAAATCTCATATTTGAGGCAACATTTGCATTAAGAAAATTAAGTGGGAAGCTCACAACTTCCCTCCTCTCTGCATGTAAATTGAGTGCTTAGAACGAAGCTGTCAGTTGAACCTTGCAATGCACAACAAGCAGGTACGTATGAACTCTGAACTGCACAGCTTCTTTTGAGGATAGAATTTAATTCAACAGCCTTTTAAATTTAGCAGGATTCCAGGCAAGCAGAATCGGAGAAGATGAGGAGTTCAATTTGCATATTTAAAATGCAGAGTCAAGTTTTTACACCTGCTTTCTTTTTCCAAGGGGTGGCAATGAAGAGGATCTTTTTTCCTCCATGGGGAAGCAGGAAGAGAAGCTGAAGAATACTGCCTCTGGCCATGGCAGCAACAGTGGTGGTGATAAGTTATATGAAGTTTTGCTCTGCTTGTCTTTTTATTTGGAAATTCTTTATCTTTTTTATTAGCATCAAACTGATCAATTAAGCTTTGTAAAGAGCACCATTCCCCTACTCACATCCTGACAAATACTATGCCTCTTTTGTGATATAAGATCCAATGTATGTGAATAGCATACTGGCCCATTTGCCAGACGCATATCAAACAAATGAAACGGATTTGTAAAAATGTTACATGAAAAAAAAAAAATACGAGGCACTACACTTCTGTAAAACAAGAAAATCCTTAATAAAATATTTTAAAAAAAACAAAAACCTGCATCTGGCCTTCTCTTCACAAAGTTCTGTCTTTGCAGCCTTTTGTCAACTTCCCTGCATATATATATTTTTAAAAACTGGTGCAGCACAAGAAAGAGGCATATTCCTGATACAGGTATGAGTGATCTGCTCAAAACCAAAATTGACTGCTCCAAAAAAAAGTCCACCAGAAACAGTGACGTCTTCAAAAACTTCAAAAAGTGCTCTGCCTGCTCAGGTCATCAACAGGCAGCAGTAGGACCATAGTTTTTTGGATTTCATACCAGTATTGCCTCTGGAAAATGATTTTCACCTTTTATTTTGCTTCCAGAACCTGTTTAGCCAGAGACAACCCTGGGGCAGAAGAAATGTGTACACATCATGGGAAGGAAAACCTTTCTCTCATTTAGCTTCTTTAGAAAACAACTGCCTGCCACTAGCCACAGGAGTTTCCAGGCTGGCCATTGTCTCATGAAACACTACAGAATTTATAATGCTTTTGGTCTCCAATTTCATCTTTAAAAAAACAAGTTTCCATCTCATTGTGATGAAGATCACTAGTGAGTCTTTGTCAACATTCATTTAATTTCATTTTGAATTGATCCTATGCTATCTTTTGCATGTTTACAGAATATCTGTGCCAAAAGCAACTCTCAAGGATAACCAAGAAGCCAGGGACAAAAAAATCAAAAAAACTTATCATAATTATATTTAATCAAAGGTAATTCCAGACCATAAACTTGAAGTGGATAATGTTCCACATGACACCAGGAGAGCTAACATAAAGGAAGTATCTCTTTAATAAGGCACTGAGTTTTCCGAGATGGAATCTGGAAGTTTGATGCCGTGTGGAACAAGATGCAGAATGTATTAAGTGTTTTCAGGAAAACCTCCCAATACAGCGTTCTGTCTGCCCCACTTTCCTTTCTGACTGCCTAGCCTCTGCCAAACCCACATAATTCCTTTTCATCCTTTCCTAAGCAAATTCACAGTTGTTTGCTAACTCACCTTCCCTCCCCATCCCCACCAAAAACAAAAACAAAAAACAATACCCTTTAGTTTTACAATGATTGGAGCCAGATTTGTTTTTCTGGCACAAGGAATAAATATCCTGACATATACTATGTTCAGCTAATAAAACTTTTGTAAAGCAGACAAAAATAAACTCCAGCTTTATACAATACTGAAAAACCAGGGGGGTTGTATTTTGAGGAAGAAAATCTAATACTTTATGTGCCATAGGAAGGAGATATCAGTCACAGATTTTTCAAGATCATTATTAGCTTAATTAAGGACTTTGCAAAGATGTACATTGGGAATTTCAAGGCTACACTGGGAATTTCAACACTACACTTTGACTATAGTTCAGTATGGTATGCTAAAACTTGTGTATTTCAATGGGCTTAAGCATACATAGCTGTGTGGGATTGGGACCATAGCCTAGGAAGAGAGCCATTAGGGAAATTACCGTATTTTTTGCTCTATAAGACTCACTTTTTTCCCTCCAAAAAAGCAAGGAGAAATGTGTGTGCGTCTTATGGAGCGAATGCAGGCTGCGCAGCTATCCCAGAAGCCAGAACAGCAAGAGAGATTCCTGCTTTCACTGCGCAGCGATCCCTCTTGCTGTTCTGGCTTCTGAGATTCAGAATATTTTTTTTCTTGTTTTCCTCCTCCAAAAACTAGGTGCGTCTTGTGGTCTGGTGCGTCTTATAGAGCGAAAAATACGGTAGTAGCCATTGCTTTCCGCATCAAGACAAGCTGTAGAGAAGTTACATACAAGCAAATGTTGTATATTGATAAAGATTACTCTGCAAGCTACTGTAATCTCAATGGCATGCTAGAGTGTCAGAACAGTTCAGTAAAAGGGATCATCCAGCAGGATAGCAAGCTTGCAGGTTGTACAGAATACTGCTTTTCAACAAAATAAGTAAAGGAACTGAAAATGAAGGAAACTCAAAGCTTCTGGGAGAAATGGCCAAGAGCCCCACAAAGTTGCAGCAGGAACTTCAAAACAAAGAAACAACTCTTTGCTGCTATGCTAGAATCCCTTTCCTCCTCCACTTACTTCTGCCTGGAAGCAAGTCCTAAGCAATTTGAAGCCTCCCGTCTAAGTAGACTCAACTCAAAACCAGCCCAACCAGCCAAAGATATCCCTAGCACCTCAATAATTTTGGTTATTTTGCCCCTTTGGACAAAAGCATCTGCTCTCGAAATTCACTGATAACCAAATAAATGGCTCTGTTCTACATCTGCCTAGTCAAGGAAAGGGCAAGTCCAAGAAATGATCCAATACTTAATGTAAATATCTGCAGCACCCACTCTGTACTGTATGCATTCTGCTTATTTATGCAACCGGTTAAATAGCCAGACTTGCTATAGCGATGGCATTTTGGGGAGAGCAGAAAACAGCACCACATGGTGCAAACAAGGGAGATGCGGCGAGTTTTCCTGACATTAAACGCATTTGGCCTTGAACTTCCGCTTCCGCTCCTCTGGCGCCAGAATGTTTGCCTCCCACTTGCCAGAGGAAGCACTGTTTCCCAGAACAGCAAAACTAGGAGGTTTGCACCAGTTCTCAGGGCAGCCATGAAGGAACAACACCTGCACACGGACCAGGCAGGTGTGCACAAGGCTCACAGTGGGGAACCTGCGTGTGCCTCTCCCACTCCGTGCACCAGTCCCTATTCCTGGCTCTCAGCACTTTTGGAAGATTCTAGGCTTCCCTTCAGCAGGATTTCACTCAGTGCGGGGGACATGTAATAAGGCCGCTCAGGAGATCCATCATTCCTTTCCAGGTCTTCACCTTTTGGGATCCCACGGAAGACAGAGAAAGCAGCCGCAGAAGGATGGACAAGAGAGAAGCAAAGCAAAACATATAAAGACAAAAGCAAAGGAATACAAAACAAAAAGGGGAGAGAGAGAGAGAGAGAGAAAGAGAAGATTTGGAGTTAGTTGCAAATAGATTCCTCCACCCAGAAAGAGAGTAAGGCAGCTTAGGCAGTCAACTGCTTTTATGCTATGGAAAATGCTTGCTACTATAGCGAAAGCGGAGGAGTTGCTAACTGAGCTGATGGCGGAGACATGAAGGAAAAATCAGAAGTTTATAGTTTCACAATCGCAAGAGGAGTCAGCTCGTATGACCCTGCTACCATGTGGCTAAAATGAGTCATTTCCAGAACCAGAGAGCTGGTATGGTGTAGTGCTGTCCCAAGATCTAGGAAACCAGGGTTCAAATCCTCACGCAGCCATGAAGCTCACTGCATGACCTTGGACCTGTCAATTATTCCCACACTGCATCCCCTCCCAAACCAGCTAGATGCCTATGGGAAAGCCACAAACCAAGCCTAAACTCAACAGCTGTCCCAAGTTCTCTCTTTCCTGCATCAGGTAGACAAGAGGTATCCTAGCTGTGAATCTGGGGAGGTTCTGCATCACTGTTCTGACAAATAGTGAATGGCAGACTTCTCCTGATGCTTTTTAAAGTCTGCTGAATCGATGGCCATGACCATATCTTAGAACAGTGAGTTCCGTAAGCCAACTGTGTGAGAAAAGTCCTTCCTTTGATCAATCCTAAACTCTAGTTCTCTCCCCCCCCCTTTTTGTGTGTGTGTGTGTGTGTGTGTGTGTGTGTGTGTGTGTGCCTCACAGTGTGGGAGGCGGAGGCAAATAAAGACTTGAGATAGGAAGGCACATTCTGCCTGTCCTTGACTGCTACCTAACAGGGAAGACTTGGATGGTTACAGGGGAGCCTCTCAGCTAAATAAAACTGCAACAATTCAGCCAAGTAGGCAGTCTTTTCTGCCTCTGCTGAAGATCTCTTTCACATGCACCTACAATCTGAGAAGCACTGAGGTGGTAAATGCAGTACCTAATGGGGGAAACTCACAGCCAGATAGAGGGTTTCTAATTCAGAGAAAGAAAAGGAATCGGGAAAGAGGCTGGAGACAACAAGAGCGGAATATGACCAAGGGAATGGGAAGGAAATTCTCCCTTGGGAACGGAATCGATTGGCTGCCTCAAACACATTTTAAGTCAATATGCAATTCTGCTGCAATGCAAATGCAACAAAAAGACAGACACATATAGGGGCACTCTAGGATTTAAATGATCAAGAAGGGCAACTACTTAAATCAAAATAAATGTGCAAGTGTGCAAGTTACCTAAACCTCAGAGGTGCCCTTTTCAGATATGTGAGGAAGGAAGCATAGCGTAGCATGGCATTGGGAGCAAACCCCAATACAGTAAGTGGGCATCTTTCTGAATAAGCATGAATAGGAGCGGGCTGTACATTTTAAATTACCACTCTTCATTTTTTAGCACTTCCCATGACAAGAAGATACTAAAATGCAAAGTAGGCTAAAAATCAAAACTCTCAGCCTTCCCGGTTAGAAACTGCCCTCTTCAGTTAATCAGCTTCAGCTGATTAAATCTACCAATTAAACTTCGTAATCCAATTGATTAGCAAACGAGTGCTGGAAAATGCAGAGGCAAAATAAGGGCAGAAGGGCTGAGGGTTCTTTTGTAGCCTACAGCTTCTATGACTGGTATTCAAAAGTCAGTTTATCCGAATGTGTCCCCCAGAAGAGAAGTCAGTGACAGATGACATGACATAGATCACAATGAATCTGTTAGCCTTCAATGCACAACAGCAGTTTGTGCTGTAACAGACTGACATGGCTGTTATCTGGAATGGAATATCACTAGAGCCCAACCTTTTGGCAAAAGCAAGGCCCATGCAGGACCATTTTTTCTGGCCTGCATCATGCCTTCTGAGGGTCCTCTTGCACTATGGCCCAAGGAATCAGGAATTTGTGGTTCTTTTGTGGGTAGGGGAGGCATAGGAGAAACTGCCTGCAGGACATTTTCAGCAGCTGCTGGTTTAATACCACAGTGACTGGAGCATTTCCATTACAGTTTATAGTGCTTGGGCAAACGTGCTTGTTTCACTAGAATGGCACCAGAGCTGGATACTTACAGAAACACAGGAAGAGTGTGTCCACACACATGGCATACACACTGAAGAATCCGTGTGCAATTAGATAGGAGCCTACAACCACCGTCTGCAAGAAAAAGCAGAGAATCGTCTCTGTTACGAGCTGCATCTCAGCTAGCCAGCGGCTGCAAACTAGAAATGGCGTTGAAGCTGCAACTTTTGCAAGAAGTCAAGAGTTGAAACCTGGGTTCATAAAAGTCAAGATGATTACCTTGGAGCAGTCAGTTACTTTCTGCCAAAACTCACAAGGTTGTTGTGAGAATAAAATAGGTGGCGGGGAGAACCACATTCACCGCCTTGAACTCGTTGCAGGTGAAATAAATGTAAGACAGAGAGTCCAATATAGATATTACTGCAAATTAATAGTGGTTTTCTCCTTCCTTCCCCTGCGTCCTCAACAAGCAACACAACTAACAAGGACTAACTCAAACGATCATAGCTGAAAGACAGAATATGCAAAAGAAACTTTAGCTTCCAAAATATGTAGTAGGGGCGTTAAGAACTGAAGAAGTCCTTAGCTTAGATACCAACCAGAATGGGGACCCAGTAGTAGTTAAGGGGTGGTGCTGTGTCTTGAATAACTTTTATCCTGTGGGTGAAAAAGAAGAAGGCAAGTATACCTAAAAGAGGAAAGAAAAACAAAATCATTTCATCTCAGAATTTTCTGTCTGATCTTCAAGTCAAACTTTTGAATCCATTCCTCCCCTCCTCCACCTCAGAAGCTATTCCCTCTGTGCCCCATGCATCTTTCGACAAGGTCTCTGCACAAATAAACATCCCCCTTCTCTGCAAAATTAGCTCTTGGACCCTGCGTTTTCTATCTGTGTGCAGTGGGAACAAGCTGAGCAAAAAGGAAGTAAGAAGCAAAACAATGCTGGGAATGAGGGGGCGGAGGGCCTCTGCAAATGGAAGGCATTTCATTCCCGAGGAGAAGCTGAATAAATCAGTTCAGAGGATGAAGGATATTTGAGAGGAGGCCTGAAATATCCCCAAGAACTTACCAACACTTCCCACAATCAGGAGTTTGCCAAGGAAAAGCAGGAAGTCTGTGACTTTATCCAGAACAGCAACCCTGAAAGCAGATAGGAGAAACAATAATTTTCTAAGCCTCCTCTCCGTTGTGGAATTATGTTAGCGAAATTTCTAGCAATGCCTAGAAGAGACTCCCGAGTAAAGTTTCTGTAGGCAGCTTTTCCCAACCTGGTGCCCTCTAGATGTTGTTGGACTACAACTCCCAGAACATCAGGCAGTCTTAACAGCATGTGGAGGGCACCAGGTTAGAGAAGGCCACTTTAGATTATAGGTAAATGAACCACCATGCATTTTCCCTTGTTGGACTGGGCACAACCTACAGATCATGGATTGCAGACCCCTGCAGTACACATGCCATTTTTGTGGCTCAGGATTTATATTGCTTCCCCATTCACACCTCTGATACTGGACTTCACCATGCCTCTCCTCCCTCCACATTTCTCCTTTGTGCAGGGAAATTCTCAAGTCTGCATTCTCTCAAACAGCTGGTTCAAACAGAGCACATGAATCGAGCTGGTTCGCATCAAAATCACCAAGTTTGCAAGAAAATGATCCATTCCCAATTTTGAATTTAGGACCGAAGCTTTCTTTACACAGGAAATATAGAGCCCTGACCACATCCCCAAACCTTGCCTACAAGCCAGTGCAATGTTAATAACAATAATTTTATTATTAATATGCCACCCAGCTGACTGGGTTGGCCCAGCCACACCGGGCAGCTTCCAGCAAAATATAAAAACACAATAAAATATTTAAAAATTCCTGCTTTCAGATGTCTTCTAAAAGTTGTATAGTTATTAATCTCCTTGACATGTGGTGGTGGTGGTGGGATTCCACAGGGCAGGTGCCACTACCAAGAAGGCCCTCTGAACCAGCCAACTGACATCTATTCCCTATTGCCCATATGCCCATTTGGGCAGTGGTTTTGGCACTTGGGATCCTTCCCAGTTCTAAAGATATGGGATATGACACCATGTCATTTTACATTGTGTGCCAGTTGGCAGAAGCTGCACACCCTCTCTTGTAGCTCTGAGAGGATTCTTCAGCATGGGGCCAGGGCAGGTGGGCAAGCTGTCTCTGAACAAAATGCTTAAAAGGAGTGGGAGGGAAATGAGAGGGAACCTTAAAGCTGGAAGAATTTCATCCCAAAGTAGCTTGCCCAAGGAGGATGCTCCCCGCCAGTCCAAAGAAGCTGGCTATCCCTGTTTAAAGCCCTGAAGCAGTAATAACCAGGCAACTCATTGGCAGGCCCTCACCTGACGATATTCCTCATGAGCAGGAAGAAGGCATTTCTTGCAGAAGTGCAGAAGTTAGTGCCATAAATGGCAATCTGTGGGGGAGGAAATCACCAAAGAGAATATGAACATTCCGTCAAGTTGTCCAGGGTACTTTAATCAGGAGCTTTTGACCTCATGCCCCAGACCAGATGGATGATTTGCATTGATCGTGACAATGTGACATTTGCTCAGTATCAGTGCTGCTCTGTATCCAGAATGCAAAGAGGACTTGCAGGCAGAGAGAGCATGTTGGGAGTTTCTGTGCTTTCCTTTATGGTGTCTCTCTGTGCTGGTTCTTGTCAACTGTGGCCAAAGGTGGGATGACACCAAATGCAAGAATATAGATTGAATACCTCAACAGTTAACAAAGGATGGTTTATTGGCTTGGCCTAAAATGTTTCAAGTCTGTGGAACAGCCAACACAGCTTCTTTTCTAAAAAAAAGTTAGTCATATCTTCCACGCCATATCTGAATATCTTTCAATAGAGCTCAAACCATAATGTCAGCAGATTCAAAACACCTTTGAGTCAATAGAACACCCTCTCTGCATCTTTGAGGTCTCCTCTTCATGTCCTTGTCATCAGAAGAACCCGCACAGGTTGAAAGAACAGGGATGTCTTGAGTACAAGGTTTGGTAGCAGTACCAAACATGTCATGTTACAGCATCCCCCAAATCACAGGGATCACCAGAGCTTTCCAAACTGTGTGTCGCGACATGTTAGTGTGTCGGCTGCAGTGTGTAGGCGTGTTACACAAATGCAAATGCTCCCCGCACTCCTCCCAGGGCTGGAGAGGGGTTAGTTTAACTTCCGGCTTGCTAATAAAACTGAATTACTGCATCGCGAAATGATGCATTTCTAAAAGGTGTGTCACCAGCATGAAAAATTTGGAAACATTTGACCTAGACACATTCCAAGCCTCAATATACCTGAAAACAGAGGGCGGATCAACACTCGTGGTTTTTAATGCTAAAAAAAGAGGTAAGGGATGATTCTGATAACCATATAGCCATATGACGTTCTTTTTAAACGTTCATAATGTGTTATTAAAATGTGACCCCAGAGGGTGCTGCAGAGCAACCAACTACTGGAAACCTGGAAGATGCTATGGAAAAGAAGCAAAGGAGAAACCAAAAGCAGACCTTCCATGTCTTGCCGTTTTAGAACGCTATTTCTAATCATTGTAATAACGTTTAAAAGTTGAGTGTAGATCTAGCCAGAGGCTTCTTCAAGGTCTAAAGCAGGGACAGATATACTATGAAACTAATGAAGGTTAAGCTTCTGGGCCTCTAATCCTGGAGGAGCCCCAGAAGCAATTTAAGTCCACATTGCTTTTGTTAAAAATGGGTCTAGTAGGCTTAAATTGGTTACTTTTTTGTTGTACAGTCAAACCTCGGTTCCCGAATGCCTTTGTTTTGGAACGTTTCAGCTCCTGAATGCCGAAAACCCGGAAGTAAAAAGCTCCGGTTTTTGAACAATTTTCAGAAACAATTTTCGGCTTCCAAGCCGCATTTTTCATTTTTTCCCATTGACTTTGCAGCCAGCCCACTGATCCTCAGTTTTTGAACTTTTTGGAAGCCAAACCAGTCTTCTGGAACGGATTAAGTTTAAAAACTGAGGTTCCACTGTATACATTTCAACAATCCCAAAATTTGAGATTCGGTAGCACAGATGTTGTAAAGGTTGTTGTAAATGACCCCACTGAAGAAGCCAACAGTGGTTACCCAGACCTCATTGCTGGTTGCAAAGGGGCCCCCCATAACAGTTCAGGCTTCAGGGTCCCCAAAATGTAGGTCCACCCCTAGTCTAAAGTATAACTAAGGCATCTAATAGCCTCTCCTGCTAATGGCTTGGCTAACTGGTTTGGCAGTCATCCCCATGATCATCTGAGCATCTACAACTCTGCATGAATTCCCTGAGAACGGTCAAGATTCCTCACCATAATGTAGGCATTCCTGTTCAAGAACTTGATGAACTTCTCGAGGCACCAGAAGCAGCATTTGAGACAGGTCAAGAAGAACTTGGCACACTTGTTGTCGGCAGCTAATGCAAGGATGGCAACAAGGAAGAGGAGGAGAAAAAAATTATCTATTTGTCAGACTGGGCAGGAACCCATGCACACAGTTGCTCACAAGCACAGAATCTGGAATTATCATTAACACTTGAAGGATCCTAGCCTTTGTTATTAAAAAGAGCAGCTTTTTAAAAGGGATAACTTCAAGAGTTATGCCCTTGGTCCAGAGTGCAGTGGAAAGCATCATTCAAGACAATGAGGAAATGTCAACATGCTAGGATTTGTATGTGCACCAGACCTGCTGGACCAAAGCATCTGTCTCTGTGAGCAGGGTGGGGTAGGGAGCTGCAGTGCTCAGGGGCCAGGGCTGTCTTGGCTTGTGGAGCTATTTGTAGTTCCCTCTTCCCCACCCTGTAATATACAGTCGTACCTCGGAAGTCGAACAGAATCTGTTCCGGAAGTCCATTTGACTTCCAAAACATTCAGAAACCAAAGCGCAGCTTCTGATTGGCTGCAGGAAGCTTCCAAAAATAGTTCGCAAACCAGAACACTCACTTCCAAGTTTGTGGCATTTGGGAGCCTAAATATTCAAGAACTAAGCTGTTCGAAAACCAAGGTACGACTGTACTGGGATATTCTGCTGCCGCTACTCACCTGCCTGTCAAAAATACCCCAAATTTCAAGCCCTGACTGCATAACAAAGATGTGAGAAAATTGCAGAAAGAGACATCTGCAGAAATTTCACACTATTTCCATAGCTTGTATTCTTGGCACAATTTTCATTTTGCTTATTGGGAGTTATAACTCATAGGCTTAACTGTATTCTCGGGCCGGGCACATCCTTCAACAGCACCCCGGAGCATAAAAAATATCCCTCTTAAGAATACAAAAGGAGAGACTCAAGAATCCAAAGACAGCCCCAAGATGTCTAGCTAGGTGGCAGAGAAAGAGAGGGAAAGGGAGAAGATCTCCCAATCTAAACATGGAAAAATGATTTCATGCCAACTGAGCCTACTGATGCGTGGCCAAAGGAAAGAGGTGGACTCTCATTCCTAGCACACTTCCTGTACTAAATCCTTCCCCCTGCTTAGTACCTTTTAGCCTGTGATCCAAATATTCCAGCATGACTCGAATGACCTGGACAATAGCAAGAATGAGGGAGCCGAAGGCTAGTGAGCCAGTGTGATACCTGTTAGGGGGAGCAGAAAAAGTGTGTTTGCTGTGGCTTCAGAGCATTTGTGAACTATGACAAAGGACGCTGTATCAGCCTGCACAGTGGGACAGGAGACCCTGCTTGTCTAGCCACTAGGTACACTGGCCTGAGTTTCCAAGTTCCATTTTGAACCCCAATTTCCATATTGGGCTTTGCAGCATATCCTTATGGGCTGCTGGCCTACTTCTAAGGCTCATTCACTCCAACTGGCTTTAAGCTCCCTCTGCCCGGAATCTGACCTCCTCCTGGGAAGAAATCACCAAAGCCCCCTTCAGTAATGGAACCATGCTAAGCACCTTCTTGGAGCTTGCTATGATGCTGTTCTGCCCTGGGACTTCTCCACAGATCATGCAAATCAACTGCCTCAAAATTATCCTGATTCAGATAAAGATGTCAACCAGAGATAAGGTTGCTGTTGGACTCCAAATCCCATCAGCCCCAGCCAGCATGGCCAATATCCAGAAATGATGGGAGTTGTAGCCTGACAATATCTGAAGGGCCACAGGTTGCCCAGCCCTGATGTTAAGTGGTAAACAAGGCTCTGTTTTCTGTATGCAATTGGAAATAACAAGCCTCTGCTGTGTGCCAGCTCCTAGGATATCAAAGCTCTTTTCTATACCACAATGACTTGAATGCTCTACCATTTTCCAGTCTGCATGCCCTATCTAGCCCAGAGTGCAGATAGTCCAATACTGAGCTGAAATCACTGTGCAGAAACCTGCCTTGTCTATCTAGGATCCTGTTCAGCCAACAAACCCTGCATCCTTCCCTGGTCCTGCAGTGTGCAGGGCAGTGTTTCTCAAACTCGGGTCTCCAGCTGCTGTTGGAATACAATTCCTGTCATTCCTAACCAGCAGGACCAGTGGCCAGGGAATGATGGGAGTTGTAGTCTAACAACAGCCGGAGACCCAAGCATGAGAAACACTGATGCAGGAACTTCCGACTGTCAAGAATTGCATGCTGCAACTCTCCTGCCCACCCCAGTCTTTGTACCTGAGTGCTCTGCCAAAGGAGGAGAACAGAGGGAAGGCTGGCATGTCATCTGGTTTCTTAAAGGCCCAATAGTACGAGGCAAAGGCTCCGGCCAGCGTGACTTGGCCCAAGGCAATGACAAAGTTTGCCAGCCAGAAGAACATAAAGACATTGTAGATCTGGAAGATGATGAGGTACTTGTGGTAGGTGCTCTCGCCACCGTAGAAGGCAAAGAGGCAGCGAGCGCTTGGGCACACTTTGGTGACGTTGGAAGTATTGAAGGTCTAAAAAAAGAAGGAAGAAAATGATGTTACTCTCATCACTATAGGAGCCAGACAGGCAGCTTCAGAATTCCACTTGAATATATTTTCAATAAGGATTTCTTACGTTTACAAAAATACATGCGTTTTTTCAAGTTGTGTTTTCTACAGATTAGTTTCATTTCTTGTGAGACATTAGTGTTACATACAGTGTTAGGTTGGGAAGAAAAGAGGCGGAAAGAGGGGGAGGAGGGAATGGTGACTGGGGTTGGGTGACAATGCTTCTATTCTTCAACTTAGTGTGGGGGGGAGTTGTGTCAACATCACTTGTGTGGGTTCTCTTACTCTTTGCTTGTTGTATTTCCTTGGTGGTGAGAGAGCTTGGGGGTGGCCTAGGGTATGGTTGGTTGTCTTTGGTTGGCTGTAGTGAGATTTGTTTTTGTGTGTAAGTAGGGGTGTGTGTGTGTGTGTGTGTGTGTGTGTGTGTGTGTGTGTTTGGATCAGGTCAGCCAGATTGATTTGTATGCTGTCAGCGGATTCTTCTTATTGTCTTGTTGGGCTGTGTATGTGATAAAGGGGAACCCTACCGGAGTGAAGGTGCCCACTTGAGAATGAGGGCGTGCGGCAGTTCTGTTTGCATCATGTTCTATTTTAGAAATGGATACGAGTACTTAGATCTGGGCAGGTTGATAGGAAGAAGCTGCAGTTTGTGACGTTAACATTTTGAAATCTCTCCCCAAATTGTGGGTCAGTATTTTAGAGTTGGGACCCTGCCAGAAAAAATGAAGTCAGGTCATTCTTGCAAACGTGTCATGTGGGGCTTCCCTTTTCAGTTTTCCACAGGATGGGCAGGCAGGGGAAACTGATATTGGGTCAAGCCATATTTCCCACCTCCTCAAAGGGACTGGCAAATCCCCAGCAGAGAGACGACTCTCACTGCATAGCTTTCATGGCGTTTGGCTGGGATGAGGTGGGGACACAGGGAAGCAAAACCACAATGTGAAAGGGGGTAATATGTAGCATGTACAACTGATCAGGAAGTTGGGGGCAGGCAGCAGCTGATTTCATATACAAACACAATCAATGAACTTATGCCTCTCCCAGCTGCTGGCATTTCAGCTGCCTCATCCTTTTGAGAACTAGTTCCCTAATCTGGTATCGTCCAGATTTGGGCAGACACCATGTGAGAGGTTTGCAGCTATCACAAGATAACCTGACTCTGTGAAACTTTAATCACAGAGCGAAGTGGGCTTTCCGCCTCCATGCAGCCGGTGACCATCAGGCCACACAGGTTGTCTGAATCCACCCAGAATCAGGATGCAAGGGAGATCCCACAGCCTCCATGGGCCACTCAGAATTTAAGCTTTCTACAACAGAAGTTCCTGACCTGTGGTCTGCAAGCTTTATTCAGGTGACCCACAGTGTGTCTGTGGACTTGTGAGTGAACATTTGTATCATTTTTTAATGGCATTTTTACTGCTTCTTTTATTTCCCATACTTTATTACAATCTGAATTCATTATCGAGTTTATGAGATTTCTTAATTTGTAAGAAATAAAAGCAGCAATGCAAATGCAATTAAAGATCACATGGCACATAGCACACCACATTACAATTGCTACAATAGGGAGAAAAATAATTAAGACCCTCGGCAGATTTTTGAGCAGTCCGGCAGGGGAGGAGAAAGCATTTGGGAATGAAAGCCTGTTCAGAGTATTTGAGCCAAGTCTGCAGTATGACTCCTGGAGCACTGCCTCAATTCCAGCAGGAAGCAGAATGCTCCATTCTGCACCCAGCTGACCCTTCAAGAGAAGCCCCATGGAGAAAGCAAGACAATAATTCTGGACACATCCTTTTTTGCCCATTATGCAATGAAGACATCTCCATTAGTGACTATTTCAGATTTCTTACCTCCGGGTTGCAGGTCGTTCTAGCGTAAATGCACTCTGTCTCGTTGAACACCTTGTAGACAGCTTCATTGGAGGTAGACAAGAAACTGGGAGCAGTCAAGGAGCTTTGCAGAAATTTAAGCCCCATTCTTGCCTGCTTGAAAGCAGACTTGGAACACCAGGCAGTTTCCTGGAATCCCTCCCTCCCACCCAACCATACCGCCTTAATCCATTCTCCCATGAGAGCAGGGGAGGTGGGGGGGAACTGAGTAAGGATACACAGCTGTGCTGGCCCAATAAGCAATACAGAGACACACCAGGAAGAAAGTGCAGAGAGGGAACAGCAGGGATGTCATGATGTGACCAATTGCTCTGTCAGAGGGGACAGGAGAAAGAAAAGGTACACAAGTCAGTTGCGAGGCCCCAGCTCTGTCTAGGCAGGGCAAGGACCTCTGTCACTTCCCTTTAGCTTCACTGTGGACTGGCTTCCTGTCCCACCAAGAAGAGTTGCCAGATCCCAATCTAGAAGTGACGATTCACTGCAGCTACTCTCCTCTCACACTTTTACTTGAAACACTTCTACTAGAAAACAATTACCCAACGATCTCCTGGGAGTGGCCGGTCAGGCTGTGTCTGAGATGGACATTCTCATTAACTACAGTCGTACCTTAGAAGTTGAACAGAATCCGTTCCAAAAATCCATTCGACTTCCAAAACATTTGAAAACCAAATCGCGGCTCCTGAAGCCAATCAGAAGCAGCAGAAGCCCCGTCGGACATTGCAAAGAACGTTTGCAAACCAGAACAATCACTTCAAGTTTGCAGTGTTCAGGAGCCAAAATGGACGAGTTCCAGGGCGTTCAGGATCAAAGGTATGACCGTACAGTATTTCTAGTTAGAAGGTAGTTGCCCTGAACCCTGGAACTGTCTGTTCTTGCCTCTTTGATTTTGGCTAGTCCCGCTAGATTTCCCAGCAGCAGAATCAGACAGAACAAAAAACTGCTCTGGATATCTGCAAACACTAGGGATGGGGGGCGGGGCGGGGAGATAAAAGCACCCTTGCAAGGCGATCTATTGGGCACATGCCACATCAGGCTCACCTGCTGGCTTCCTTGATCAATGCAATGGCAATGAGAATCCTCTTGCGCAAGAAGATGAGCAGTAAAATGATGACAACCTCCACAATGCATAGGATGATCACTGGGCAAGGAAACAGAGAGGTGATGTGCGAGAGAAAGAGAGAGACAAGAGAGAGGAACCTGAGCCCTCCTGTGCTCTGATTCCACAAAGCAGGGTAAAACACCAAACAAGTGACTCTGGATGGTTCTTGGAGCAAGTCACTTTTAGGGATCATCTGGCTCTTCTGATGTAGTTGGGACTCCAACTTGCATCAGCCTCAACCAGCATGGCCAGTAGTCAGGGATGATGCAAGACTGAGCTCAACAATTCCTCAAGGGCTACAGACTTCCCATCCCTGGGTCTGCACAGAGGCCTGAGGAAGTCCTTCTCCTCCTCCTGGTCTTTCATCAACACATAGGAGGGCATGGCTAACAAGGAGACACACTCATTGTGAAGCGCTCAGCTGAGCAGAAGACTTACTGAAGGCCAGCCAGGTTTGCTTCAGATGGAGGTAGACACGGAGATCTGTCTGGAACCCAAGTTCTTTCAGGGAAACATCAGAACCAGCCTGTCCTTTCAGCTGGGCATATTCCATGTAGCAATGAAAGATTCCTACAAGATGAAAGCAGCAGTGAACACGGTTGCCCACTGCCTTGGCTTAATACCTCCAACATACCAAATGGTTGAAAGCTGTCCCGCTGTTAAACACCAGAGTGCAAAGCGTACCAATGGGGAAGCAAGTTCAGAAGTGCCTGTCATATCAAAGGTTTAGGGAAGGAGCAGTCCAGGCTTGTCCTCAAGGCTTTACCTGACTTCCTGTGTTCAATTCTGTTGCAACAGTTCATGAGAATTATTCAGAGTTTGAAAAGGATTTAGATCAGTTCAGTTCAAGGTGCCAGGTTGTGGGTAGAGGGGGAGTTGAATGAAAAGGTGGAAGGGGACCTTATTAATAATCATCATTTATGAACTGCTTAATGACATCATGTCCACACACGTTCTGTGAAAACCAGATGCTACTTGCATGCAGAGAGGGGAAATATGTCAACAGTCTGAATATAACGTAAAGAGAACGGTCTTCTGAAGTGATATTCTAACACAGAATTAGAAGGACCAATTAACTTGCAGCAGGGACAGTTTTATCATCTATTCAGAAATTACAGACTCTGTTGCAATCTTTTCCAACTACAACTAAGTTGTTCACCTGGGCAACTTTCCCTTCCTCTTCCTCAAGACATGAGTTACTTCTAAGTGCAACATTAAAAAAAATAAAAAAAATAAGGGGGACAGGAAGGATAACTGAAGAGGCTACTGTGGAAGTGACCGGTGCTACATCAAACTTCCTAACTTCTACTTGATCCTCAGCTCACCTTCCCTGGATTCACAGTGGAAACAATTTTATAATTTGCACAGCAAGATCTATAAAGGTCACTCAGAGCATCCCCTAAACTGAGGCAAAGATCCAAAACAATGGCATTACCCCAGGCCCAGTTCTAGCACCAACAAGCAAAGTCACAAGTAAGGGGATTCCCAAAGTGAGGTCTAGCAAGGCTCACCTGAGTAACAGTAAGCAAGCTGTGCCACCTGCCACAAGCGGAAAGGGAGACATTTCACCACCAAGAGTGGGTGGAAAGAAGCATATGGTGCTGAGGTAGACCATTAGTGGGAATGTATACCTGAAGGAGTGTCTCCACTCCCATCGTTCAGCCCAGACACTGAGGTCCAGCTCTGAGGGTCTTGTGACAGTTCCTTCACTGTGAGAAGTGAAGTTACAGGGAAACTGGCAGAGGGCCTTCTCAGTAGTGGCACCCATCCTGTGGAATGCCCTTCCATCAGATGTCAAGAAAATAAACAATTATATAAAGGCAATCCTATATAGGGAAGCTTTTTCATGTTTGATGTTTTACTGTGTTTGATGTTTTAATTTCTTGGAAGCTGCCAGACTGGGCAACCCAGTCAGAGAAGTGAGGTATAAGTAATAAATTTATTATTATTATTATTATTATTATTATTATTATTATTTATTATTAATTCCAGTAGGCATCCAGCCCACCTGCCCAGATCCCTGGGCTTAACCAAACTCACCATATCCAAGCACCAGGATCACCAGCACAATCATCACCCAGACCATGATCCCTGCTAGGAACCGGAGCAGGACAATAAAGATGAGACTGACCACCATGGAAATCACCAGACCTCTGCAGATAGAAGACAACAAGGGATTTCTCAAGACAAGGGATTTCTCAAGACATTCTTGAACTACCAAGCAACTCACAAGCTACTGGGTGAAGATGCTGCGTTGAACAAACATTTTAACTACTTGGGGTAAACGAATCAGTAGCAGAATGAAGGTGAACAGTGCAAATCATATCAAGGGAATTGAAGTTCATTATGGGTCATAAAAAGCTGACAAAAGGGGCTATGAACCATTAGCAAGAAGGTAGTTGACAGGCAAAGAACTGCAGAGACCAGGGAACCAAAGAGATAAGCATGGGCAAAAAAGGGGTAGGAATCCCAGAGAATGGTCTGCGGGCCTTTGATACACCATATAAGCAGCTCTGAGACTGTTCCCCTTAATCCATCGGAACAGTGATGTGATATATTATACACACAAGTACATACATACATACATACATACATATATAGAGAGACAGAAGGATGTGGGGCTGAATCTGATACAGTGATTTGAACCAATCATGAAAAAACCCTCTGGTTGCAAGTCTCAGTTCAATATATCCATCTTTAATAATGGAGAAAAGTGCCAGGTGGCCCTTAAGGATTCTTGTGGTGTTCCTTTTCACTACTTTCAAGGGGGAAATACAGCAGAAGACACAGGTCTTCACAATGGTGAAATGCTCAGCTGGACTTCCAGAACTTGAAAAACTCCTAAGATGGCCTGTAAGTCCGAAAGGTCCTTTGCCTTTGGAACAGAGCCAGAGCTTCCTTTTCGCTACTCCCATTAGACTTCTCATTCCACCCTTAGCTGAACTATTCCGTTCTCTGCTTACATTATTATCCAGTACCAGGAAACAGTGTAATCTTCAAAGATCTTCATAGCCACTTGTCTCGCCTCCAGAACCACATTTGCTTTTCTGGAATTCAAAGTAAGAAGTGAGAAGCACAGGAAAGGTGAAGAAATGTACATCCAGGTTTTTTTCCTTTAATTTTTTTGGGGGGCCCCAACAGAGTGTGGCCCTAAGCTATACAGTCATACCTCGGGTTGCGAACGTGATCCGTGCGGGAGGCACGTTCGCGACTCGCAGCGTTCGCAGCCTGAAGCGCCGCGTCTGCGCACACGCATGATGCAATTCGGCACTTCTGCACATGACATCATTTTGCACTTCTGCATATGCACAAGCGCCGAAACCCAGAAGTCTGGTACTTCCGGGTTCAGTGTGGTCCGCAACCCGAAAACGTGCAACCCACAGCGTTCATAACCCAAGTTATGACTGTAGCTTGTTTAGCTTATACATAAATCCAGCACTGGTGGAGACGCTCCTTCATTTATACTGGGCCAAGGCCATTTAGGGCTTTAAAGTTCGGCACCAACACTTTGAATTGTATTCGGATACATACTGGGAGCTTTATTTGAGATAAGAAAGCTGCAGAGTCTGGTGTTAGGTAGAGCACTAACTGCTCACTGACACTGCAGGAACTTCACTTATGCTGAGAGACTCAACAATTGTGAGCACAGGATTTCCCTTTGCATGGGGAGAAGGATGGTTGACAAGCAGAGGGCAGTTCCATATATGCAGCACATTAAGGTTCTATATCTCAAGGCCTGAGAAGCGTTTTCATCATGCTGTCCAGAAGGACTTTGGCAGCATCCCAGAAAAGGAATTGGAAAATCCTTGTAGCTGCCAGAGAACACGGAATATAGCAAGTCTCCTGGAAGAAGTGGAGCCTTTTTTTTGGCCAGGGTAAGGTGGGACACGGGTGGCGCTGTGGTCTAAGCCACTGAGCCTCTTGGGCTTGCCGATCAGAAGGTCGGCAGTTCGAATCCCCGCGACGGGGTGAGCTCCCATTGCTCGGTCCCAGCTCCTGCCAACCTAGCAGTTCAAAGGCACATAAACGTGCAAGTAGATAAATAGGCTTTGCCAGAAGCGGCTTAGTCATGCTGGCCACAAGACCCAGAAAAACTGTCTGCAGACAAATGCCGGCTCCCTCGGCTTATAGAGCGAGCTGAGTGCACAACCTCAGAGTTGTCTGTGACTGGACCTAACAGTCAGGGGTCCTTTACCTTTACATTTTTAAGGTGGAAGATAGCATGTGATTTCCCCTAACAGATTAGAGGAGTAGTCAGATGGGGGTCTTCTCAGCACATACCCCACCTTTTCCTCTACAACCCGCGCCAGCCCCATCTGTTGTCTCAACACAACCCTGGTTTTTCTAATGTCCCAGTTTCTGCCACGTGTGATGAAAAGAACTAGAACAAGAAAACTACAAATTACTGGGGACCAGGCTGAACAACCAGAATAACACAAGTAATTTAAGCAAAGTCGGCAAAAAGTATTCTTTGGTCAAATTTGGAATAACTAGGTCTACAAAGCCCCTTTCTGCTCATCACCACCCAACACACACACTTAAGACTCACTTGGCCCCTTCCAGAAGTTCCGTCACATTCCTCTCATGTCCTTTTCCGTCATTAAAGGTGGTCTTGTTCCCAACCATGATGACCCCTTTCTTCGAGCTGACTGCAGGTAGACATCTGCGAGCCACTGAGGATCGCAACATGTAAGAGAGATCTAAGCAGCAGGAAGACTAGTACGCACCCCCTCCCCTTGTTCTCTGCTTAAAAGACCCTCTATAATCAGCGGGCTGAGAGGAAAACTACAACACACACCCACACCCCAAGCTGCTTTCAAGCAGGTAAGAGTGAGATTTGGCAACTGAAGAGGCAAAGTGGGGGTTGCAAATTGGCTAAATCCTTATGCATGCTTAGCGATTTCATCTGATGCTTGGAGTGACCTCCCTCAACCTACTATAGGAACCAGGGCTCCACTCAGCATATACTGAGTTGGTGTCAGCATACTTAGTGTTGAACAAGACCTCTTTATAGATCATTGCATCTCCATCCCTTGCCCCAACACCCAAGAGTTAACTGACAACTCACTGAGTAATCAGCACCCCAAGGCCTCTCGGCCTCTCCCATCCAAGTGTTTGTAATGCACATGACTAGCCAGAAGACTTGTTTCGAACTTTGTTGTGATTTAATAGATGCTTTATTTGCCACAGACATTCAAAATGAATCAGAGGGACAGGTGTAATCAGATTACTTCCTTTTCTCCTTGTGCAGCTGTAGCTGTCCTTCATGTTCAAATCCTCTTGCCTGGCTCACAGCTCTCCCTCATCCCCACAAAGGGTGCAGCTCACAAGCAAAGTCAAGCCCTGGGGGTGGGGTGGGGGGAGCCAGCAAGGAGTTCCCGACCTAGTATTCCCAGACGTCACTGGGGGAAAATATAACCTTTCTACCCAACCCAAATATCTATTTCTGCTTTCTTATGATCCTTCAGAATTAATTCGATTTTCTTAGAGAGGGGATTGATATTCAAAATCCACACTGAGCCAACCTACTCGGGTGTGGGTTCAGGGATCATGTATGGTAGCCAATTTTAATTTCAAAAATTCGGGTGGTAGGTCAGGAAGCGGGGCCACACAAGGAAATGGGCGCAAGTGCAATTGCCACAACTGTGGGTGCCACATCACCAGGTTGCTCTGCCTTTCCTCACCTTGGGTAAATAAAGCCTGGTGGGGGAGGCAGCAGCAAAGGAACAACACACATGAACCCCACAGTCTTTATTGCAGCCATATCTGAAATGGTGTGCAAGGTCTGAAGTCAACTATCTTGTGCTCTAGTGCATATGTAGTGTACTAAAGGTGAAAATGATGGTTACTTCCATTCAAATAGTTATAGAAACTGAATAGCTTTGTTAGAAAAAAGCTGACAGCCATCCCAAATTTTTGGCTTTCTATCCCAAAAAACCTCTGGCAACTGGCTCAGAGGTTAAAATGAAACTAAAAACAGCCAGGCCATTTTTCCCCCTGGAGAGTTGGCAAGGTCTCTGAGGATTATGGCCTTCATGCCAACAATAGAGATAACAACTGTTTAGTGCATGAAGTGGGGGATAATATATGCTGGGTCTGAGGCTCTGCTCTAGCCCAGAACAAGTGGGCTGGTTCCTCAGAAGCTTATTGTTTTCAAATTTCAGATTCCCATACTCCCAGATAAGAAGTCTCAACGGAGTCACCATTGTGGTAGTCTTTGTGTGGAAAGGCTAAGCTGAGGCTCTTTCTGACAATGGAAGTGGCTGGGAGTCACAGCCACTGAAAGCTTGAGCTGCATTAAGACTGACTACTGAGGTGTTCAAGAAACTATTAATAAAATCCCTAGGCTTTCCCCCACTGGTTTGCTCCCTCGGACAGACTTACAGGGTTTGCTTGGAGTGAGCATGGCTGGGCACAGATCATCTTTCAAAACTTCAGGTGCACTCAGGGCCTGAGAGAGGGGGAAAAGGAACAGGTTATTCCTGCCCAAAGGAGGATAACCTCCCAGTAAAACAAAGGCAAAAGCAGAACGGAAGATCACCCTTAAGTCTGAACTAGTTCCCAGCCATTATGCATCCGTAATGCTCACTCACCTTCTTCCGGTTTTTAAATTCTGGGACACAAAATTGCTCATAGTATTTGAGTTCCTCGCTGGCTGCGCCGACTGTTGAGGCCTGCAGGTAGGTGAGGTACCGATCTGGGCACTTTTCAACACAGATCTGAAACAGTCGCAAGAAGAAGAGCAATTTAGTGTCTCAATTCAGACACCGCTTATCTAGCAAGGTTCCGATTCCCAGCAGCAGTGACAAATCTCTACATTACAGTGGTACCTTGGTTCTCAAACTTAATCGGTTCTGGAAGTCTGTTCCAAAACCAAAGCATTCCAAAACCAAGGCACGCTTTCCCAGAGAAAGTAATGCAAAACAGGTGGTGCAGGGGCTCCTTTAAACTTCTCCCTTGAGGGGAGTGCAGCCGCGAACCCCTCAACGGAAAGTGTGATGGAGCCTGCACCTCCCCAGCTGAGCAGCCCCGATCCAGCTCCTGTTCCCGTGCAAGCAGCAACGCTGCGTAGAGGAGCAGCCCGATCCCACTCCCACTTGCAAGGAGCAGGCGGAGGGGTGGCGGCGACAACCCTTGCCTGCTCACTTGCCACCCCGGTTCAGCCTTCCCTCACTCAGCTGGAGGAAGGGGTGGTTGCTGTGGTGATGGAGAGACCCAGCGCTGGAGGGTGGCAGGTGCCTGCTCGCTTGCTGCCCAGCCTGCCTTCCCTTACTCGGAAAACGGAAGTGTGGAACTCAAACTGGAAGTTTTACTCAGAACAGAGCACGTTCAGCTTCCGAAAAAAGTTCGAAAACCAGAATACTCATTTCCAGGTTTGAAGTGTTCGGGCTCCAAGTAGTTCAAGAACTAAGCTGTTCGAAAACCAAGGTACCACTGTATTTGGCAGTTTTGTTCACATAGGGCATTTTGTTTTTTCACCCTTTATTTATTTATTTATTTATTCATACATACATACATACATACATACCCCGCCCATCTGGCTGGGCTTCCCCAGCCACTCTGGGTGGCTTCCAACAAAATATTAAAATACAGTAATGCTTCCTAATGCTTTCATTTTGACTCCATCCCAATGTTACCTTTCCCCATTTTCCTCTGTTTTGCCTCTAATGTGCAGTTGTCCTGGACCACCCCACATTCCTTTGTTTTTCTTTCATCTAGCATCATAACCTTGGCCCCGCTACTGGGGAAAATTATTCGTGTCTTCTCTTGAGAACCCTTATATGATGGATTCCTTAAGGGACAACTACTGTACAAACGATATAATTTATTTGAACCAGGACTGCAGTGCTAAATTAATGAATTGGTTAGATCAACTTTTAACTGACTGAAAAGGTATCTCAGTGTGGTTTTTTTGATCTAGAATTGTATAATAAATTGTGTACCATACATAAAATAACAGAATCGTCAATAGTCCCAAGTCTGGGTAAAAGGCAGGATATAAATAATACTATAACATTGTATCAAGACTGTAAACATTTTACATTTTCTGAAAAAGAGTACTGAACAAATGAATTCCAATTTAACACAAAACTTATTAGATCAGCCAGCCTTTCTTGTCTTCTTGAAATGAGCTGATGCAAGAGTTTTACCATATATGTGCTGCAGACCTTATTCAACCCATCTTTCGATTGTGGACCTTGTGGTATAGATCTATTCTGGCCATAATAGTTACGTTTGACACCAGTTCTTCCTTCCTTTTAGTTATCAAATGTTCAATGTAACCAAATGATAATATCCATGGTGTTAATTACTACGTGAGTAATTCAACTGATAGTTTCAAACACCTCTTTCCAAATCATTGACCACTTCCAGATGTCTACCACAGGTAAAAGGCATTGGCTCCTAGTCTAATATATTTCCAGCAACAGAGAAGATTACTAACACATGCTAATGCAAACTTACAGTGGTGCTTGGCATCTGTAAATAAAGTTTCTCACTGCCTCCTCACTCATTATCCAGAAACTAACATCTAAATTATACAGCAGGTGGTATTTACCGCCAACAAAGCTACATCACACGTCCTCACCACACTCTAAACGCGTCAAGAAAACTGTGACAGAGTGAGGTCTTATTTCCATATGCAGATTTGCCGTAAAATATAAAGAATTACTGGGTACAAACATCAGATCACATAAATAAAACTGCAGGATATTCTATCGATCCAGAACCCATAACAGCATTGCTAAACCACCTCGGTAAAGATAACATCCCCCCAATATAAATAATTTTGATTATATTACCTATAACAGTTGCCACATTTTAAAGTAACCTTATACTGGAAAAAACCAAAACAACCTAAAAAAAAGAGAATCATTACAGTGCGGTAGACCTCACTCAATTGAAAACCATGTCAAACCCTGAATATCCTGACCATTTCATAAATACTGTAAATGCCTCCCATTCCTAACAGGCATGCTGTCTTTTGAAGACTTTTTATAAACAGCGTCTTGAAACATAACGGCACGCTTCTGTAACAATGTATTATTCACCAAACAAGCCTTCACTATCTCTCTTTTAATACAGGACTTTTAAAGCAGTTTTCCGGGCATGGTCGGCCAAATGGTGCCAAAGAAGGATAGAATCTTTTTTATTTACGCAACAACAGCAGCAAGAATACTCATCGTGAAGTATTGGAAGACACAAGATTTGCCCACCCGGGAAGAATGGCAGATGAAGTTGATGGACTACATGGAACTGGCGGAAATGACTGGCAGAATCCGAGACCAGGGAGAGGAGTTGGTGGAAGAAGACTGGAAAAGGTTTAAAGACAATCTACAGAAATATTGTAAAATTAATGAATGTCAGAAAAATGTTGAAATGAAGTTATATGGCTTTAGTAGAAATATTATAAGGCATTAAGTACAGATAGGTTAATAGAGTATTAAAGGGGGAAAAAATAAGGTTAGAATGAGTTAAGATAATTATAGGATAGAAAACAGAGGAAGATGGAAAGGAATTGCTGAAATAATTAACAGAAGTGGAATACAAAAAGGGAGGTGTGAGGAGGTCGTGGAAATAAGTGAATGAAAGATGGGATAATGAAATTGGTTGATTTATTTTATTGTCTTAGTCTTGTTTTGTTAATTTGATGTTTTGTATTGTATTGTTTTTCTTTTTCTTTTTTTCCTTCTTTTTTTTTTGGTGTTTTTGGAAAAATAATAAATATTATTTTTAAAAAAAAATTAAAGCAGTTTTCCACATTCAAATTAAAGTCTGGAACACCTAGCCCAGGGTGTATCTGACTTGATACTCTGATAGCAAGGGAGAACTAAAGAAGATTACGGCAATGGTAAAATCAAGAGAATAATAGATTACTGCAACACATACATGGGGCTGCCCCTGAAACTTCTTCTGGTGCAGAATTTAGTGGCCGGGTAGCTCACCGGGGCAAAACAGTTCGAGCATATTAAACTGATCCTGGCCCGACTCCACTGGCTGCCAATCGGTTTCTGGGCCCAATTCAAAGTGCTGGTTTTGACCTATAAAGCCTTAAATGCCTCAAGGGCCTGCAATACCTAAAGGACTGCCTTTCTCCATATGAACCTACCTGGACCCTGAGATCATCTTCTAAGGCCCTTCTTCGCGTGCCTCCTCCGCAAAAGTCCAGGGGGCAGCAACATGAGAACGAGCCTTTTCTGCAGTGGCTCCGCACTTTTGGAACGCTCTCCCCAGGAAGGCTCACCTAGCACCTTCATTACATCTCTTTAGGCGCAAGGCTAAAATATTTCTCTATAACCAGGCCTTTCGCTAATGAACAATTCTGTGACCTTTTAAATGTGTTTGTGGGAGGCTGGGTCATTGGTTTGTTTCTGGTTTTGTCTTATTAGGTATTTTGAGTTCTCATTTTGCATTTTAATCTTGTGAACCACTCTGTGATCTTTGGATGAAGGGTGATATACAGATATAATAATAATAATAATAATAATAATAATAATAATTATTATTATTATTATTATTATTATTATTATTCTGACCTACACACACACACACATTCATACATCCCTGCATCACATTAAACTGAGGCAGTTTCAACATGAAGAGCACAACCTCTGTGACAGGTCACAGATTTACATCCTTTTAATTTTACTGATTCCATGTCCACTTGTGGTGGGGTTCTAGTGAGAAGCTGAAGTCTCTCAGAGGCAGGCAGCAAACAGCTTCAGGGACTTCAAAGAAAAGGCAAACATCACCCATTCAACCAGGATAGATTGTTCAAAACTGCTCTCTTTCTTTCTCTGGGCAGCTGCTCTTTGAAGTCCCTGCCCTCCCTTCCCATTTCCCCAATGTGACCAAGAGAGGATATAAGGCATCCTTGCTCTGACTCTCTTCCCATGCACTTTATTGGGTACCATTACACAACAGCGTGTCTATATCCAGATATCATTGAGCAAAAGCAATCCACCTTCCTTGTTGTCCATGAAGTTTTGTCCTATGCAGACGAGCGCAAAGCTCTTGCAATTCTGACCTCTCTGGGACAAAGGTATTGACAAGGAGAGAAACTTTACCTGTGTGGTGGGACACTGAAACTCCAACAGCACCAAAGGGCTGGCACATTTCACGATGTTGAAGTAGAACAAGAAAGGTTTATTCCTGGAAACAGAGAAAGGACCATAAGAACATCCAAGCCAGCATATGTTTCTATCAGTAGATAGGTCCCAAAAGTTCAGCAAATCTTAAAGCGTTAAAATTGAGATGTGGAAAATATGGAAACAACGAGGAGAGGCAGGATTGAGATTTGGAGATATGCTTCAAGGTCCAGACTATGGGAAGCCCCGAAAAATTAATAATTAGAATTTGGATGATAATTTGGTCTTTTTTATTTTAGTTTTTTATTTTAATTGGATTATGATTTGATATGTTAATTGGATTTTTTTTATTGAAAAACTAATAAAAAGGATTTAACCCAAAGTTCAGCAAGTCTGACATACTGTGGAGATCTAGAAGATGAAGGAGATCGCTCGTGCCAGCAGACTCTCCTGAACCACTTCTGAACAGGTTAGAATTCTCTACGCAGACCAGCCAGCACTGCTTGGGGATCACAGACAAAGCGATGTGCCAAGGGTTACCAGCCTTAGCCATCACCAGTTCTTCAAATGAAAGTTGCCACAGCTCAGGCCTATCTGGAAGTGACATCACCTAACCCATGCTGCCTGAAGACTCAGTGTGGTTGCCTACCGGGAGGAGAATGCAGTCTGCAAATGCTGAAATACACCCTTGTCTTATGTAATTGCCCCTGAAATTTCATATGTAACGGGGGGGAGCCACTTCTCCTTATTCTATCCTCTCACGCTGCTCTGGCTTCCTCTCCCTCACTGAATTCAATGCCACCTCATCGGAGAGGGTGACAAGGAGAGTCAGAGGAAAGGCCCACCAGATTTCCTGTACAGTAGGGGTGAGGAACACCTTTGGGCCAGAAGGCTGGAATCAAACATGGTCGATCCTCCATGGGTTACTTTGATGGGCAAGTGGGGTTGCCCACCTGCTAATCACCTCAGGAGTGTTATATGACACCAGGTGTTTCAAGCCATGACTGCAAAGGAAGAATCAGGAGCTTGCTCTTGAAAGGGCCCATATCTGATGTCAGATGTGGCTAACCCAAAACACTCTTGTGAACCAAAGCAAGAGAACGGTTGGGCCTAATTAGGCCCGTGGGTCAGAATGATCCCACCACTGCTGTAGAGGCATAGATTTTCATTCCTGGCCTAGAATACAGTGGTACCTCGGGTTAAGTACTTAATTCGTTCTGGAGGTTTGTTCTTAACCTGAAACTGTTCTTAACTTGAAGCACCACTTTAGCTAATGGGGCCTCCTGCTGCCGCTGCGCCGCCGCTACACAATTTCTGTTCTCATCCTGAAGCAAAGTTCTTAACCTGAGGTACTATTTCTGGGTTAGCGGAGTCTGCAATCTGAAGCGTATGTAACCCGAGGTACCACTGTACCACTATTTGGGGTTTCCTGACATTCATCTGGCATGTGACACAACTGGCCCCAACTGACTGTGGCAACTCAGGAGAACATTCCAAGGGGGACTTTAGATGCCTCAGAAAATTCCAGAATTCCACATTAAGGGGGAAAACGAGTTGCCTCATGAATAAGACAAACAGGCCTTGCAAGAAACGAAGCTTTCCCTTTTCTACCCAGAAGGGATGACATGGAAAGGCAATCCGGAAAGGGAAGGTGCATGTGCAAAATTCTCTCTTAATACAAAGTGCCTCATTGGCTATACTCATGCAGATAATAAAGGATTTTTCTAAGAAACCTACTCGTTGGGGGTTCCGGCCTGGCCACAGAACTGCCCACGGCTATCTGTGGGGTAGATCACCTTCCGGGGGTCTCCTTGTGTCCATGCTGAAAAGACAAAAATCCAGAGCTTGACAACGTGCTCCCCTCCACATTGTGCAACATCACCCAGTTTCCCCAGCAACTGTTTTGGACTATGATTATATCTCTGTTATTCACATGTACATTTCATCCTTCAGCTTATGAGCTATGTTAACCTACGAAAGAAGGTATTTTGCTCAAGACTGTGCCGTGACTTGGTATTTGAATCCAAGTCCAAGTCTCCACCCACTGTGTTAAACTGCCTCTCTGTCAAGAGTCTCCCAAATCTGAATGCAGCCACTCACAATATTAAAGGGGTTCCACATATCACCCCATGTGACTCTGCCCTGGGTGAGAAATGGCAACGTATGGCCAACTAAGACACCACTCAGCACAGGCACCATCACCACATTATTCTACATGAGCAACCCTTCCAAAAAGAGACAGAGGGAGGAGGCAATAAGATATTATCAGGGCAATTTCATGGCCTACCATGCTTTCACATTCAGTCCCACAGCTCATGTGGATTCCTAAGAACCATGGTTTGCTGTTGTCATTTTCTTTGTTTAAAAAAAGAGAATGTTTCACTGGTAGTTCAGTTGATAGAGCACAAGACTCTTAATCTCAGGGATGTGGGTTTGAGCCCCACACTGGGCAAAATATTCTTGCATTAAAGGAGGTTGGACTAGATCAGCGGTTCTCAACTTGTGGGTCCCCAGATGTTGTTGGACTACAACTCCCATCATCCCTGAGCTCTGGCCTTGCTAGCTAGGGATGATGGTAGTTGTAGTCCAACAACATCTGGGGACCCACAGGTTGAGAACCGCTGGACTAGAGGATCCTCATACTCCCTCCAGCTCTACAATTCTATGATTCATGGCTATGAAGATGTGCATTCCACAGACTTAAAAAAGAGTTTGCTTAAAACCCTTGTTTTCATAATGGTGCACCTTCTTGCCATATGTCCTCTTTTTCCAGGACACTTCTACTTTTTCATGGGTATGTAAAATGAGTGTCATCATAGTAATCTGTAGTTAAATGAAGAAATTGGCAAATGTGTCCTCTTTTTTTGCTCTTCAAAATATGGCAACCCTACATCTACTTGCCCAGTCACCAGCAACACTCAGCTGTTGCCTAGAGCCAGAGAAAGGGAGATGGAGAGTTCTACAACACATACCCACGACTCCCACAGCGATGTAGCCCACAATGGCAACCAGAAGCAAGATGCAGCAGATGATATCGGTGCAACCCCTGAAGGAGAAAGCAAAAGGATTGAGAGTAATACAACTGTCATGCTCTGCTTTCTGTTCTGTTCCCCCCAGTCTGGTGGCTTTGATGCCTTGATCCCCTCTCCCCACAGCACATTTGCAACTTCAGTATTTTATTTCTATTTTTATAAGCCCTGAATCGAACCAATCTCGCCAATAGAGGTGAAGGTGGTTAAGAGAAAAAATACTCAGGGACCCTGGCCAATGTATAAAGTACTCCTAAAGGAGGATAATAACCAATTGAAATTAAAAAGCTTTGGGGAAATAAGAGAGTGTATTGTTGATTGGTTTCCATATCACGAATTATTTGAGACATTCAAAACTGGTTATTCCACTGAGACTTCCAGATTTGAATCGGATTTGGTGAATTCCAGAATTTAAACACTTTCTAAAGAATACCGACTCCTCCTTGACTGGGAAGTCAAGGAGGAGGAGGTTACAGCGGCTATGACTAAGTGGTCACAAGATTTTGGGTACTCAATAACAATGAAGCAGTGGGAAAACCTGTGGAAAATAAATTGGAATTTTACAGCCTGTTACTCTCTGAGAGAGAATTTTCTGAAAATGCAGCATTGTTGGTATTTAACCCCCTGGAAATTGTCCAAGATGTTCAAAAATGTCTCTAATAATTGCTGGAGATGTAAAGAAAAGCCAAGTACTTTATTCCATATGTGGTGGCAGTGTAAAGAAATCAAGGTGTTTTGGGAGGATATCCACATAGAATTGGAAAAAATGTTAAAAATATATTTTAATAGGAAACCGGAAGCTTTCCTTTTGGGAATCACAGACTCAGATATTCCTAAAAAGGCTAGAGAGATCTTCTTATATGCTACGGTCGCAGCAAGAGTTCTCATTGCGGCAAACTGGAAAAGCGATAAAGTCCCGTCAAGATTAGAATGGATTCGAAAATTGGCCGAATATGCTGAATTAGATAGCATGTCAGAAAAGATAAAAAATAAACCAAAACAGTTATTTATCTCAAAATGGGAAGTTTTTAAAATATATTTGAAAAATAATAGTAGTAGTTTAAGGTCATACACAGCTTTCAAATAATTTCAGTAGCAGTGTTAAAAATGTGGAAAAACCAATGAATGGATCAAGGGATATTGAGATTGAACAAAACTCGTTATGCAGTGGCAGTGAACGATTAATACAGAATCTGTAATAAGGAATAGATGGGAAGTCTGGTAGGTAGAAAAAGATTTTATTTTATATTTTGAAGGTTACTAGTTGATGTACTAATTCTCTTTTTTTCTTTGGTGGCGATGGAAATTTATTCTCTTTTTCTGTATGGTGTGTTAATGTGAACGGTAACAATAAAATTTAATAAAAGGATAGAGCACGAGACTCTTAATGTCAGGGACATGGGTTCAAGCCCCACAATGGGCAAAATATTCCTGCATTAAAAGAGGTTGGGACTAGTTGAGCCTCATGTTCCCTTCCAGCTCTACAATTCTATAATTCTTGGCTATGAAGATTTGCAGCTTCAGTATTTTATTTCTATTTTTATAAGCCTGAATGGAACCAAACAAAAGGACAGTATAAACCAGAACTGGCTCCAGGTTTTGGAGGCCTCTCAGACAATATGGGCCCTTCCCTATGTGAATGGGGCCCATCTTCTCCTTGCCCCTGTCCCTGCTGCCCATTCACTTGACCTCTTCCTCTGGGCCCAACCTATGCAAACAAGCCACCAAGAAGGAAAACATAAGGCAATAAAAAGAGGCTGCTTCCTGTCATCAACTCTGGTCCTTCTTTGCATGTCTGGAGACTGGAAGTGAAAAACGTATTTATTTATTATAAGATTTGGAGCATGAGCAAGTGCCCAGCGATACTGACCCTCAACGCTAGCCCTGGTATATACTTTCAAATCGTAAAAAGACACAAGCAGCATTTGAATAGTTTTAGAAAGCACACCTGAAGCATGGGGGAGGGGCAAAATGAAGTAACTTCATATCTGAAGTGGAAACAAGTAGTGCCTTTCAACTGCAGTACAAAGGCAGGAAGAGAAGCTCACCTTGTGGGGGAGAGAAAGGTGCATGCTCCTGTTTTTAGCGATATCTGTATACGCTTTTTGCTGCTAGTTTCTGCTATGGGTTCTTAAAGCAGGGTGTGTGTGTGCGTGTGTGTAAAAACTCAGTCCTCCTAGTCCTTTAAGTCAAAAGAAACCAACACAGAAAAAGCAAACAAAGTAAATCTAGATAGGCGAACAAACAGCTTCACTGGGTTTAAGTCAGAGTCTACTTTTGAAGGATATCTTGCAATCCCTTAGTTTCCATCAGAGCAGTTCTGCCACAAGAGAGAAGGGCTAGTATATTATGACACAAAGCTGTGTTTCCGTTCCACCACTCGGGCATTTCTTTGCCTCTGGATGAAAATGTGTGTTTGAAGCCTTTGCTCAAGTCACCTGTGACTCTCTCCTGACAAGGCTGCTGTGGTCTGGATTGTGCTTGTATGGCTTGATCTGAGGTCGGAGGTCGGAGGGCAGATGGTCCTGCCTCTTGACCTTTGATCATTCTAGCACTTCGATTCCATAACTGATGAAAGGCTCCTCCATCATATTCCCAGGCAGAACAGAAATCTCTCATTTTTAAAACAACATCCATCAACATGAGGCAATAATGATTATAAACTGAGCAACTTAAGGTGGCGTATCACATGTAGGTCCATGAAAGTAAAGGTAAAAGGTAAATATTTGATTAATTTATAAACACCATTTGACATTTCGGCAAAACATTAATTCAACGGGTGTTTTACTCAAGATAGACCTATTGAAATTAATGGACCTAACTTAGTCACGTTCCCTAATTTCAGTGGGTTTACTATGAGTAAAACTTAGTTCAATACCACCCCAAAATGTTTGAATCTCTTACAGTGTGTGCCATGTGGCAGCCTATGTCAACACGGCAATTATATATGCTATAAATATTGTATTCTACATCAGGCAATAAAAAAGAAAAGAAAATATATTTGTGCAACAATGAAGAGGTAATAAATAAGCTTTGACAGAAGGCAGAGGAGCGTAGAGAAGAAGAGCCCCAGCTTAGAGACTCCATGGAAGCCGAGTGGTCCAGGCAAGAAAACCACCCAGTCTCTTTGCGAACATCCTGACTCCCATGAACATCCTGACTCCCATGAAGTACACAGGTAGAATGGCCTCCCTTTGCCACCTCCACACACCAAGACACAAAAGCTTGCCAGATCCCATGCAGCAGCTATGCACAGAATCATTTCATTTTGGTATTTTGAGTCTTAGGGTTGCAGGAATTGCATATACAGCAGCATGCCGCTCTTACTTTCCAAAATGCGGGTGGGGGTGACGGCAATTCAGAACAAGAGACAGTGTCCCCTGGCAGTGTTCCCTTCCACACACGCTTTGCAAAACACCATCACACACCTTCACCAACAGGTTGCTCTTACCTGTCATATATGGGGCCTTTGAAAGTTGGGTCATATTTTTGGGGTGTCCCTAGGGGGGGGAAAGAGAAAGAATATATGTATTAAGTTAAGCAATTACAGAAAGCAGGAACAGGATAATTGTGAAATATATTTATTTTAAGTACATCCATCTTCTGGGATGTTCTGAGGTGGAAGCCCCACTAAAATGAACAGGACCCTGCCTTCTAAGCAGTGTGTGAGAGGAAGAGGGGTATTACATCATTATTTCAGGAACCTGGACAGCACTGAGGTTTTGCAAATGTGATAACCATCTTTTCAGTGAGCTGGACCACCACTTCCTCTCCTGGCACCTCAACCTTTTAACAGCTGTGCAACTTTAAAGGAACAAAAGACCTGGATAAGAGAAGTCAAGTCTTCTGCATTATTCTAGGACAGATACCAGACAGTAAGGAAGGCAGGGCTTCTGAACCTGGAATATTTCTGTAGTAAGACATGGAAATTGTGGCAGGTGGAGATCATAGTACCTTAGTACATCAGAGGTGAAAAAAGCTGCTGCCAACATTCCTCCTTCTGTAGAATAAAAATTTGTACACAGTCCACCAACCACAAATTTCCACAGACTCACTGATGGGCTAAACTTCTTCCATCTGCTGTCCCTTGCCTCCAGGAACAACTTAGCCCCAGTCTCTCATCTGTGAAGTTTGCTCATCCACCACCTTCAGAGCTCACACTTTGTCCAAAAACACCGTTGTATATTTCTCCCCTTGATTTCATTGTTTTATCTTTTTGTAAACCGCTTTGAGGTTTTTCACAATCAGGTGGCGTAATGCCTTTTATGAAATAAATCAATAATAAATAAGAGCCTTTCCATACAAACCCCAGCCCATGTCCATGCAATTCGATTTGTCAGTCTAAGCCATAATTAGGCAAACTAAGGCCCGGGGGCCGGATCCGGCCCAATCACCTTCTAAATCCGGCCCGTGGACAGTCTGGGAATCAGTGTGCTTTTACATGAGTAGAATGTGTCCTTTTATTTAATATGCATCTCTAGGTTATTTGTGGGGCATGGGAATTTGTTCATTCCCCCCCCCAATATAGTCTGGCCCCCCACAAGGTCTGAGGGAGAGTGGACTGGCCCCCTACTGAAAAAGTTTGCTGACCCCTGGTCTGAGCTCTCTCATTTCTCTCCCCTCCGTTGCCTCGGGACCCTCAGCAGTTGCTATAGTCCAGTCCCAAACAGCCTGAAAGTCTAAGGCATACACCCTGCGCCCAGCTAGTCTATTGCACTGAGTCACCCTATAAGCTCCTCTCCCTCCCTCTTGGTTAACCGACAGGGAGGGTAAAAAGAGGGAGAGGAATCATCCCAGCCAAAAGCAAAGCAATAGCTATGGGGATGCCCTGTCACTGCGCACCAGAAGCAGGAAGGGAAATGGGGGAATCTCCTCCTACACAGAAGCAGCAAAATTCTTTGCAAATTTGGAGAAGAGTAAGCCACTTAGGATACGCTCCTACACAGATAGACAAAGGAGTAGGTGAAGCAGGGAGTCTGTGTTTCAAAGCTAAGCAAGTGAATAATCCCAGGAATAGCTGCAGAACAGGTTCTCTGCTGGTGGTTCCAGGCTGTTACTGGAAATTTTCAGAGAGAGAAACACACACAAATATCTCTCAACGAGGGATTCTCATCAGAACTACACCTTAATCTGTGTTTAGCCAGGAAATGGTCTTCGATAGCTATCCTCCAGAACACATTTTTATTCATTTATTTAAATGTATAACCTACCCTATCGTATGGGTTTGGGGGCAAGTGATAAATGAAGTAATGGTAAGGAAGAGAAGGCCTCTCCTCATGTGCAGAGTTCCTCTTCCACACTGGAAAGCCAAAACCACAAGCCTTCACACATCATGGGTTAATGGCAAGCTCATCTTCTAGGTATGCCTTCTGGTGCAGACTGGAGCACCTCTCAATTTAGAAACTGGAGTGATCCCCACCTCCTTCACCCCAACTGAACTTTCCCAGCCCAGCAAACAGTCACTCCTTTCATCCACAGGCTGCAATGCCTCCCATTCACCAAATAAGATTTCTCTGGTTAGACACCAACCAATGAAGCAAAATACTTTTCTCTATACCAGCATAGACTCCCCGGCCGAAAAGCCCTGGAATCATTGCAAAACCTCAGATATTATTCTCTGCTATAAAGTGCATCTGCACGACAGCCCTGAGGTTCCAGGAGAAACAGACAGGCTGGTGGTAAAGGCAACATCTTTTTTTACTCCCAGTTGCACTTTCAGTAGGTACAGGCCTCCTCTGTCATCACTACTATTGCCTCCCCTTTGCAAAGGCCCTGCTGCAAATAGAGATGGGAGTCTTGCCAGCCTAATTTTACACCCTCTAAAATGGCATCATGTCCCCCACCCACCCTGACTCAAAAGGGGGAAATTCTGAGTAAGCTGAAGTTCATTGTTCAAGATTCTTAAATCAGGTATTACTTTAGAATGCAAATAAAATGCAGTATGGTTTTTCACAACACACATCCTTATGATTCTTTTCAAGTGGGGATTGGGTTTGGATATTCCTCAAATTTCAATTAAAAGCAACCCCTATGGACAACTGATATCATTTCCTGAAGCAGCCTTAACTCGCCACTTTAGCTGGGCAACTGTGAACGCTGCCCTTTGCTTAGAATGGCTTCCTTATATGTAATATTGGGCAAAATACAATACGAGCATCCCAGGAAAATGACTGGAGACACCAGGGCTAGAGGTAAGGTCAGATATTCAACTGTTCTATTGATTTCTTTCAACAACTCTCTTGTTTCATTCTGCCAGAGTATTCACTGCCAATGCAGTTCCAGCAAATGCATCCTCTCCATGCTGGAGGAAATTCTTGGTTCGGTTCCCATTATATGTGGCTTTGCATATACACCTCCTCCTGTCCTGGGTGGAAAACTCCATTTCCACAGGTCTCCAAGAAAACACAGGTTTCAGGGAGAGGCAGAAAGGGACACACAGTTTTCCACTTCAGCTTTGCATTTCAAAACGGCCGTTCTATTTCAGGGGAGTTTGGGGGACTTTGCAGAAAGGAAGTTGGGCACATCCCTGAGAACTACAGCCACTAGTCATTCCTTCCACCCCGATTCAAGGTTTCATACAGAATACAAGTGTGGCACAAAATTAGCCTGGGGCTGATCTTAGCATGAGCCACAAAGGAATTATGGACTGGCACCACTCTCAGCCAGTGAAGGGAAGACTGGAAGATATCCAATTTTCCCTGTTAGGAAAGGCGGGTTGGAGACTGATGAGTGATCTGCTCATTTAACTTCTGGTGGGATGATTGCCAAGGGTAATCAAATAGACTTGAGTTCCGAAGTATGTCCAGAAGAAAAAGTCGCTTCCACTTCAGCATCTTTGCCCCCACATAGTAGCCATAATGTGGTAAAAGAAGTCCTGGAAGACTTACCGGTCGGTACTTGAAGTCTCCCCAGGTAGCCAATATTTATTTTATTTTATTATTTTATTTATTTAACAAAATTACTTTCCGCCTACTCACAAGCAGAAAAACGGTTGACAAAAATTAAGGCAAAGTTAAAAATGGTTGTTTTTTTTTAAGAAATCAAAATATAATTAAAACCAACAGCTAAAATGAATTAAATTCACTTGCAACAATGTAGTCTGGATGAACAAATGAATTCAGCACAAGGGCTAGTATGGAAGTAATCCCATGGAAAATAACTTTATACTAAGGGTTTGGTGGTAAGATAAGGCTAAGATAAAGCACAACGTCCTCGGCTATGTTGTGGAGAAGAGAGTACAAAATATTCTATTAGACATTTGGGGTGAGCAGGAGATTATTCTGATGGACATCTAACACCATCAGCCAGGCTTAAAGACTGTGCTTTATCTTGGGGGACAAATGCTCAAGAAAATGGTTCAGTGTTAGGGAGGAAACGCCCTTCAATATTTCTGATGCAGAACACTTTGTTTTCAGATGAGGCATGCATTTGCCACAGAGGTATCAGAAAAGAGATTTCTCCTGGGTGTGAGAAAAGGCAGAATCTGCCTCTTTCAAGATACGCAAAAGTCACCTGTCAATTTTATAAGCATGGACATATATTTAAACCTGCTGCTCAGTTCATCTGGGGCACTTTTTAAAGTTGTTTTAAATGTTCCAATTAATTAATCTGGCCAATGAATTGATTGCTGCAGTCCCAATTACCTCCTTGGGAGAAAAGGTGTTATATATAAAAGTAAACAACAAACAAACAAACAAACAACACTGTCACTGTTTCTCCATGGGCAATTCCCAGAGAACATGTGAAGGGGGAGACTTTATTGCTACTATCAGGATACTTTGTTCCAGGTGCCTATGGAAAAATGGTTGCCGTTTAAGTGCTGAATTCCCTCCCCACTCCAGTATTATTATTACATTATTATTATTATTATTATTATTAGCCAGGAGTACATCAGCCAGAGGAGGGAGTTGGGATAAGCAAAGGGGCTGGTGACTGTGTGGGTTTGTGTATATATACATATTGTGTCTCGCCAGAGTGGTGCATGCTCTAGTTATCTTCCGCTTGGACTACTGCAACGCGCTCTACGTGGGGCTACCTTTGAAGGTGACCCGGAAACTGCAATTAATCCAGAATGCGGCAGCTAGACTGGTGACTGGGAGTGGCCGCCGGGACCACGTAACACCAGTTCTGAGAGATCTGCATTGGCTCCCAGTACGTTTCCGAGCACAATTCAAAGTGTTGGTGCTGACCTTTAAAGCCCTAAACGGCCTCGGTCCTGTATACCTGAAGGAGCATCTCCACCCCCATCGTTCAGCCCAGACATTGAGATCCAGCGCCAAGGGCCTTCTGGCAGTTCCCTCATTGCGAGAAGTGAGGTTACAGGGAACCAGACAGAGGGCCTTCTCAGTAGTGTCGCCTGCCCTGTGGAACGCCCTCCCTTCAGATATGAAGGAAATAAGCAGCTATCTTCTCTTTAAAAGACATCTGAAGGCAGCCCTGTTTAGGGAAGTTTTTAATATTTAATGTTGTATTGTTTTTAACACTTGATTGGAAGCCGCCCAGAGTGGCTGGGGAAACTCAGCCAAATGGGCGGGGTATAAATAATAAATTATTATTATTATTATATTATTATTATTATATAAAATAAAAAAAATCCTTCCAGTAGTACCTTAGAGACCAACTAAGTTTGTTATTGGTATGAGCTTTTGTGTACATGCACACTTCTTAAGATACGAAAGCTCATACCAGTAACAAATTTAGTTGGTCTCTAAGGTGCTACTGGAAGGAATTTTTTTTATTTTGTTTCGACTAAGGCAGACCAACACGGCTACGTGTGTGTGTGTGTGTGTGTATATATATATATATATACACACACACACACACACACACACATATGTATACATACAGTACACGGCCAACAGTTTGTAGTTCTTTAGCCTTGCAGGGACATCCTGGTTCCCTTCCCCATAGCTAACCCCTGGCTGCCCCCTACACATCCCTTCTGCTGGGAGTGCGCAAAGAGAGAACAGCGGCGCGTAGTTTTGGAAGCATTCTTTCCGGAACTCGCAAGTTTCTCTGCTTAGACCGGGCGCGCGTTTTCGGCAGGGGAGGCGGCGGCTCGCCGACATTCCTCCCCGGCTACTGCGCTCCCCCCGGACTCCCAGAAGGCGCCTGCGTTCCAGAGCAGCTTCGCAGCCCCGCTGGGGATAGCAATCCGGTTTAAGGTTACGCGGAACTGAGCGCCCGGTGGTGCGCCCCGCCGTAAGAGGCGCGCACCCACGGCCGGGAGGACGCGTGGATCAGCGGGAGTAGTATTTTTAGTAAGCCCGTTTCCTAACCTCCACTCCAGAGGCGCAGAAAGAAACTGCACCAGCAAGGACTTAAAATTGCCCGGAGGCGCATTGGGGGCGTCCCTAGCCCGAGAGGAGAGGAAGGGGCTCTTCCCTTCTTCGCGCCCTCCCCGCACCCACTGGAATTATTATTATTTATTCGGTAGCTGAACTAGTTCCCCCTCCCCCTGCCCCATTGATTGAACCGACGCGTTTGGCGCCAGCTGCCTCTTTCTGCCCAGAATTTGGACTTGCTGGGTGGCCGGTCTTAGACGGGAGGGACGGCGGTGCGCGCTCCAACCCGGGTTGCACAAACAGCATCTGGCGCAGCTCGCGCTTTGGGGCACCTCGGGGAGACGCCGCCAAGGCCGAGCTGCCTTGCGCCCCAAGGCCCAGCCCCGCCTCGAGGGTTTGCAGCTTCCCGATGGTGGACGCCGAAGCCCCCTTAGCGGGGCTGCGCGTGGCCACCTGCTGCCCGCACTCCCTTCCTCCTCGCAGGGCTCAGGGGTGGCAGCTCGGCGGCCTTACCATGCTTGCCATAGTAACTCTCCTCTTCCCTCGCCATCCCAGCCGAGTTCCCTCCTGCTCGCTGGCTTGCTTTCCTTCTTTCTCTCCTTCTCACACTCTCTCTCTCTCTCTCTCTCCTCCCTCCTTCCCCAGTCAGCTGCTGATCAACCGCCCAATGAGGCGCCTAGGGGGCCGAACTGGCCAAACCTGTAAAATACATTTGGAGGAAAGCAAAAAAGAAAAAAAAAAGGAGGCACGCCCTTGCCTTGCAAAGAGCCGGCTCGGCCGAGGCTTCTTTATTTGCAAATAAAGTATTCGGAGGCGCCTTTCCACCCACCCCAATCCAGGAACTGTTACAAAAAAGCAGCAGAAGCAGCGGACCGGAGGAAAGCTGCCTCCGGGAGACCCTCTCCGGATCAAAGACGCCCCGCCCCAAGCCTTTTTGCACAAGGGAGGCGTTGCACGTGCGACTCGCTTCTCCATAACCAACAGGGTTGCTCCCTGTTCACTGAGCTGCTCAGAAAGAACGCCTTAAGTTCAAGACAAGAAAAAGAAAGCCAATCCCGACAAGGTGGGTTGTGGGGGCGGCGGCACTGGGCTTAAATATTTTTCCAGCAACCAAGCTCACTGTGTGACCTTCGAGTAGGTAAACTTTCTCAACCAAGTAATTGCCTTGAGCAATCTGGAACAAATATTATGTCAGGCTAGCAGTCTAAAGAATGCAAGGCTCCCTCTGTTGGGCACCTGATCTTCCCTTCTGCCTCTCTCTTTCCACTTCCAAGCTACACTCACTCACTCACATACTTTGCCCCAGGCCTGGTTCCCACAGCCACCACTCACACACCTACAGCTTCTACCTAACCAGGGGGCCAGGATGCACTAGTATGGCACTAAGCAGGCGCCTTGAGTTCATCACAGTTGCAATGTGTGTAAGGGTTTGTGTAAAAAGGTAAAGGACCCCTGACAGTTAAGTCGAGTCGCTCATCTCGCTTTACAGGAGGGAGCCGCGTTTTTCTGGGTCATGTGGCCAGCATGACTAAGCCGCTTCTGGAAACCAGAGCAGCGCACGGAAATGCCATTTACCTTCCCGCCGGAGAGGTACCTATTTATCTACTTGCACTGTTTGGCGTGCTTTCGAACTTCTAGGTTGGCAGGAGCTGGCACTGAGCAACGGGCGCTCACCCTGTCGCAGAGATTCGAACTGCCAACCTTCTGATCCACAAGCCCAAGAGGCTCAGTGGTTTAGACCACAGCGCCACCCGCGTCCCCTAAGGGTGTGTGTACATCAGTGTATTATTTCTCAAACTTGTGCCTCCTGCTGTTGCTGGACTACAACTCCCATCATCCCTAGCTAGCAGGACCAGTAGGGATGATGGGAGTTGTAGTCTGACAACAGCTGGAGGGCCAAGTTTGAGAAACGCTGCTGTACATTTATGTGTGGGCTGCAGCCCATGGGTTGGAGACATGCAGCAAGATGAAGGAACAAGCCCAATGTGGGCTGCCAGCAGTGGGCAGGTCTGTGTTTCCAGCCACTCTCTTTTTCATCCACACTGTGTATACCACTTGCTAGAAACCACTGTAGTGCTTGGATCCCGCTTGTGGGCTTCTCCTGGAATGGCCACTGTGATTGCTAGAGGAGATGGGCCGCTGGCTTGATCCAGCAAAGCTCTTCATATGTTCTTAGGGCAGTTTCCAGGATTTGCTGCTCCTTAAATTGTCAAGCACTACGGGGTGAGCTCCCATTGCTCGGTCACTGCTCCTGCCAACCTAGCAGTTCGAAAGCACATCAAAGTGCAAGTAGATAAACAGGTACCGCTCCGGCGGGAAGGTAAACGACATTTCCATGTGCTGCTCTGGTTCGCCAGAAGCGGCTTAGTCCTGCTGGCCACATGACCCGGAAGCTGTACAATGGCTCCCTTGGCCAATAAAGCGAGATGAGCGCCGCAACCCCAGAGTCGGTCACGACTGGACCTAATGGTCAGGGGTCCCTATACCTTTACCTTACTGGAGTTGGAGATGTCATTGGCTTAAGTTGTAAAACTACCATAAACATACCAGATGAACAGTGCTAGGATGCCTTTTCATGAAATTAACCCAAACCAACAATTAGGACTGGGAAAATCCAATGGACTCAGCATGCTGAGACACTTAGAAATTTGCACTGACACCTAAGAACATCACCCAGGAATCTGAAACACATTCCAGCCCTGCACCTAATAATACTCTTCCACATTTGTTATGTATGCAACTTCTGAGCCTGGTAAACGCTTCTCACATGTTTTGTGTAACCCTTACAACCACACTGTGTGTAAAGGCCAGCATTGCTATCCTTGTTTTGCAGATAGTGGGGACTGGCAGCTGGGAGATAACAGCTTGCTTCAAGCCATCCACTGAGTTTCTGGTAGAAGTGAAAGTTGCCCCAGGCACTTCCAGAACTGTAGCCGTTTGTGTGTGTGTGTGTGTGTGTGTGTGTGTGTGTGTTCCTCGTTAACTAAAGCACATCATTGTCTCTTTCTTCAGGTTGCATATTCTACAGATCAGTTACACTCAAGGTCTCTAAAAAAAGGTAAAGGTAAAGGACCCCTGGATGGTTAAGTTCAGTCAAAAGTGACTGTGGGGTGCAGTGCTCATCTCTCTTTCAGGCCGAGGGAGCCGGTGTTTGTTGGCAGGAGCTGGGACAGAGCAAACCGCCAATCATTGGCAAGCCCAAGAGGCTCGGTGGTTTAGACCACAGCACCACCCACATCCCATAAGGCCTCCAGGTCTCCACACCACCGTTAATAGGTGTTATCCTCAAACTGTATGTAAAGGCAACAGCCATGCACTACACGAGGGGTTGATGTGAGCTTTGGGGATAAAAATGAAGTGGCCACCCATCCCATGCCTCTTGGGATAGTTTGAGCCCACCCCTCTCTCTTATTGCATGGACAATGGCAGCAGCGGGGTGGTGGAGGTGTTAAGAATGCCTTGGAAGTTCCTGATGCAACCTACACTACAGCTAACAAGCACACGGGGTGTGGGCTAGAAGTTTCTCCTCTAGTGGAGGAAGGGAATCTGAATCCCCTTCCTCTCTACATTTTGTTGTTGTTGTTTAGTAGTGTCTGACTTTACATGACCCCATGGACCACAGCATGCCAGGCACTCCTGTCTTCCACTGCCTCCCACAGTACTTATCACAGTTTGCATCACCACTGCTTAGAAGGCACAATCTTATATCTGAAACCTGTTTGGCTGGGCAAAGGGGAGGTGGGATGTCAGCCCTGGGCTGTCTCATAGTTGCAAGGGGACTGCCAGCCCATTATTCTAGAAACAGACTGAGAAAGTATATCTGCATGTTTCTGAAGGCGAGGGTGAAGCGTGTTATCTAATTTTAGATAACCTGTGTCTCAGGTATGAAAACAGCAAGGAAACATCCATCTTAGGAGGCCTTGGTGCCTGGGGCAGCAATCAAAGCAACCCACAGTCGGCTGCAATGATGGGATGGCATATGCTACCATGCTGGGAATGTGTTAGCTGATCATTTATTTATGAAACATATGTATCTCTCTGGGGGTAGAACTGTATGGCAGGAAATGCCCAGCCCTCCTGGCCCAAATTCTGTCAACAGCTCTGCTTCTGATTCCTGATTTTGGGGCTGGGGGAGTGCTTTGAGGAGGGGCTGCTCTTGATCAAGGGCTAGGCAACCTGAACCTTGTCTGTAACTTTAAGAACTGTCGCTTGGGCTTGCTTCCTCCCTCCTATTCCTTTCTCCTCACCTGTCATGTCTTTCTGGATTGTGAGCCTGAGGGCAGGGATTGTCTTATTTGACTGCTTTCCCCCCTAATCCACACCTTTCTGGCTAAAGGGCAGGGTATAAATGCTGCAAGTACGTAAGTAAACAAATAAATAAAAGTCACTTTTATGTAAAATGAAGCACAGAAAGAGACTAACATAAACAGTAATACCATTAAAACAGCTAAAACTACCAATGTTGAAGGATTCTATTAATACAAAACAGCAGCAGGAACTTATTAGATTCTGAGTTTCCAATAAAAAGGAAAAGCTACAGTAAACCAAAGACTTTCCCATGACATTAAACACAAGCAAGGAAGTGACTTTGCAGATCCACTTGGGGGAGAGGATTCTAAGGCACAGAAGTCTTTCACTGCAGAAAGAGCTTCTACTTTGTGTCCAGAACATGAGTAAAGCCCTGCTCTCTAACCAAAGGGGGCAGGGAGGAATCTTAAGAGAGGACAGCCAGGTGAACCTTGCGGTACCCACCAAAACTAGGCAACTTCACCCAGTCCTTAAAAAGAAGGGTTTCTCCATTTAGTTTGAACAACCAACTGCAGCTGCAATGTGCCTCCTTCTTCTTAATGCAAATAGCAAGTGCAGGAAAGAAGAGTCAGGACAGGTCAATCTGCAGCACAATTTTCAGCCACTGAAAAAGGAAGTTATTCTGCTATGAAAAAGTTCTATTGTCAGAGGACCCAGAGGGCTCAGCTTCATAGGAAGCACCCATTAGCCCAAAGTAAACATTGCTGGGAACAGCTCCCAGTTTCCATTCATCTTGTTTCATAGCCACTTACAGATGAGCCTTTGGATACATTTTCCCAGTCTTTTTCTGACCGTTCTTAATCTGGTGGTGCTGTGGGTTAAACCACAGAGCCTAGGACTTGCCAATCAGAAGGTCGGTGGTTCGAATCCCCGCGATGGGGTGAGCTTCCGCTGCTCGGTCCCTGCTCCTGCCAACCTAGCAGTTCAAAAGCACATCAAAGTGCAAGTAGATAAATAGGTACCGCTCCGGCGGGAAGGTAAACGGCGTTTCCGTGCGCTGCTCTGGTTCGCCAGAAGCAGCTTAGTCATGCTGGCCAAATGACCTGGAAGCTGTACACTGGCTCCCTCAGCCAATAAAGCGAGATGAGCGCCGCAACCCCAGAGTCGGTCACAACTGGACCTAATGGTCAGGGGTCCCTTTACCTTTACCTATCCCTGACATTTGGTCCTACTGGCTGCAAGCCAATAGGAACTGTAGCCCAAAACATTTGGAGGGCACTAGATTGCTCCTTATTATCAATACAGACTGACAGAGGCTCTCCAGGGTTTCAGGCAAAAAATTTTCGTGTCCCAACCCAAGACACCAAGGACTGAACTCTGACATGCAGAGAATAAGCTCTACCACTGAGCCACAGCCTTTCCCCTCAGAGAGCCATCAGGCCAAGCGCTAAGCTATAACGCTTCCCCATATGAATTTTGTGGGCTACAGTTCACATCTTCTGAATATTTTAAAGGATTTACAGATTCAAAACTGCCTTTTTGGCCCCACAAAGCAACTCAAGACATGTATAAAATACAAATCAAGATACAAATAAAAACCATTTGCAATATCCATCTCCCAGTATAAAATATCATGCTATCTACTTTGCAAGCTTATGGGTTCATCCGCACTTCCGTTTGCCCTGCGCTTTCTAGTCATGGGTCCAAGAGGGTTTTCTCTTGTCCCATCAGTCTTGACCCATCAACCGTCAATCTGCAGAAAACCCAATTGACATTTCCAGCAATCAGCAGTGGGTTTTCCCAGGGAAAGTGATGGAACAAGAAGTCACAGACCAAACAGAAATGTGGATGAGCCCTGTGAAACCAGCACAAAAATAAAACAACAATAGAACTCAGCCAAACCTGGAATAACAGCCCTACTTTATATCAAGCTATGTGTATTAACAACAGCTTGAACTGCAGACATTGTCTCCTGCTAATGCTTATATTCACGCTGTGAATAGCTGCTTCTGTTGATTTTTGCTGTTAAAGGCCCAAGAGCAAGCCAGGGCTTTAGTTGATATCCTCTGCCTATCTTTTGGGAATGAGAACACACATGTTTGGGTCTCTACACTCCTGCTGACATCTCCTTTACTGGAGCAGGTGTGGCAGAAGCACTTCCTCAAAGAGCCACAACAACAAGAGTCCCAACCCCACTATCTATTTTTAGGAAGAACAGTTGGTTGCCCATCTCCCCCACCCTAGACTACCCAGGAAGTCAACTGACTTGTGTTGGGGCTCATAGCAACACCCATGAAGTAAACAGATTCATGCATCTTTTATTGTTTGTAAAACGCTACTTGTTAGGTGTCATTTGTGTAGATTGCTCGGACATCAACAATGCAGAACATGTAATAATTTTACCTTTACCTGTCAGTCCTACTGTACAAATTGGATAATTTGGCCAAGAGGCAGTGGATTACCCAGGGACACTCACCTACAGTTAAGCCATTTCTGTAACTGATCTAGCTGCAGGACTAAACTGACTCCTAGTGGCTCTCCTTCTTGGCCAACTCTTTTGCTTAGTCCCATGCACAGCATCAAACAAGCACAATCATTTGCTGTTAACTATGCTCATGCAGAAGGTGGCAGTGTATCCCTAAATAGCAGTTTCTAGAAATAAGGAGGGTGTGCTCAGGTCCTGCTCGCATTTCTGTAAGAGCAGGATGCTGCACCACTTGTCTTAGGCCTTTGACCTGATATAACAGGGATCTTTTTAAGTGCTTAGATGAGGCCTGACTTAATTACCTACAGGGCATAATTTGTTTTTAGAACCACTGTTCCTTGCTGGCTTTACACACTTAAGATACAAACCCTTATCAAGCCATTCTGAGATATTGGCACAAGAAGTTCTTAAACCAAGAGTCCCCATTGAGACAGCGATGGATACCATGGGAAATTCAAACACCTCGCTGAAACCCCCAATAATCCACTCTCATCCCAATGTTGTTATTCTTTAAAAATGAGGTTTTAGAACTTGTGGGGGTTGTTGTTGTGGGGGAGTGGGTGGCACTGTGGTCTGAACCACTGAGCCTCTTGGGCTTGCTAAGCGGAAGGTTGCTGGTTCAAATCCGTGCAACAGAGTGAGCTCCCATTGCTCTGTCCCAACTCCTGCCAGCCTAGCAGTTCAAAAGCACACCAGTGCAAGTAGATAAATTGGTACCATTGCGGCAGGAAGGTAAACACTGCTTCTGTGTGCTCTGGCACTTGTCACGGTGTCCCACCGCACCAGAAGTGGTTTAGTCATGCTGGCCACATGACCCGGAAAGCTGTCTGTGGACAAACGCCGGCTCCCTCAGCCTGAAAGCGAGATGAGCTCCACAACCCCCTAGTCACCTTTGACTGGACTTAACCATCCAGGGGTCCTTTACCTTTTTACCTGTTGTTCAGTTGTGGGGGGGCTGTTGGAGTCTTCTTTCAGTCTGTGTCTGTTTGTTTTGTCTGAGCATCACCCACTTTTCTTCTGCAACATAGGTATTTCTGATGCCCACAAGTTTATTAGAGTTCTACATGCAGCACCAGATTTATTTATTTTTTAAAAAAGAAGGTTGGGAATCCCTGTCTTAAACTGTCAGAGACGTATAATGTTCTTGTCTTAAGGCATGATTTGCAGGACTGGGCAGCAGATAGGATAAGCAAAGCCAGAAAGCGGATAGGGCACAGATGTGGCCCTCCATAAGTCACTGGACTCCAACTCCCATCAAACCCAGGGAATGGCCAATGGCTCTTGGAAACCAAGTGTGTCCACAGCCATCAATGGTAGAATAGTGTGAGGAAAGACAGCTGCCGCAGAAGAACCCCCTGCATCTGACCATGCAGCTATGAGCCAGCCCATGACTCACACACACCACTGGCGTCCACTAGTAAGAAAAAAATACCGGAAGTGAAGCAACAATGCCAGGAATTAGCAAACTCAAGGGAGGAACCTATGAAGAGAGCATCTGAGGAAACCAAAGGTTGGTACCATGGAAGACTAGGCGCTACTTCCTTCCTCACTTCCCTGAGCCAGGATATCTGATGGGCCACATCTGCCTCTCTGGGTTTGGACATCCTGTTGCTGCTGCATGGTAACTCCTTTTAAACCAGCTGCACCGGGTTAGCCCTAGCTGTCCTTCACCAAAATTCAACACGCACACCCTGCCTTTCAGCTTCTGTTCTACATCATTGTTGCGGCGCCCCCTGCAGCACCCTCTTGGCTTTGCGCCCAGTCTGGGCGAACCAGCTGCACTCGCCTAAATCTGCCTCTGCTCCCCAAAATCTCTGCTTAAGCCAGGCTTCCTCAACCTTGGCCCTCCAGATGTTTTTGGCCTACAACTCCCATGATCCCTAGCTAGCAGGACCAGTGGTCAGGGATGATGGGAATTGTAGTCTCAAAACATCTGGAGGGCCAAAGTTGAGGAAGCCTGGCTTAGGCCCTTCCACCGGAGTCCACTTGGATAGTTCCGTCTCCCTTGGTCCTCTCTACCCTGCTCCAATGGGAACTTCAACAAGGCTAGAGAATGCAGTGTTTGACTCTAGGGTCTTGTATGCCAAGATTATTTTATCTGTCTGAGTTACAATCCTTCTGGAAATCCACAAAATGGGCATCCACACTCGGCCCAGAATCCTGCCTTGCCACCCCTCTTGGCACTGCATGTTCTCACCATGTGGGTCAAGTCGCCCAACAAAGGGATAGCGAAGGCAACAGGTGAGTAGAAGAGAAAGTCAAGGACCACTTCAAGAGGCATTAGCAGCCATGGTAGCTGGAGGCAAGGAAGGATGGAGGGGCAAGCTAAATGTGATGGTAGAACCCAGAACCCAGGGTGCATCCCTACAAAGCAGAGAGGGACAAACGAGAAGGCCCATGGCGGGGGAAGCCATGTCCCTCCTCCACTCCACAAATGCTTTTAAGCCTAGCAGGGGATACATCCAGGAATGGTGTCTCACCAAAGAAACACAGCTTGGGGGCGAGTATCAGTTTCCATGGGGAAAGTATGAGTCAGGGGAAATATTGAGCTCCTCCATTCTTGCTTGCCAATGCTCTGCCTCAAAGCTCTACCCACTTTTCCAGCCCTGCTTTGTTGGGAATCAGCAGCAGCCCAACACTGACACACAGGGTGTCTTTTTGGCCCCAAACTGCATGAAGATTCTGTGGCTACAGACAATGCAGCTTGTTGTCTATATGGCACAAGCTCTGTGACATTAAAGCTCTCTCTCTTTTTTTAAGTCCTTGTACTTAGGAGAAACGTGCACCACGAGAGCAACTTCAACCAGTCACAAATGATACAAGTGTAAAATCAAACACTTTCAGGAAAACCCGGTAGGTATCAGACGAACACACTGCAAATTTCTATTTTGCTGCTTGCAAACAGAATGCAAATTTCACATGTGCAAATGTCGAAGTTTCAGCTGCTTTCAACATTCCCAAACTCTCCAACCCATCTGGAGGCGGCAGCTTCCTCCTCCTGGGAGGGCAGGAGAAGAGCCGTCCCACACACTTGTCACGAGGCTGACAAAACAGATGAGGAACTAAATGGAAAATGGCTTAGCTAATTAAAAGGAGCAAATGTGCTTCTAGACAGCTTTTAAGGCTTTTATCGGCCGCTCAGCCAGGATCAAAAGACCCACCAATTGCTTGATGGAGGCCTTTGCTGGTTCTAACAACTACTCCAGGTCTTCTTGGCACACTCCTTGTGCCAAATCACAGGGAGAAAGCTCTGTAGTCTCACTGAAGGTGTAAGGAAAGAGAAGCAGAGGGTGTAATTCTTGCAGCTGTATATCAGAGACCTGCAACTAGACCACCTAGATTCTTTTTCAAAGCTGAAAAGCAATCAATGGGGTGCAGAGCGAGGAGCAGACTAAATTGGACCCATTTCCCACATCAAAATCCTCCCTCCTAACCACTCAGAACTTGCTGTTAGTTTATCTTGAGAGATAACTCTGGGGGGATGGTTTTGATTGGGAAAACAGCAAGGGGAGGAGCTAAAATGCATCTCTGCTATCACTATTCCATTTGCTGCTTTAATACAGTGGTGCCTCGCAAGACGAAAATAATCCGTTCCGCGAGTCTCTTCGTCTAGCGGTTTTTTCGTCTTGCGAAGCAACCCTATTGGCGGCTTAGCGGATTAGCGCTATTAGCGGTTTTTAGCGGCTATTAAAGGCTTAGAGGCTTAGCGGCTAAAAGGCTATTAGCGGCTTAGTGGCTTAGAAAAAGGGGGGGAAAGCGAAAAAAATCGCAAGACTCGCAAGACATTTTCGTCTAGCGAAGCAAGCCCATAGGGAAATTCGTCTTGCGAAGCGCATCGAAAAATGGAAAACCCTTTCGTCTAGCGGGTTTTTCGTCTTGCGAGGCATTTGTCTTGTGGGGCACCACTGTATTTGAAAAGGATTCCAGCTGTCACATCAAGCCCTGTTTTTGTTGTTATTATTATTATTTACTGAATTTATATACCACCCTATATAAATTCAGGGTGGTTCAGGAAGCATTGTTCCACCAGATTACCGATGATGTTAAGAAGCAACAGCTGCTGAAATTCTCATTTTGAGACAAGGTGGATAAAAATCAATGATTTTTAAAAAATAATAATTAAAAAAACGGATTTTCTTTATTTAAATCGGATTCTTAAAATAAAATGCTTTTGGAGGAAAAAATCTTTCTAAAGATAGTTTTCTATTTAACTTACATTATAGTCCAAAGGCGCTATCCCCACAACACCTACTCGCTATGGGCCCTACTAAAGCAAACAGTCTAATTGGTCAACGTCTTAAAGATATCGAGCATCAGAACAACCTGGCCACTATAAGGAAATTCTGCCCTTGGTATGTTCATTTTCCACCTTTCCGTTTTGATTCTCTGGCCCCTTATCTACACAAACTTATTATCCCAAAATACAGACGTGCTTTTACACTTGCAAGACTGGATGTTTTGCCATCTGCAATACTTGAGGGCTGATTCCAAAAGATCCCGCCTGAGAAACGTCTTTGCCCCTGTGGAGACGGTAGCACCAAAACAGTGGCACACGTCTTCCTGTCTTGCACTCTCTACAAAGACCTGAGGAACTAGAGCATCACCCCACTGGTACTAACCATCTCAGGGCGCTCAGTCACTGCCACAATGTCCTTTCTTCTATCAGATCAAAATGAGCAGATAACAGCAAAGGTTGCTAGGTTCATAGCAGGGGCAATCAGAATGAGGGCCACTAACTGACAGCTGATTCAGGACTTTAAATTGTGCTCTTATATCAAATTCCCCTTTCTGCATATACTGTAATGTTTTATTGTTGCTATGGCTATTGGCTAATACGAATGAAGTTTTTATCTATCCATCTTGTTGCTGTTGCTATAGTCCAAAGGCTATTCATCAGCAAATAAGGATTTGTTTTAAGTTTTCTATGTGTGCTAAAACTCAGTCTTAAGTGTTTTTAAAAAACGAAAACAAAAAACCCGTTGAACCACATCAGTTAACAAACATGGATACATGTACTATAATGTTATTGTTTTAGTTAAATAAATTGTTTAAATTGTTACTAATGATTATTTTTCCTTCCAATGAAATACAGCAGAAAAGTTGTCCAAATATAAACAGTTAACTTATTGAACCTCACAATAATTTCATAATTATCTGTCTTATGTATTTCTAATAGTATAACCAAATCAATAATTTTTGATATAACTGTAAAAACTAAATCAAGTCTTACTGACTAGTGTTTTGAATCGTGATTTAAATCGATTTGATTTAAATCAAATCCACCCTGTTTTGAGATCATGAATAAAGGCCCAGTTTAGGGTCCTCTATGGAGCCTGCCAACCCAGTCTCAGAAGAGACAGCACAAGACAAGGGTTTCTGGATGTCTCAGTCTTGTTTCTTTGTTTGCTTGAGGTCAAGAGGCCACTGGGGGACAGGTGCAATGGGCAAAGAGAGGCATTAAGCATCCTGCTGTACACAGGCCAGCTGGCAGACCTGACCAGGGGGCACTTTTGTTTCTTCTTCAGTGCCAGGACTCAGCAATGAGTGAGTGCCTCTCAGCACTGCACCTCCCCCTGCCAGAGAGCAATGGCAACCAGCTCCCTTGCATGCAAGAACTGGAAGCCCAGCATCTCATTCCCTGAGTCAGGCTTGAGGCGGGGCACCTCGCTCTTTTAAGAAACTCTCCTTCCTATCTTTTCTTCTCCTGTTTTTACTTGAGAAACTGCTTCTAGGTGGCACACTATAGGGCAAGCTACACATGGTGCCAAGGTACAGTATAGCAGTTTTCCCCTGAGGTGTTTTGTTGTGGGTACAAAACGCAGCCTCTAACGCTGCAATCTGGAATGGACACATCCATTGGTGGGCCAAGGGGCTGCTTTGCAATCTGTTCCCTTCCAGCAATTTCTCTGCTGAAAATCAACCTCCCCAAGCTGCTTTTTCTCCCTTGTGGGAAAAGCAGCTGGGGCTGATTTCAGCTAAAAACTGCCAGTAGTGAAAGGGTTAAAGGCAGTCTCTCTCTCTCTCTCTCTCTCTCTCTCTCTCTCTCTCTCTCTCTCCCCCCTTCCTTTCTCTCTCCCTCTCCTCTCCTCCCCTGCCTCAATGCTCCTTTTCTATTTTTTAAAATGCTTTTAAATGAGAGTCAGTGTGATGTAGTACTTAGCACATGGGTAGGCAAACTAAGGTCCGGGGGCCGGATACCAGCCCAATCGCCTTCTCAATCCGGCCCGTGGACGGTCCAGGAATCAGCGTGTTTTTACATGAGCAGAATGTGTCCTTTTATTTAAAATGCATCTCTGGGTTATTTGTGGGGCATAGGGATTCGTTCATTCCCCCCCCCAAAAAAAATATAGTCTAGCCCCCCACAAGGTCTGATGGACAGTGGACCGGCCCCCTGCTGAAAAAGTTTGCTGACCCCTGGCATGTTGGACTAGGACCCGGGAGACCAAGTTTTGAATCCCCACTCAGCCATGATCACCTGCGACCAAGTGAAGATGCCTAGGTGCCAGGATGGTGCCTGACATCTCCACCATCTGTGGTTCATTGGATCTGGGCTGTTTTCACACACTAATACTAGCTCCTGTATAATTTTATCTGCACGATCAGATTGAATTTCAGGAACCAATTTGATTTTTCTGTGCAGCCTGAGCAGGAGCAGTCAGCATTAAGGAGGGGGGGGGGGTAGGAATAGGCCAAAATCTATGTGGACTGTCCCTGGATCAAGTGACATTCTTCATTCAGTTCTCAAAGCTCTTAACCTAGCTTCAGGTTGTCATCTGAACTAGCCAGATGTTTGACTGAGAACTAATCACAGTCAGTCCATCCTTTGAGAAATAAGACTTTAGAGCTGTCTTACTAGAGCTGTCTTTAGAGCTGGCAACTAGATATTATAATAATAATTTATATAATTTTATTTATTTATTCATTCATACATACATACATACATACATACAGTGGTACCTCGGGATAAGAACTTAATTCGTTCTGGAGGTCTGTTCTTAACCTGAAACTGTTCTTAACCTGAAGCACCACTTTAGCTAATGGGGCCTCCTCCTGCTGCTGCTGCTGCTGCTGCTGCGCCGCCGGAGCACGATTTATGTTCTTATCCTGAAGCAAAGTTCTTAACCTGAGGTACTATTTTATGGGTTAGCGGAGTCTGTAACCTGAAGTGTATGTAACCTGAGGTACCACTGTACATACATACATACCCTGCCCATCTGACTGGGTTTCCCCAGCCACTCTGGACGGCTTCCAACAAAATATTAAAATACAATAATTCATCAAATATTAAAAGCATCCCTAAACGTTCTGTTTTGGCGACTGTAACCTTGGTTTTAAGGAGCCATTTTGTTCCTAGCGTATATATCTGAGTTTCTAACACTGCATGGCTGTCGCAGCTTGTGCTCCTCAGCTGGTGAGGCATGATCCAGTCACTGCCCAAGCTATTGTCTTAAGAAAAAGAAAGTGAAGTCATGCGGAGTGATTAGAAGCAAGAATGGTTTTAGGGCGGATGTGGGTGGAAGAAAGGCAGCACAGCCTTGTGTGTGTGAGAGAGAGAGAAAAACCCAGAGCAAAGCACAATTCAGAGGGAAAGCAACTCACTAAAATAGAGGTGGAAGGCCTTAAAGGAGTCCGCCTGGCACCCCACTGGTCACGTCTATATCTTCAGCACATGATATAAGCACAATACCACTTCCTTCAAGGAAAGAGGAACTCCCACTGCCCACATTGCTCTGAGAGCAGCAACTAGAGTCAGGGCATCACTTGCTAACAACTGCCAATACTGGGGGCCTTCAGTGGAGAATTTGAAAAGTTGAGCAAGGGGAATTGGGCAAGCCTTCCAAAGTGCCGTTCTGCGGCCACAACAAACCCCTTTCCTTTCTGGTTGGCACTGGTGGAAGGGGCAGGCTGCCCCTTCATGCACAATATTTGGGCACAGGACCTCCTGGTACAGACCCCTAATGTAGTAGCTTAAAGGTAAAGGGTCCCCTGACCATTAAGTCCAGTCGCGGACGACTCTGGGGTTGCGGCGCTCATCTCATTTTGCTGGCTGAGGGAGCTGGCATACAGCTTCCGGGTCATGTAGCCAGCATGACTAAGCCACACAGAGCAGCGCATGGAAATGCTGTTTACCTTCCCACTAGAGCGGTACCTATTTATCTACTTGCACTGTGTGCTTTCGAACAGCGCCACCCGCGTCCCTGTAAATAGCTTACAATCAACCAATTCAGCCTCACTCTCCTCTATCATTTCCTTAATCCGCTTCAAGCGGTGAGTTTAGAAAAGGCCTTTTGATGGAGCCTAGATAAAAGAGAGCTGCCTGCTGCTCTAGTTCAGAGGTTCTCAAACTTTTTTCCGTGGGCCACACTTTCAGAATAAAAATTTGCTTGTGCCACACTGAACTTTTTCTTGATAAGAAATACATTGCACAACAGAAAGAAACAACAACTAGCAGTGCTTGATTTATAACATCAAACACAACTGCTTTTTAATATGATCATGGGACATCTGGGGAGTATAAAACAATGCAGCTACATAATAACATGAATCATTCCCAAAATGTAATAATTAAACGAACGTCTCACATATGCACCTTGTGTATACAAACTCAATGAGAGGTGCAAGCTTGCTTTTGCCAGGTAATCTCATTTCTATGAGGTCCAATTTGAGACAAACCCTCATGTCCTCATCACCACAAAAAGCCTTTCTCTTTTCTGATCTTTCATATTTATATCAGAGTTGAAAATCCCTGTTCACAATATGCCATGAAGAACTGTAGAAGAATAGCCAATTCTTTTGAAGAGAGGAGTGGATACTGTTTCTGGTTGTACATCCACACTACTCAGAAATGTTTAAATGTTTCTTTGATCTCTCTAGAATCTTCCCCGTCACACTTGCCATCCTCTCCTGCCACACCCTTGGAGAACCACTGTTTTGCAGGAGTTTAAATCAGAAGAGAACTCCTTCAAGCCAGTGGGCAGAGATAAATGCCCTCCTCCCCCAGCGTTTCAAAAAAATCTTGCCTGCTAAGACGCTTCGTCACCCACAAGCACTGCTGTTTTCACAGCTTCTGTCTGCTTCCTGTTTATATAGAGGTTCTCATACATCTTTGGCCAGCCCCTTAGTCTGTTGCGGAAAAGGCAACAACGACTCTTGGGGCACCTGGATGCTGATTGTAGCGTAAGCTGCAGTCCATAAAGTCGGTGGTCCTCAAGAAATTCATGCCATAATCAATTTGCTCATCTTCTAACGGTTCACAAGACTAGCCAGGGAGACCAGGAGACATTCCTGGGCCAATGGAGAATCAGAAGCTGCCTGAGCCAAGAGGACGATGGTGAACACCCAAACAGCAGTCAATCCACCTTGCATCGGGAGGGAGCTGGTGGTCATGGGGAGATGAGAAAGCCCCACCACCACCGCCATAGGAGTAAACTCCTAGGGGCTGAGGTCCCTTTGCCACCCCCAATAAAACATTTGAGGGGACCGCTCCGCCCAAAAGTTGATGGGCGTTGCCATTCAAATGGTGTTTGTGTGCCACATCTTGTGTTTGATTATGCGGGGTGGGGCTTACCTGGGTCCCCCCCCCCTTAGTTTATTCAAGGAATTCAAGTTTTGAAATGTCAAAATGATTGTAAAATTAGTGAAATGTATAAACCTGAAAAGCATAAATAAAATTTCAAGTTGGCACCCCCGCTTCCTATCCTGCCCCAGCTAATAGACCCCTGGTTCCCAACGTGGGGCACAATTTGATTTTTAAGGGGGAGTATTCCAGAATGAGTTATTAACAGTGAATGGCCTTTTAGGCTTCCTCCACGTGAATAGGACTTTGCTTTTTGAATAATAAGAATTATATGTCACAGGGGTGGTGATGGGATCAGGATTTTGGAGACGCTTAGGTGGGGCATGGCCAAAAAAAGGTTGGGAACCACTGCTATAGAGGGAAGCTACAAACAAAGCAATATATCTTCTCTCTCAGCCCCCCCGCCGCCGCCCCCGGGGAAAAAACAAGAAACCAGCAACCCCTTTCCCTTCCTCGTCGGGCCACACCTGTTACCTGGGAGAGGGGACTCATCCACCTGCCCTGGATTTCAGGTAGCGGGCGCCTGCCTATTTGCTGGAAGCAACGCCGAGGGGAGAAGCCGGAGGCCGCTCGAGCCCGGGGTCTGAGGAGCCACCCCGCCTTGGGCCGACGCCCCAGCCGGGCAGAGCCACCACCGGCAAAGCCCCTCACAAGGGGCGGGCGCCATTGTCGCAGCGGCTGGCGGGACGGGCGGGAGGAAGGAAGGTCCCCGGTGCGAGCCCCGGCCCGAGGGATCCCTCCGCGCGCAATCTTCCCGCGCATCCTCCTTTACCGTAAGCTGGGTCGGCGTCGTCGGGCTCCTTGCCGCTCGGCTCGCCGTCCATCGCTGCCGGGACGGAGAGCGCTGCTGCTGCTGCTGCTGCTGCAGGCGCCGCCGGGGGACTGCGAGGAGGCGGAGAGAGGCAGCGTTGCCTGGGCTGTGTGGTGAAGTCAGGCCCACCCGACGGCCCTCCGCCCCTTTCCTGCCTCGGCGCGGCCGCCTTCCTGCGCTTAGCGGTCCCGGCGGGGCGGTCCCGGCGTCAGAAGAAGCGGATCCGTTTGTCTTGCGCGCCCGCAGCGAGGAGGCGGCCGCGCCGCGCTGCGCGGTGCATTTAAAAACTCGCTTCCTCCCGGAGAAATGGCTCCGCGAGAGGAAGTGTGGGAGGGAGAGGGCCTTGGTGGGTTGCTGAGCCAGCGAGGTTGAAGCTCCCCTTCTCCACGGCACGACTTAGACAATCAATATCTTCTTCTTTGGAGATCACTCGTAGATCTTTTGGAGATCACTAGCCGAGTGATCTCCGAGTGAATTCTGGTGCTGGAGGAGGCTCTTGAGAGTCCCAGGGACTGCAAGAAGATCAAACCTCTCCATTCTGAAGGAAATCAACCCTGAGTGCTCACTGGAAGGACAGATCCTGAAGCAGAGGCTCCAATACTTTGGCCACCTCATGAGAAGAGAAGACTCCCTGGAAAAGACCCTGATGTTGGGAAAGATGGAGGGCACAAGGAGAAGGGGGCGACAGAGGACGAGATGGTGGGACGGTGTTCTCGAAGCTACGAACATGAGTCTGACCAAACTGCGGGAGGCAGTGGAAGACAGGAGAGCCTGGCGTGCTCTGGTCCATGGGGTCAAGAAGAGTCCGACACGACTAAACAACAACATAGCCGAGTCAGATTGTCTTCCATTAACACGTTTTTTTTACAGTGAGAACAAGAAATAGATGCAATACTCAAGGCTGTATGTGGGCCACTGAAGGATGGGCTTCTGCGTCAGAGAAAGCCCCAGCATGGCCTCGGGGAAACTGAACCCCCAAAACTGGGGCGCCAGAGGACATGCCATAACTTAGGATCTCGACTTCGTAGGCTTTGCGAGGCGGGACACATGCACACCTATTCCCACGACCAAAATCCCAAACAAGAGTTGTACTGAAGCTTTTGGAAATGTTGGGGAACTCTTACACCTAGCTGAACAGAGCTTTTTTCTTCTTATTTTCCAAACAGCCTTTCAGAAAGCAACCCCCTTTTTTCAATCACGCTGTAAGCATAAGAGGCAACTCCTAGGGGATGAGGGGTCTTCAGCCCCCCCAATAAAATATTTGAGGGGGCTGCCCTCCAAAGTTTTGATGGCCATTGCCATTCAAATGGTGTGTACATTATGTGATCGATTATGTGGGGCAGTACTTACCTGCCCCCCCATTTTTTTTATTCAAGTTGGCACCCCTGACTTTAAGAGTTGGTTACTTAGCAGGCCTCCTTCCTCAAAGTCTGCTTGCCTAGGGGCAACTCTCCTCAGTTGATGCCATTGCCTGTTTGGTCTAGGTGACTAATATGGCCCTTTTTGCTCCAGTACAAATATTATTTAAGTAACTATTTAGAATATATGAGGCTCCACTAGCTGCCAGGTCTACAACCAGGGGTGGCCATACCATTAGTTACAGTGAGGCTATGTCCTCGAGCCACAAATGCCAAGGGGAGCCCACACTTCCAGGAAGAGGGAGGCAATTTTATGACCAGAAAGGAACAGAGGCACTTGGGCATCTTCTGCCTCAAGTGCCAAAATACCTTAACCAGCCTTGGGTACGACATACTTTGACCTGGGGCAGGCGGGGAGAGAGAGAGAGAGAATTTAAAGCTCTGTCTCAGGCAGCAACATATTTTGGGCTAGCTCTGCTGGCAGCCAGCGCAGTTGTGGCAAGATTGGCCAAATGTACTTCCTCCTCACAATATCTGTATGGCAGGTTCCCTTGCCCCGAACAAAAGCTCTTCTTGATATCAATGACTGGGGATCATGCAGCCCATTGGCCTTCCCTGGAAATTTGAGGGAAAAGAGTGATATTTTTAAAAGTATCTGATTTTCAGAACACAAGATGAACACACAACATAGAAACTGAGAGCTGTTTTAAAATCTCTTGGATGTTTGTCTTGCACTCCGAGGCTGTTAAGGACAAGGAAACTCAACCACAGCACCATATTACTGCAGACAAACAACCTATAATTTCATCCTCCAGATCCAGGAATGACTCTCAGAGGCTGGCAACAGGCTCGTTCCTCCCTGACAATTTAAATGGGCGTTGACTCTGCTGCGGTGTGAGCTTTTGCCTTTCATAGAATGTGCTGAGACCATTTAGGAATATGCTCTCCCAAGGATCAAAATGTATATCCATTGCTAGAACAGAATTGTTTAACAGACAGAATTTCCTCTCTTTCCTTTGTTTCTTCTGAGCTTAACATTCTGAAAACAGCTCAACTCATTTGCAGAACACAGGTTTCTTAATGTGAAAAAGTTCGTATTTTCTAGAACAGGTAGGGAAATATACACTTTGAAGTTAAGGCTGCCATAAATGTTAACTTGAACATGCCAGCCCCCACAGCCCACAAAAGCAGCTTGTTCATGCTGCTCACCTACCCCTCTAATTTATGTCTGATCTATGATACAGGACACGGGTGGCGCTGTGGGTTAAACCACAGAGCCTAGGGCTTGCTCAGAAGGTCGGCGGTTCGAATTCCTGCAACGGCCAATAAAACAAGATGAGCACCGCAACCCGAGAGTTGTCTGCGACTGGACCTAATGGTCAGGGGTTCCTTTACCTTTACCTTTATGATACAGGAAGACAGGTACTCATGTATGCTGAGACCATTAAGTAATCCAAGGACAGGCATGTACGTAGTGGTGAATACACACAAGTTCTTTTTCCATAGTAATGCAAGCAAACAGGGATGCATTTTACAGTTTAAACCTCAGTTGCTGAAACAAATTAAAGCAAAAGCTGAGATCATTCTGGCCTATACCCTCTCAGGATTATTGCAGGACCTAATGTGCTCTGTCATCCAAAGGAAATCACACCCAGCAGCAATGAACTTGTAATTGCTCAGGGAAATACAGCCCAAGGCCACTCGAGTCCCGAAGGAAAGAAATTTCAGTTCAGCAAGTTGCCTATACAGACTGAGGCAAAGAAAGAAAAGAAAAGAAAGTTTGTGAGTTAGTTGATTGTTTTTGGTTTGTTCTTTGCTTTCAGGCTAGCTTCCAGAAAAGCAAGGCTCCTCCATGCCCATTCCCCAGCAAATTTTAAAAGATGTGTCCTCTGAGTATACATCTTTGCTGCTTGGCTTTGCCTCCAGAAATTGCAAGAATGAGGACCTGCCTCCCCACAAAAGCCAATTGGGTTCCACCTCCCAACTCAAAGTCGGCTCTGCCAAAAGACCTAGGGGGCATTGCCCCAGAACCCACCCAGCTGTATTTCAAGAATTGGTGACCCTACTCCAGCCCACCAACTGAATAACAGCTTTGCAATCAAATTAGAGTTTCTGGCTGGGAAACCTCTGAGTGCATAGCTTCTTTGTGGTGAACAGCAGACTGTACAACATTACCAGGCAAAGGAAGGCAGGAGGATAGAATACTTACTTGGGTCCTGCACTGAAAAGGAGGAGGGCAATACCAATGTACTTTCTGACAATCATATTTTCTACACACTTTGCTTTCTACTCTTGCTTAGATGAAAGTGTCATAGGCAGTGGCAGCTGTGTGTCTGGGAAACCCACAGCAGCAGGAGATTTAGTCAGTGTGGTGGAAAGGAGAAGGTTTGACCCCTGCCCCTGCTATGTGCATTTCTCCTCCAGCTCCTCCAAATTTTCCCCAGCAGGAATCCTTTATACCAGTGTTCCCCAACCTTGGGCCTCCAGCTGTTTTGGACTACAACTCCCATCATCCCTCGCTAGCAAGACCAGTGGTCAAGGATGATGGGAATTGTAGTCCAAAAACAGCTGGAGGCCCAAGGTTGGGGAACACTGCTTTATACTGTTGCTTAACAGAAAACATTGCAACAGCCCTGATCCTTCCCCCTCAGCTTCTTCTCTGCAGACTGCACCCACCTGGCTTTTAAAAAACAGAGAGCACAACGAACATGTAGTCAGTGGCGTAGAGTGGGGGGTGCAGGGGGGGCCGGCCGCACCGGGCGCAGCATCTGGGGGTTAGGGTTAGGGGGCGCAAATTACTTGCCTTGCCCCGGGTGCTGACAACCCACGCTACGCCACTGCATGTAGTTCTATCCTCATGTTGCTTCCACATTAGAACCCTTTAACACTGTAGTAGAACTGATTTTCTGCAAGAAACCAGAAGCAGAATTATCACTGAGGTGACGCACTAGCAATGTCCTTCTCCACAGCTAAGATTCTCTTACATTGTGAATTCACAAATCAATCCCATCCAGGAAAGGCCATTTCCAATGCTAATTAAGTTTCCCCCTTGTAGGTTCACACAGCCTGTTTTATTGCTTTCCAATAAGCATGGGACGCGGGTGGCGCTGTGGTCTAAACCTCGCAGTTCAAAATACAGTGGTACCTCAGGTACTTAATTCGTTCCGGAGGTCTGTTCCTAACCTGAAACTGTTCTTAACTTGAAGCACCACTTTAGCTAATGGGGCCTCCCGCTGCCACCGCGCCGCCGGAGCACAATTTCTGTTCTCATCCTGAAGCAAAGTTCTTAACCTGAGGTACTATTTCTGGGTTAGTGGAGTCTGTAACCTGAAGCGTATGTAACCTGAGGTACCACTGTACGTTAAAGTGCAAGTAGATAAATAGGCACTGCTCCAGCGGGAAGGTAAATGGCGTTTCCGTCGCCAATAAAGTGAGATGAGTGTGGGGCCGCAACCCCAGAGTCGTCCGCGACTGGACCTAGCGGTCAGGGGTCCCTTTACCTTTACCTTTAATAAGCAAGGAGGTGGGGGAATGAGTGATCAATGGTTTTATTAACTGCATCTCTTAATTGTCCCTGTCAAGTTTGTGATCCAAGGGGAGCCCTTTTTGTTTTCTTTAGAAAAATAGCACTATTTTGCTAGGGAAAATGGAAGGAAAATGTAATGATGAGAGGAAATGAATACGTCTGCCTGCACACACGTAGCAACCGAAACTAACTTTCAGTAACGGGAGGCTGTGATGTCCCTGGTTTAAGAAACTGGATGGCTCTTAACTGGATAGTTGTTCAACCATGCCTGCTTCCACCCACATTGATCTTCTTCCTGAACTATTTAATATTATTTACAGTCCAGGAATAATAATAATAATAATAATAATAATAATAATAATAATAATTTATTCTTTATACCCCGCCCATCT